CCCCCCGTCCCCCCTCCTTGGGGGATTCCAGAGCCTTTCCCCATGAAGACGCGCTCGTCTGGGTCGGCCGATGGCGGTTCTGAATCCTCCGGAGAGTCTGATGTCCCCAAACCGAACAAAGTCGATCGTGCCGATACCCCAGCATTGCCCACGTCCGCAACGAGGAGCAGAAGCGCCGCCAATGGCCTCGCATGGAAGAATGGAAACGGTCATAGCAGCAGCACCAACGGCAACGGCCATGCAAAAAAAAGCGACACTACCGCCATGGTGACGCCTGTACCGCCTGTACCGCCGATCCAGCGCTCTTTATCTCCCACAACTTCCAACACCACGCCGACAAAGACGAGCCACGGAGCGACAATGCCTTCGAATGTGTGCCGAAGCCTATGGTCTATGTCGGCCTTCTCCTTGATGACGGCGTCTCTGGGCATAATCATACTACTCGCTATTGTCAACTCCTTGTTCACCTTCCGACTTGACCCCAAGGGCTACCATATGTCCTACATGCGACCAGACTATGTGCAATATCCTGAGTTCGACACTGAACATACCAGGTTCGCTACCAAATACTCGCTGTACTTGTACCGTGAGCAAGGAGTAGACGATCCCAATAGGCTCCATGGTATACCTGTCCTCTTCATCCCAGGCAACGCTGGAAGCTACAAGCAGGTGCGCCCCATCGCTGCCGAGGCCTCCAACTACTTTCATCAACAGCTGCAGAACGACGGACACTCAGTTGATTCCGGGATCCGCAACCTTGATTTCTTCACCGTCGACTTCAACGAGGACATTACCGCTTTCCATGGCCAAACTCTGCTTGACCAAGCCGAGTACCTAAATGAGGCCGTTCGCTTCATCCTTGGCCTATATTCAGACCCTCAGCAAACCGTCCGCGATGCACAGCTCCCTGACCCGACTTCCGTCATCGTCCTGGGCCACTCTATGGGTGGTGTAGTTGCCCGGGCGATGCTGGTACGGCCGAATTACCAAACGAACTCGATCAACACAATCATCACCATGTCGGCTCCTCATGCTCGGCCTCCTGTCACTTTCGATCGCCAGATTGTTCAGATATACGACGAGATCAACAGTTACTGGAGGGAAGCATATTTGCAAAAATGGGCCAACAACAATGCGCTGTGGCATGTCACTCTCGTCTCGATTGCCGGCGGAAATCTGGATACTATTGTGCCGTCGGACTACGCGAGCGTCGAATCACTCGTCCCCGAGACCCATGGTTTCACCGTCTTCACTACAGGAATTCCGACTGTCTGGACCAGTATGGACCACCAAGCCATCTTATGGTGCGATCAGTTTAGAAAAGTTGTCTCACGAGCTCTGCACGAAGTCGTGGATGTCAACCGCGCCTCCCAGACAAAGCCTCGTGCCGAAAGGATGCGTGTGTTGAAGAAGCGATTCCTTTCAGGTCTTGAGCCCGACTCCGAGAAAGCGGCACACGTCAAAAGAGGCACAACTCTCCTTACCATCGACCACGCCTCCGCCAGAATCGTTCCAGCCGGAGATCGTCTGGTTCTGTCCAAGCTTGGCAGCCATCAAAGGGGTAAGGCGCACTTAATGCCCTTGCCCCCGCAAGGGTCCCCAGAGTTGAGGCGCTTCACATTGCTGAGCAGTGCCGGCCTTGAAGAGAATGGTAAGAGTGGGATTGAAGTTCTGCTCTGCAGTGTCTTCACCGGGTCTAGCTCACCACTTACTTCGAGCATCAACCTGTCTGAAGGGTCTGGCAGTTCTACCAAGCTGGCCTGCGAGAATGCCGCAGACGATGCAGTCGTACTGCCGGCCTCTACATTCTCCAGTCGTTACCCGTTCCTCCTTGAAGGAGAACATGGTCCGGAACCGTTCTCGTACCTTCAGTACGATCTCGATCGTCTTTCGGAACATCAATTTGTCGTCATCGTGGATAAGGCCCCGACAGAAACACGCCATTTTATGATTGCTGAGTTCAGCGGCCACTCGGAATTCCACCAGCGACATGATATCACCCTACAGAATCTTCTTACCTTTGGCCTTTCTACAACCTTGCCTGCGGGTCGCCCCATGGTTGCGGAATTGGAGATACCGAGTATCACCTCCAGTTTACTAGCCTACCGCCTAGACCTCAAGGGCGAATCTGTAGCAGACAAGACAGCACTATTCGCACCAATGGTCCGTCAATACGTTGACCGGCCATACGAGTCTCGCTTCTTTGTCAATACCGACCGTATCGATGTCCGACTTCATGGCACGGCCCCCTACGTGCCACCGTCTCTCTCGAAGCGACCCCGGAAAGGGCTCACATTTCAATTTTGGGTCGACCCGTCCATTGAATCACCGTTGCATATTCAACTCAGTGTGGACATCCTGGGGAGCCTTGGAAATCTGTACATGCGCTACCGCACCATTTTGGCAGCATTTCCACTGCTCATCGTTACGCTTGTTCTGCGCAAGCAGTTTCGAGTGTATGATCGGACAGGGATGTTTGTCTCATTCTCGAGGAGCCTGGATCTATCCCTGAGGCAGTCCATCCCCCTGCTGCTCCTGTCAATGACGCTGCTATCAACATCGGTGGGAGAGGCTGCCATCTCGAGATGGTGGCCGACACTAAACGGAAAGGGCTTATCTCCCCACGCCCTGAACTTCCATCGAAATGATCTGTTCATTGGCACTGACGACCCTTTCTTCCGGGCTCTAGTCCCCCTCATTGGGTTGGTATGCATCGGTATCTGCGTCGGTCTTCACTACTGCACTCTGGTCGTGACATACATCCTGGCTGCTCTTTACGGCCTAGTTGGCCCGTCACTGACGCCGGGTTCCAACATGGAGCCGCGACGAATCCGATCGTCTCTAGTTCCCTCGACGCCTCGAAGAAGAATGATAACCGCAGTAGCTCTGCTTCTCCTGGTATCATTCTTCATCCCATACCAGTTTGCTTACCTGGTCGCATGCTTGGTGCAGCTTTTCACCGTCGTGCGAGCACTGCACGCCACGGGACATGCTTCCAACAGCAGCTACAACTACTACCACTACACCCATTCGGTGCTACTCCTCATGCTCTGGGTACTGCCAATCAACCTCCCTATTCTGGCGGTATGGATTCGTAACTTGGCCGTACACTGGCTCACGCCCTTCTCATCTCACCATAATATTCTATCCATCATGCCGTTCATCCTGCTTGTTGAGAATCTGACAACGGGAAGGATGATTCCACGCCTCAACGGCGGCTTATGCCACGTCACGAGCGTACTTCTGTTTGCCACAGCGCTGTGCGCTGGAGTATACGGCGTCTCCCACGCCTATATTCTTCACCAACTTGTGAACGTGATAGCCGCCTGGCTTGTCATAGTCCATTCAACGACGAATCCGTGGTCCCTCAACGGCATTGGTACCATGTTCGGTGGAAATACCGCCGAAGCTTGGAAAGGTGGCAAGGCGCCTTGACGTCCCGACGGAGAATGCTCCTTTAGCATAAAATGTATCACGAGCGGCTTTCGATTTTTTTTGTTCTTTCCCTTTTCCAACCACTGCAATTATCCCCATCCGGATTATTTCAGCATATATCAGCAAGCTGGCAGCTGCGCCGTCATGATCCGTTTGACAAACATTCAGCTTATTTTGGCATTACCATCGGTTCTGCGATGGGATTATCCTCTGGGAAAACAATGCGTCTTGGAGTCATAAATACGCACATCGTTCGTATTTCTGACCTTTTTTTTTTTTTTTTTTTGCGGATTTTGTCTGTCTCTCCTTCTGCATTGTTGAGCAGGATACAATAACTTGTCTTATATTGAGACTATTGTCGAAGAGGGAGAAGAGAGTGGTCAGAATACTTGCTCTTTTTGGTAATCGTCTTTTGTTTTTTCTTCTTATCGAGGCATCTGCTTGGCGTTCAAAGGGAATCAAGGGTACGGGATGTGAGAAACGAGTTTGGAGCTGGCATAATACTAGTATTTGATAATAAGGTTGGCAGGGCCCCCTTGTTGTGAACCCTTTTTATTGTCTTCTTTATATAGAAATAACAGGACGACGGAGGGCTTCAAACCCAGGACAGGAAGCAGTGAGCGGAGGAGGAACTCACAACTCATATAGCGAATAATGCCTTTTGAAATACGACAGATCGAAACACAAACGGCTACTGCCATCGTCGCGCGTGAAATGTTGAGATTGGGAAGATACTGCAAGTGGAATCCCATGATGCCTTAGGAGTAACGTTCTAGTATAGATGGGTATCTAGTATCCCTCTGTATGACAAAAGGAGAAAAAAAGAGCAACAAAAAAAGACATTAAACCAACACGTCTGTGTAGGCTCTGGCCAATCAACCCAAACGCCATATATCACTGTCTTTTCCGGATATGTTCCCAACCCGGTTATCTTCCTGGGGCTGCTAGATGGACCCTCCTACCTGCTATATTCGCCTGTATCTATGTAAAATATGTCGCTAAATCTGTCGCTTCCCTTCCCGTGCAATCATTCGATACTATTATGTATGTGCAGTCTTCTCCGGTGGGTTAGATCAAGAGCATCCTTATGTCAATCAGTCCTCTTCATTGCCCTTGTTAGGCAACCTCTGGTGGACGCGCTGGTGGTGGATGACCCATAGGGAAAAGACGAGTCCAACGCCACAGGCGCCAAAGGTCATCCAGTAGGCCGACCTGTAGCAGTCGATGCCGTCGAGACAAACGCGCTCGCCGTCGGGAAGTGTCGTGCTGTGTTTGTCAAAGTTGTGGCCGTAAAACAGGTTGTAGACGTTGGACGAGATGACAGGAGCCATGGACATGAAACCCCAATTCTGGCTGAGGCCACGGATGCCAAATGATTCGGCCACGATAGACGGAAAGACGCCAAATAGGAAACCGTAGCCGATACCCGAGAGACTGGATACCAGAACCAGGTAGTGAGGGTCTTCGATGGTGAGGGCGCAGGCCTGGGCTAGGAAGAAGACGAGGGTGGCCACAACGAGACACCATACACGGCTGGCGTGCATCTTCTTGACGAGGAAGTCGGATCCGACACCTGCCAGGGTTTAATATACGATATTCAGTTTGGGTTTGCAAGGCATTTGAGGAGGAGGGGATAGAACCAACCGCTCGAAAGTCTGCCCAAGAAGCTACCGATGGACAGAATAGAAACGTGCATCTGCTGTCTGCCCACGAGGAACTCTCGACTCACGTCCTTGTCGTATCGCTGCCAAAGGCTCTTGGCGTTGTTTCCGATGTTGCTGGTAGGCGTGAGCTAATCAGTCCGGATTATTCTCCTCATGCAGGGCGCGCATGATTAAAAGGAGTTTGTTGGGAAAAGGGGGGGTCATACTTAATGCTCATGATGCCAATACCAGCAAGGATGGCCATGATGAGCCAGAGTTGCCAAAAGTCGAGACTACGGAGGAGGCTAAATCCACGGATATCTAGTCGATGGGACATATCCAAATCAACACTGCTTCTTCCCACTAGTTCTTCGACGTCGGAGCTGGATATGAGGGAGGACGTTTCGTCGGCGCTCGCGCGGCGCTCTACCGCGGAGTTGACGGCAGGGGTTTCTGGGTCCCGGGTAGAAGATGAGGCTGCTGTTGTCGACGTACCAGGTTCAAGATCGTCATCTAGATTGCCGAGGTCTCGGCGTGCTTTGGCCTCCTTGGATGAGGCGCGGCGAGGGCCACTAGGACGGCGGTATTGTGTCTGTCGCTCGGAGTCGTCCTCATCGGATACGGCCTGGTAGGGCGAGTTGGCGTGGACCTTGAGAAACCAGAAACCGATAAAGGTGATGCCGCAGGTTCCGGCGGCGAGGAGCATCAAGAACGCGCTTGTGTCTCCCGGGAAGAAGAGTCCACCGATGGTCGAGAAGAAGAAGGCGCTCAGTCCAAAGGCAGCGAGGGGGAAGGCGGTCGCGGTGCCGCGGTGACCTGGCCAGTTAAGCGCCGAGGTCTTGATGGCTGCCGCAAACGCCATGCAGCCACCAAGTCCAGACAGGAACGAGAAGAAGGACAACAACAAAACGGAACCGGACCCGCTGTCGTAGGCCTGGTGGAGAGGGAAGTAGCCCACGGCGAGAAGCAGGGCGCCACCCAGGACGGCAGGCCGGGGGCCGCGGTTATCGATGAACATGCCGATGGGGACTCCGAGCAAGTACATGCCCAGGTTGCCAAAAAGTCCGATCAAATTGCTCTCAGTGGCCGAGAGCTTGAGCTTCTCGGCAAACTGCGGCGCCCATGCCGAGTAGACATACTGAAAACAGTCAGCAACTAAACACGTCCGTAGATGAATATGGGACGTCTCTTTCAATCCAGATTCAAAAACTCACGTTGGAACCACAGGCGAGGGCGATGGCCGTAGCGGCTATGCTCGCGATGATACGAGAGCGCCGCAAGTCGTTACTGTGCTGCATCGTTGTAGATGTTGGAAGCGGGCATCAACGGTAGATAGTCATTTAGGCACAGTCAACGATATGTACGAGAATAACGATAACAGTAACGAAAAGGATAAAGTATATTCTTGGAGGCTCGTCTTGAGAACAGCTCGTCTTGAGGTGAGAGGGGGAAGGAAGGAATGAAGCGAGAGTGAGATACGTAATCATAAGCAATCTTGTGGCCCCTGTGCTATCAATGTGGCCACGATGCTCAGGCGCATGAAGATGACAGTACATATACTGTGTGAAAGCTACCTGATACACACGACTTAATGGTGTCGGGGGATGACGAATACAGTGCAAATTGGGATTGCTGGCGAGACACTTGCCCGACTGGTTATCAGCCGTTGGCCATCCACCCGTTAGCGGTCCAATACTAATACTTGCATTTCCGTTGCAGCAGTCAGTCCATCGTCACCGCCATAGCAGCACTGTCTGACCCAGTTAAGTGATTAGATAAGTTTAGTGCCAAGACTTTTGTGACCTCACTTTGGATCCTCTCTCGTGCGCCCTCCGGATTCGCCTCGTCGCCAAAACTTCGCGAGTTTCCACTGTCATCGAGACATTCTTATCAGACAACACGATACACACTGAAGGGACACTCGTCTACACATAACCTCGAACCGAGCCACTGAACCAGCCGCCGCCCACAGCTTCGCAATGGGTGCCCTCTTGTCGCTGCCCCTGTTGGCATTGCCAAGCGTGGGCACGGTATGTCCCTCTTCCCAGCCGTCGTGGTGGCACCGCCCAACGATTAATTCACCATGCTGACTTGCCTTCTGTTTCTTTAGCTCGTGTCCTTTGGCGCCAGCTGCTGCGGAGCGGCCACATGCTCCATGGTCTGCAGCGCATGCGGGAAATGCGGTAACAGGTAACGGCTCTATCTTGCTTGGCTCCGCCCCATCGATGCGCGCTCAATGCTAACCAGTCGACTCAACAGTGTCGCAACCCGTATCGCATACGCTCTCATGCTTCTCATCAACTCCATAGTCGCATGGATCATGCTCACACCGTGGGCAATCAATAAGTTGCAACATCTTACTTTGGACTACGTTAAAATAGATTGTCCGACTGGACAATGCTATGGCTGGCTGGCCGTCCATCGCATCAACTTCGCCCTCGGCTTGTTTCACTTGATATTCGCTGGCCTCCTCTTTGGCGTCACTTCCTCCAAGAACCCTCGGGCTGCGATCCAGAATGGCTACTGGGGCCCCAAGATTATTGCCTGGCTCGCCTTCGTCGTTCTGTCATTCCTCATTCCTGACGAATTCTTTATGTTTTGGGGCAACTACATTTCGTACATTGGAGGCATTCTGTTCCTTCTACTTGGTCTCATTCTCCTTGTCGACCTTGCCCATAACTGGGCTGAATACTGCCTGGAGAAAATCGAGGATACTGACTCCAGATTCTGGCGCTTTGTTCTAATTGGCTCCACGCTCGGCATGTACATTGCGTCAATTGCAATGACTGTCGTCCAGTACATCTTCTTTGCTCCTTCCGGATGCTCTATGAACCAGGCTGCCATCACCATCAATCTACTTCTGTGGATTGGTATTTCGATACTCTCCATCAACCCGGCAGTCCAGGCACATAACCCCAAGGCTGGTCTTGCCCAGGCTGCCATGGTTGCTGTCTACTGTACTTACTTGACCATGTCCGCCGTCTCCATGGAGCCGGACGACAAGCACTGCAACCCCTTTGTGCGTGGCCAGGGGACGCGTACCACGTCCGTCGTTATCGGAGCTGTCGTGACTCTGCTGACGGTTGCATACACGACGACCCGTGCCGCAACGCAGAGTCTCGGCCTTGGAAGCGACTCCGGGGCAATTCGTCTCTCCGACGATGATGAGCATGATCTCGTTACACAGCAACCCGGAAGTCGGCGGCAGATGCGGGCCGAAGCACTTCGCCGAGCTGTAGAGGAGGGTAGCCTCCCGGCCGATGCCCTGCTTTCAGATGACGAGAGTGAGAGTGGTGGAGACAACAGCAACCACGACGACGAGAGGTCAAGCACGCAGTACAATTACACCATCTTCCACGTTATCTTCTTCCTGGCGACATGCTGGGTCTCGACGCTGCTTGTTCTTAGCCACGAGGAAACCGCGGAAGATGGTGATTTTGCCACGGTGGGCCGCACTTATGCGGCAAGTTGGATCAAGATTGTGAGCGCTTGGGCATGCCATGGCATGTATATTTGGACGCTTGTGGCGCCAATTGTTCTCCCCGAACGCTTTGATTTCTCGTAGCTTGCTTCAATCGCACGCGCAAACCTTCCTTAAACCACCATTACTCGGACCAGCACCGTTGCCCCCTTTCACAGCATCATTATCATTGTCCTATTATCTAGCAGAAACATGTCTTTCTAGCAGCTGTAGTGTTGTGTAACGGTACAACAACGTACCCGTCTCAATTGCAACTTCAAAACTGAAATTCAAAATCCTGTTTTCAAGTTTTAACTATGGCAGACAGCCGTGTCTGCTATGAGCTCGCAAGGCGCATGTCCTGTGCACATATATTCATGCACGATTCTTTCGTCCTCCCCGCGAGGCTACCCAACCAAGGGCCGGGAATTTGTCGTCAGAGGTGTAGCGATACCTAAGCACATATAGTAGGCAGCGGCAATGAGAGACGCATTGGTGTACAAAGGCGAAGTCGCTTCTTTGGCAAAGGTCGTGCAGCTTGGCAAGATGGAAAAGGGGTGGTTATTAGCATCACACTCAAACTAGAGCAGACCTTGTGATGATACTCACTTGGATACCATGAATCCAATGAGAAGCTACCGCCGGCTTTCTGTCTCAACCGCATGAAAATACGGTTGGTTACGCATGATGTCTCTTTTCTACAACCGAGAATATAACAACCCGTATATCGTCAGCTGGCTGGCACAGTAAAGAAGCCCCAGGCGTATGTGTCTCACGCGCATGAGTATGTGCAGAAGGATCTGTCCGGCGTATACGGTGGTATAGGCATACAGCCTTGCTTGGATTTCATCTTCTCCCCCTCTTTGTGCAACCGCGGAAGGTTAGTAAACCTGTCTGTCGTGGAAAGTATCCTAGAGCAATGCGGAAACAACTCACAAGATGCGCGCTTTTTGCTCCGGCTCTGTTCCACCCGCTCCTCCACGGTTGATTATAGGGCCAAATCCACTGGTCCTGTTTCGTGTTCATATTTCTATAATGTAGACGGAGCAACAAATTCGTTGCATACGACGGAGGAGAGATGGGAAGGGGGGCAGACCCGAAATAAAGGAAGTTCTGATATAAATTGTAGCGATTTCCTCCCTCTCTTCTTTATCCTGCTGCCCCTTTAAGTATCATCTTCATCTTCCTATTTCGATTGACGCCAAGCATTCATAAACCATATCCATATTTCTTGATTTTGTCTATTGTATTGCCATCACCGTCATGGCGCAGGACCGCAGAAGTGACACCGTTCGTTTGTACGCCATATCCTACTCCAATAATCGTGTTGTCCTTCTTCTGCGGGGGTCTGGTTTACCGAAAGGGGATCCTTTTACTAATTACACTCCCTTTCCCGACAGGAGCAGTGATACATCTTCCGGACGCCATGTCTCCTCCAGCGCCACGTCTGAATGGCGAGACAAAGAGGCGTCACTTATGTTATCGGAATGGCTGCAAGCAACAAATCGCGACAGCGTTCCCATAACTGAGATCCTCTACAGAACCGGTGCCTCCTCAACTGTACTTTGTCAACCCTCCCACTCTTTTGCAATACTTCTGTGACTAACACCTTTCCTAGGCACACGATGATAAAGCAGCTTCGAGGACTCAGCCCCTTTGAGAGCGAGTGTAAATTATAAAAGGGCTTGAATTTGAGAGTTCCCAGGGTCGTCACTTTCAACGGACAGGGACAAAAGTTTGGTGTGGTAGTATTCGAAAAAGTTTATTTGTTTCCCAGGGAAAGTAAAAGCAGTTACTCTCTCGTTTGAATACCCGTATGCCCACTGGGCAGTCTTCTTCATGCTGTGATTGCTCTTCTTTTAATTATATTCTCCTGTCTTCCATTTGGAAGAAATTCTTTTTTGTTTTTGTTTACGCGTAACGAATAAAATCGTTGTCAACCGTCATTACGCCATAAAACCAACCCGCGGTTTGAAGAGAGGAAAGAAGAGGAGAAAAAAGGTCAAATAGTGAGCGGGGTCTTGCCAATTTCTGCTGCAGCGCCGGCCGCGTGGAATCCGTCCATAGTCACGGTGACAGCACCGGCTTGCACAAGCTGTAATGTATGGGTTAGTCATGTTTTCACTTATTGATCATAATTTATCAGAGTGACTCACTGCGCGAGAAAGGTCCTCTATCAGATCCGTGGCATCCTCAATTCCGACACACAAGCGGATGATGTCCTCTGGCATCTGGCGTTCGGCGCGGGTCTTGGCATCAATGCTAGCGTGGCTCATCTGGCAAGGCATGCTAATCAGACTGTTGACGCAGCCGAAGCTGACGCTGATGCCCCAGATCCTGGCAGCCTCGACAACCTTGGACGACACGACAGGGTCGCCAGTCTCAAAGGAGAGGACTGCACCGGCACCGCGGGCTGTCGACCAGTGCAAGTCGTACTGGGGGTGGGATTTGAGACCGGGATAGCGGACGCGGAAGCCATGGGACTCGAGAAACTCGGCAACGGCCTGTGCATTGGCTTGCTGCTTCTCCATACGGATGGCGAGCGTCTTGACGCCACGCATGAGCAGGAAGGAGTCGTTGGGTGACAGGCCACAGCCGGTCGAGTTGATGGTGAAAAAGAGCCTGTTGCCAATCTCGGTGTCGTTGGTGGCAATGATACCGGCCATGATGTCGTGGTGACCAGACAGGTATTTGGTTCCGGACTCGTAGACAATATCGGCACCGATCTCGAGGGGATTAAGGAGCATGGGCGACATCATGGTGTTGTCGACAACGACGAGAGACTTGGGGTTGACCTCGTGGGCGTAGGTGGCGATGCTCTGAATATCGACAATCTTGATGAGAGGGTTGGTGGGGGTCTCAAGGAGGACCATAGCCGTCTTCTCAGAAATGCTGGCCTTGACGACGTCGACCTTCGTTGTGTCAACGTGGCGTACCGTGATGCCCTGGTTGGTACCGAGATATGTCAGGAGACGGTGGGTGCCGCCATAGAGATCATCACCGGTGATGACCTCATCGCCAGGTCGGAGGAGTCGCGAGATGACATCCAGGGCGCCCATACCTGAGGAGACGGCGAGGGCGCGGTTGGCATTCATGATCTTTGCCATGTGTCGCTCGAGATGGGTTCGCGTGGGATTGCCCGAACGCGTGTAGTCGTACTCAGATTGACCACCGTAAGCTGTCGTCTGCTTGAAGGTGGCGGATTGGTAGATAGGGATGCTCGAGGCGCCGTACTGGTCCTTGCTGTCTGTGTAGACGAGTTCGGTGGCGAAAGCGTAGCGCCGCCGTCCGTTTCGCGGACTAGATGGAGCAGGAGATGGGGGGAGGTCGTTGCCATCTAGATCGACCCGGCTGAGAGGGTGACTAGACTTAGCGACTGGCTTGTTGCCATTTGGCTGAGGGGCAGCCATGACAATGATGAGCGGTTCAAGAAATTCCGGGGGCGAAGGGTAGGGAGGTGGGACGAGTATAGGAAATAGTAATGGGGGAAGTTAATGTGACGTTGTGAAGGAAGAAAATCTCAAGACTGGCATTCGGTGGGTGGATGGATTGATAGATACAAATAGGTCTTGAAGGTGAATAGATGGTGAAAAGATGGTAAAAAGATGGTGGGCGGACTCATGCTGTGGGGTAACCCTGATAAATGGTACTTGTGCCTGTGAGCTCTGTATAATTTTAGTATCTCATCTTGCTCTTCTAGTAATACATGATATGGAGCATTAGAGGGTCATTGCTTTGCAGTTGCCCTGCCTGACTGGCTTATGATGCCCGTCGACTATCTCTCCAGGGCCGATTTACGGAGGGAGACTTGTTAAAAAGCACCTTTTCCGTACGACACTCTACTGAGAGTGCATATGTACCCCGCTATCCATGAGCCATTGCGCTGAATGCCGAATGACCGGCTTCGAATGACGTGCTTCAATACAGTATCCACCCTGTACATTGCACTGTCCCGAGACTCCGGAGGCTCCGATCCCATATCATGGGATTGCAACAGTAGTAATACTAGCTGTACTTAACTTTTTGAAAAAGTGAGTACGATAGTGTGCCCTTCATTCTTATGGCTTAATTCACGATTGCTTCATTGCAAACAATTACCGCCACTACCAGACTAATGTCGTGCGATTTCAATATCCATGGTATCCTGATTATATTCGCATATCCGCTGGTGACTTATTGACTAGTTTGATACTCGCTCGTGTTTGAATGGCGTCATATACACAATCCCGCAACCCCTGTGAATATGTAATACTTCGTGACCGTAATACAGCACCCTCGCTTTTATATCACTCAATCCTGAGGCTCGGCAATGGGCTCATCGACATCCTCGTACTCGTCACTTGACGATGGCTTCTTCTCAACCACATGCACCGAGTTCTGCCTGGGTGCGTGTGTCTGACCCCGGGTGCTAACTCCCCCCAGGAAGTCGGAAGTCCTGATACCCCTAAAATCGTCTGGGTTGACTGGCGCCATGGCCCGGCCCTGTCCTCTGTGTTGCTTCATGTACTCGCGCACAGGGGCCATGGCTGCATCCCGGCAGGCCTCCTTCAGGTCACTGCCAGACATCCCTGCGCTAACCTTGGCAACATAGTCGAGGTCAAACTCGTTCTTATCCGTCTTCGTCCCGTCCAGTACGAGCTGCAGAATTCTCCGGCGCTGCTCGCGGTTGGGTAAAGAGACGGGGAACTTCTTTGGCATACGGCGCAAGATGGCCTCGTCAATGTCGTGGATGCGGTTAGTGGCTCCGAGAACCACAATCTGTGCAGGTTTCCCAGACGAATCTGACGACGTCAGTCCGTCCCAGAGGGTCATGAACCTATCCGATGTTAGCTGGTGTTCTGGCCCTTAATGGGTAAGCCTTTGGAGGCAAGGAGATACTCACTCAGCCTTGACCATGCCGCTCGCCTCATGCTCTCCACTCCTGCGTGTTCCCAGCAAGGCATCAATCTCGTCGATGAAGATGATGGCGGGCTGCATTTTGCGGGCAAGGGAAAAAACGGCACGGACAATCTTGTTGGAGTCGCCGTACCACTTCTCGGTGAGCGTAGAAATGTGAAGGTTGATGAAAGAGGCGCCACTCTCATGGGCCATGGCCTTGGCCAGCATCGTCTTTCCGCAGCCGGGGGGGCCGAACAATAGGACGCCCGAGGGAGCTGATAGCAGCGACTTGGCGTGCGAGTATATGTGAGGCATCGTCAGTGGATAGATGACGGCTTCCTTGATTTCCTCGATGATTGACTCAAGGCCACCAATGTCTAGTACTTTTTGTTAGCACCTGTGCGTCATTCCACGTGAAACAATCGGCCATCTTGGACAGCCTTTAGCTGCCGACACCGACGTACCATCAAATCCCACGGGTATGTCTTCGGGCGCCACCATCTCCAATGCAATCAAGCTCTCGTATTCATTGAGACGTAAGTCTTCTACTCCCCGTCTTGAGCCGCTGCTTGTGTCGCCATCGGGGTCTTGGTTGTCTCGATGTCGCCGGTTCAGACGTTCGAGGTGTGCCTTGGCCTGGTTCTTAGCCTGCTCTTGCCGCTCCTTGTCGGGATCTGCCAGGTTGCTGAGTATCGGATTCAAAAAGGTTCTCGCCACATAGATGCCTGCTGTCATCTTGCCCGCCAGCCATCGTCAGCATCAGGTTCCACCTACGCATCTCGGGCGTTGACCCCCTCCCCCAGACTTACCACGCCTGCAAACAGCATGACGTCCATGGCGACATCGCCAAGTCTGCGTCGTTCACTCATCCCGATGGCCAAGTTTAGCCAAGATGAGGTTTGTTCGGGCATCAGATGCCAAGCATCGGATGGATGGAAGATGTATGCGAGTGTCTGACTTGGGAGAATAGCGGCAGCACGGGATCAAGATTCAAAGACGCTGCAATGCCTGGCTACCACACAAGAAGAATGCAGGGGCAGAAGAGCACAACCACTTTCGAATTATATACCGGCTTGAAAATGATGCAGATAGAATCAACCAAGAAAGAAACTTGGGTAATATTGGATGCTGTTTTTGCACGTGTAAAGGATGAAACATTAGTCCCCCGTATCCATTAATGCTTTGCGTCTCTCTAGTGTCGCGACGTTTAACTGCTTGTATGGACTTGAGCTAGTAAATTTGTTAGGTTCCTTGCCTGAGGCACTATCTGGACCTCCATATTGCACCAATACGACAGTCGAGCCCAATGTACGCGACCCACCCGCACATTGTACAGATTACACACACATATGCACAACTCCTCTGTTTACTTTCGTCCTAATTGGGAATGTCCCTCCAAAACATCGAATGTCCCCTCTCATGCCTTTAATTGATTATTCTCTAACGAAGTTTGGTCGCGCCTCGAATGTCTAAATATTATGCACCCAAAAAAGAACAGTCGCTGTTCTCCAACACTTTCGTTTCTACCCTCAGGATTACCGCACTTCCTTCCTTATTTATAGTCACATATCTATCCTTACGCGCTTGCCATGCCGCGTGTTAGAGCCGGTCCAGGCTTCTCCGGCCTCATAGGGTCTGACTCTGAGCCCGATTTCGATAACTTCCATACGGCAGTGTCTTCGTCATCACTGGCTCCCGGAAAGTCTATGGGAATTACCAAGTCACGCGGTCGACCGCTGGCAAACGCTCACAAAGTTACCAAGCCCGCCCCGAAAGGTGTCCAGCAAACGAATGGCACTGCGACAGCCCGACAAGCCCTCCAGGACAAAACTGGCAGCGCAGATACGAATGGAAGATCGTGCAGACACGCAGACAATTCCCACATGGAACCCGATCTTGTAAAGCCAACGCAGCCAGCACGCGCCCGACCCAAAACCACCAGTATTGCACCAACCAAGGCCAGCTACAAGCCTACAACTACACAAGGCCCACCACCTAAGGCGCAACATGTCCCGGAAGAAGACGCGTTCGAAACAGGCCGAGAAGAGTCTATGGAAGTGGATGAGATTGGTCAGGTCGAACGCAAGGTTGAGGAAGAGTTTGAGGACAAACTGGAGGACGACCGCGTGGAATCCGTGGGGCCCAACAGGACAGGGAGAAAAACTTCTGCGGATGACGGTTCAGGTGATGTCAGTTTGCGACAGCAACTCGAAGAACTCGGCCGGCGCTATGAGAGCCTAGAATCAAGATACAAAGAACTTCGCGAGGTTGGGGTCAAGGAAGCAGAGCGCAACTACGACCGTCTCAAGAGGCAAGCAGACGAGAATAGTGCTGGTAAGTACTATGTACGTAGTTTCGATAGCACACACAATACTGATACACTTTTTTTGACAGCCTCAAGCAAGCTCATATCTGAGCTGAGAGCCGAGCTGGCAGCAAGGTCTTCTCTGGGCAGGAAGTTAGAGACCACCGAGACCCGATGCGACGACTTGCAGGTCAAGGTCGACCAGCTTAGCACTAGCCTAAGTGATGCCCGGTCAGAAATCAAGACATTGAACACCAAGCTGGCAGCGGCACGGAACGCCGAGATTAGTGCCAAGGTGAATGGGAGCACCATGAAAGCAAATGGCGGATTCAGAGGTCCTCCTACGGAAGTCGTCCAAACCGCACAGGCCAAGGAAGACTTATACGGTGACCTTACTGGACTTATCGTCCGGGGCATGAAGCATGAGGGAAAGGAAGATGTATTTGACTGCATCCAAGCTGGCCGCAACGGGAGTAAGACTACCCCCTTCCATTGAACCTCTAGATGCCGAGGGACTAACACTACTGTTCTTTTGTAGCCTTGCATTTCAAGCTGGCCCTGGAAACAGCAGATGCCAGTGGAAACTACGAAGATGTCCAGTACACGTACCGTCCACAGCTCGACCCTGGTCGCGACGGTGAACTGATGGATATTCTGCCTTATTACCTTTTGGAGGAGATCACTTTCCCACGGCCTCACGCATCCAAATTCTACAGCCGGGTAACCAAGTCACTTTCAGAATCGTTAGGCTAAAGTGAGAAGCGGGAAATGGTTGGGATTAAGGAACCGGGTTGAGGTGCTGAATTTGAATTGCTCTTGGCGTATAATATCCCCTTAATGGCGTTTACATGTCACAGAACAAGTACCATTGTGGTATTTAGCAGCTGGGCCTCCAGCTTAAAAAACCCTTTTGCAAAGCACTTTATTGTACGGTATAAAACAACCTTGAGATCCGTCACAGGCATCAAGGTTTCTCAGTTGCTTTTTATGCTGAGGGTGCATGACAGCTTAGACTGAACGGCCTTCGAACAGCTCACAAAACACGAACTTGGAGGTTTATTAATCATATTCATAGTTGGCAAATGTAAGTGGAACTAGTGATGCCTCAGACTGGTAGCGTATCAGCATGCACCGGATTCTCTGCAAACACATGATTCCCGTCGTATCCTCAAAGAAGCGCAACACGATCACGGTCAATCTTCCGGACAATTTTTCGATCGCGAGTCCGAGAAGCAACATTTCGAAGATTACGTAGCACAAGAGTGTATGCAATTGAACAAGGTTATGATAAATAAAGTCTAGTAACGTTGCTTTTCTCTGATGTAAAACAGAAACCCATGCTATGTTCACGATCATAATCAACGTCTTACATGACTATAAAAGGTAGGATAACCATTCTGATTTAGTAGGATCGTCGTCGGGAAGTCGATTGGAGTCTAGACCTAGAAAGCCCCGTTGTTTGTTTCGACATGCATGTTCAGAAGCCACACCATGTTGCTTCTCGCAGCTCCTGATAGCAACCATAGCTAAACCGGTAGGTTCATGTGCGTAGACAGTTTGGAGTTCTGCGCTGGCTGTCACACAAGTCCAGCTCACTCTGACTCAATGATAATATTATGTCGGATCTTACTCGAAGACCTGCGTGCTTGCACGCGCTAAAAGATCCAAATGCACATTCCCACGTGATACATCGTAGGCTCCATGATATTGGGGGAAGAAACACAGTCTTTTAGTACGCCTTCGTAGGATCTAGTATCGAGACCATATAACAAACCATTGAATCTTTAGACTTATATCTTAAGCCTAAGTCTGCAGATGGTACGGACGTGGTGTCGCTTGATCGTTTACGTGGAGGATGGAGAATTCGAGAATCAAGCCTAATTTCCCTTACGGCTGGAGTTTACGATACGCCGATTAAAGAAATATACTCTTACAATTTCGCAAAATTAATTTCTAATTCACGAGAGCCTAGGGGGTACAGTCGCTTGAAGAAGAAGAGATACAGATACAGCCTCTCAGCTCTCATATGGCTGTTACCAAGCACCATGAGGGAAGGAAAGAGACCATAGGAGGAAGGAGATCACCTGGGAAGGAAGGAGACCTGAGGTGCCAAAGGATATCAAATAAGGAATAATAGCCAAAAAGAGAAAGACAAACAAGATCAAAATAATAAACACAACTTGCGTTGCGTGTCTAGTGTTTTGTATCCTAATCCACACTTCATGATACCTGTTATGAGAGACGCTACAGTACATGCTCAACGATCAGCCACAGGGTCTGGGGTCTTGGCTTGAGGTCAGCTGGGATGCCATTGACGTCGGCTGAATCGACGTCCCGCTCATCCGTGATAGGGACCGTTCCATCCTCACTTAGGACATGGAAAACCAGGACTCGTGGAAGGGGTTTACGCAGTGGATTCTCGACGACGCTCCTGACGGAGCTTACGCCCAGAAGAGCGACGGTCAGGTGGTCATTGCGGCGACTGAGGGAGAGAACGCTGTCGTCAACACTGTCCCCCGTGACTGAATCCTGGAACAGATTGGTAGCGACTGTGTCTATGTCGATGATGACCGTGGTAGTCCTGTCATCTCTGCCCATCGGTTTGGGAGTTACTAGCCTCAGGTCGTGATTAAGGGTCAAGAGGGATGGATTCCTCGCGGGAATGGGGATTTGTGAATATATATATATATATATGTTTCTCCGTTCGTCAAGTCTAGTTTTCTTGAATCATAGGGTTTGATTTTCTGTATTTGTCAAAGATAGGAAGAGCATAGAAAAGAAAGAAAATTGAGTCGTTGTGCACCTTGATACGGTGCTGTAAAAAGAAGCATATTTGTATTTATTGGAAATCTTGTAACACCACAGAATTGATCCACTTTATCTACCTTGAGAGGTGGAAGCTGTGACACCACTACCGCGTGAGCATTTCATTGGCCACGCGTCTTGATATTTCTCTCTACTATGTATATGTACATTAATTTTTGTCCACGTCGCGAACAGTGTCAGGCCCCTTGGACACCAGACAGCCACGGAGTGCATTGATCTGGCTGGACAAGAAGAAGCTCCTATCATCTGCATACAGAATCGCGACACTTTCTTTATTGTAACCGTTTTCCTTCTTCTTCTCATCATTTCGGACTTGTTGCTAGGCTCCAGAACGAATGATTCCTCTCTTCATTTCTCAACGTTTGCTAGATCCAACCCCCCCTGTCTATCTCAAGATTCTCGCTGCCCCGAGCTATGGAAGTGCTTCCTTGGCATTGAATTTCTAACAGTCCGCCAAACCAGAGATAGCTTCGCTTTCCGCACACCAGCATCTCCCGGACTGCCGCCGCCATGACTGCCATCACTCGTTTCGGCTTCCTGGCTGCGGCCATGGTGTTCCACCTGGTCTACATTGTCTCCATCTTCGACATTTACTTTGTCAGCCCAGTCGTCTCAGGGATGCGCCTGTTTGGCGTGGAACGTCAACCTACAGACAGGGCGCCAGCCGACAGACTCGTTCTCTTTGTCGGTACGTGAAGGGCACGGCAGTAGTGTCACTTTCATACATGAGTCTAAGTGATGGTCATGGATCCACTGCTAACATCACTTCATATATCTAGGCGATGGGCTTCGAGCCGACAAGGCCTTCCAGTCTTTCCCACTGCCCTACCCCACCACAGATGACGACCTCGTTCCGCGGCCGCTCGCCCCTTTCCTACGCTCCAAGGTTCTCGAAGAGGGAACCTTTGGTGTGTCACACACTCGTGTCCCGACCGAATCACGTCCCGGCCACGTTGCCTTGATTGCTGGCTTGTACGAAGATGTTTCGGCCGTCGCTACCGGCTGGAAGCTCAACCCCGTCGGCTTTGACAGTGTTTTCAACAGGAGTCGCCATACCTGGAGCTGGGGCAGCCCTGATATTCTCCCCATGTTTGAGCGCGGTGCTGTCCCGGGCCGAGTGGACGCCTACATGTACGGGGCGGAGCTCGAAGACTTCTCCAAGGATGGCATGCATCTCGACTTTTGGGTTTTTGACCACGTCAAAGACTTCTTCGCCGAGGCGGCCGTCAACCCCGAGCTAAACAATGCCGTGCGCCAAGATAAAGTCGTCTTCTTCCTCCATCTGTTGGGTCTCGACACTACCGGCCACGCCAAGCGGCCCTACTCGCCCGAGTATCTCGACAACATCAGAATCGTCGATCAAGGTGTCAAGGAGGTCACAGAGCTCATCGACAACTTTTACAAGGATGGAAGGACTGCCTACGTCTTCACAGCTGACCACGGCATGAGCGACTGGGGAAGCCACGGTGATGGTCACCCAGATAACACCAGGACTCCATTGATTACCTGGGGTTCCGGTGTCGCACCCCCTCAACTATTTCCTGGCATGGTTGCACCAGGACACGATGAACTCTCATCCGACTGGGCACTAGACCATGTGCGCAGGCACGATATTGCACAGGCGGATGTTGCTGCGTTGATGGCGTACTTGATTGGCACCGAGTTCCCCGCCAACTCGGTTGGCGAGCTGCCTCTCTCCTACCTGGCAGCAAGCAGCAAGGAAAAGGCCGAGGCCCTCCTTGTGAACGCTCAAGGTATCCTGGAGATGTACCGTGTCAAGGAGGAACTGAAGCAGCAGAGGCAGCTCCGGTTCGTCCCTTACAGCCTCCTCAGCTCCGAGGGGCTAACCCCTGAGGAGCGATTATCAAGCATACGTGACCTCATTGTCGAGGGCAAGTATGAAGAGGCCGTGGAAGAGTGCGATGCTCTCATTGGACTAGGCCTCAGTGGCCTGCGCTACCTGCAGACGTACGACTGGCTTTTCCTCAGGACCGTCATCACTCTGGGTTACCTTGGCTGGATGGCATTTGCCCTAACGACAGTTGTCGACATGTTTGTCGTACCTATGGCGAACCCTCCGCAGAGGTCCTTTGCCAGTGTCATATTCTTTTCGTCAGTCCTGGTGGCACTCTATGCGTCATTTATCATCTCGAGCTCCCCTGCTACCTACTATATCTACTGCTTCTTCCCGGTTGTTTTCTGGGAAGAGGTCCATGCCCGCAAGGCCAGCATCGTCGAGGGAAGCAAGATCCTGTTTGGCCACATCAAGTCGGCGGGTGCCGTGTTGACTTTTGTTGTCAGCACTGGCCTTTACATTGCCGTCATCGAGTCACTAGCACTTGGATATATCCACCGCGAGATTTTCACCGGCCTGTTCCTCCTCGCAGCTTTGTGGCCAGCTGCCTACGGCATCGAGTTTCTTAGGTACCACGGCCTCCTCAGCGCCACTTGGAGCATATCATGCATTGCCATGAGTGTCTTTACACTTCTACCTGCCATGAAGGTGGAGAGTGTACCACTAATGTAGGTACATCCCCTATATACACTCCTTTTTCGCTTGTTTCTAACGCCCTGCAGCCTGGTTGGCGGAGCTTTGATGGTACTCATTGGGTTCCTGTACCTTGCGCTAGAGGACTTCGTTCTTGCCGACTTCACGCGGGTAGAAGGGATCAAGCCGGCCAGCTCTACAAGCCGAATTATTACCGGAATCCAGGTGGGATTGACACTACTGGCTACGCTGGTAACGCGATCCAGCGCTCTGTCACTCCAGGCAAACCGGGGCCTTCCAGTTGGAAACCAGATTGTCGGGTGGATCGTTCTCGGTACGCATCTTCCCCCGCACCGTTTATGTGCATACACGGTATTTACTGACTTCTTGAGATAGTCGTCTCGTTCCTGGCGCCCGTAGCGTACAGGCTAGATCCCAACCCCAGTACGCATTACATGCACAGGCTTATGGTGCTGTTCCTGACGTGCGCCCCTACATTCGTGATCCTCACTATCTCGTACGAGGGCCTCTTCTATGTGGCCTTTGGTATTACTCTGTTGACGTGGGTCAAGCTCGAGTACAGCATTCAGAGGTTTATGACGAGCTCGAGCACGTTGCCTGCGGTAGCGAGTACGACCACGAGCAGTAATGGCAATAGCAAAGCGGATGCCAAGGCGGAACGCCTTCTCCGACCACTGACCCTTTCAGACGCGCGCGTGGTACTCTTCTTCATGGTGCTCCTGCAATCAGCCTTCTTCAGCACGGGCAACATTGCGTCGATATCATCCTTCAGCCTAGAGAGTGTGAGCCGGCTGATTCCCGTGTTCGACCCCTTCTCGCAGGGCGCCCTACTCATCATCAAGCTCATGATCCCCTTTGCCTTGATGTCGGCTAACTTAGGTGTGCTGAACAAGCGTCTCGGTGTGGCGCCGTCGGCCCTCTTCATGCTGGCCATGGCACTGAGCGACATTCTCACTCTCTACTTCTTCTGGGTAGTCAAGGATGAAGGGTCATGGCTGGAGATTGGGTCGACAATTACGCACTTCCTCATTGCCAGTCTACTGTGCGTATTTGTAGCCTTGCTGGAGGGTGTCAGCTCCCTGTTTATTGCCGGTGTTAAGGTTGAACCGGCCCAGGTCCCTCCATCGATACAGAACAATGAGGGTAGCAAGAAGGGTATCGACGGAGAGGCACGCTCTACGGCAACCAAGTCCAAATAGCAGCTAGGGGGCCGTTTACGATAATTCAATAAAGCATCAACTACATACATTCCAGTTTTGTCTCCCGTGTGTAAAGTAGGTATGTAACGAGGGTCCGAGGGTCATGGGGTGCCGCGCGAGTGTGATAGCGCAACGTACCTGTACGTAACGTGTTAACGAACTAGCTTCACGCATTCGCTCTCCTTTCCTACTCGTACTAATCGACAAATGAGGAAGGGGTGTGTGAGGGAGATGCCACTTGCAGTGCTGTACGAGTAGGTCGTGGGTGAATAACTTTTGGTATTAGATCACGACGCTACGTTGTGACACAGATGCCGCTAGTTTCCTGGGGTATTCCGGCAACACCCGAGACCTTTCGAAGATGTGAACGTCATTTTCTCAACGGCAGATTGTACGAACAAAGCATGTATGTATCTTGGCATACCTGATTTAGATTCCAAGTCCTGCGGAGCGGAAGAAACGGAATAGGTTTCGATGGCCACGTCGAACGCTATTTGCAATCTTCAATGAGTGAGCGCCCCCTGCCTGTAGCCCCATGGGGAAGCGGGCTGGTTCCATGATCTACAAGTCTTGTCGGATCCGAAGGGAGCCAGTCACATGGGTAATTTGGTGCCACTGGCAAATTTTGTATTTCGTTACCCCATATCACTTTTTTCCAACGTACTTCGCAACGGAGGACGGATTTGGGAATGTTTGTGATTAGACGTATGTTAGTGACAATCCTTTCTCCTCTTTTTCTTCCCTCCTCTATTCATTTTTCTTGTTCTATTTACTTTATTGTGGTCCTTGCCCTTTGGCTTTGCATGTATCTCAAATGTGAAGGATAGACAACGAGGTCACAACAGATGCTGGGTCTTACCCTGTTGGTGCGGGGAGTGAAGCTAGAGATACCGAATCAGCAGGGCAGTTTCAGCAGAGAGGAGGGGGAAGCATGTGAAGATGGAATGTGCCGTCACACGTCGAGTGAGACGAAAACGAGGACACTGAATTAAGAAAACCAAAGAATGGCTGAGACAGGGGTTTAGGTACATCAATAGTGATCACTTACCAATACTTAGACATAATTTAAGTAGGCTATGACTATCTAGTACAGTGAAGGTTGCAACACGTGCGTACCGAGGGGAGGAGAGCGTTTCAGCAACAGTGGCCGGAATGACAATTCAACGCGAAGTGAAGTACGGAGTAATACTGAATGCTAGTAAAGATGCGAAATAGGGAAAACGCCCGGGTACAAGGAGCGACTAGTGACATCAGAGCAACATCGATCGAGAGTAGCACGAGGGTATCTCCGTGGAGAGAGTCCTATGGGAGGGGAAGCGGGGTCGATGTGATGTTGGTATTGGGGGAGCCAGTAGCGTGACGATTATTACTATTACTAGTAGCATTAGGTACTAGTGATACAAATATAGTAAAGTAAGTAACAGTTGACCGTAGTAGTAGTAGTAATAGTAGCGATGATGACGGGGCGATCCAATATTGGTAGGTTAGAGAGTTAGACCCAGATTTACACGGGGAATGGCAAAAGAACGAGAGTACGGAGTAGTGTATCTGAAGAGTTTTTCTTCAGAGGGGGGAGAATGGCCATGTATGATGTCGTATGCATGCGTCATCGGTGCACTGATCTAAACAAGTTAAAACTACGAGTACTCCGTTATAATACAGCACGCGCCGTAGCAACGTTGTTACAGTTAATGCCCTGTAATGATCCACGAATGGCTAGGCGGGCAGTACTTACTCCGTGCTCCGTGAAAAGCTAATCCACAGCCACTTTAGCCAACGAGCCCACAACGGTCATAAAAGGACCCTATTGCCGCCAATCTATATGTATTACTGGTCAGTCCAAGCCTTGAGAGCCAGCGATTCCGAGAGGCAGAGAGAGTGAGTTTGTGTGTGTTGAGGCAAAGGCTGGAAAGACCAAAAGATCCATCAGTATGTGTGTGTGCCTGCGCAAGCACTAAAACTCCAGACCCACAGCTCGCCGCTGCTGCCGTGCTGTCGGTGTCACTAGTACCGTGTACGAGTAACCAAGTAATAATAATTTTACCTCCCGGTCCAGTGTGTCTCTCTGTTACTCCCGCTCGCAGTGCAGACAGACCATGTCTGCCACCTTAAAGACACCAGCTCACTACGAACTGCGCGCCGCCGACGCCCAATCTTCTCTCACAAAATATCACCAGGGGGGAAGAACCAAAGGGTACCATGGAAGTCGAAATGCCGCTCGAATCCGAGCAGCAGCAGCAGCGGCAACAACAAGAGCCGCAAGCTCAGCAGGCACAGTCTCAGTCCCAACAACAGCAAGACTCGCCGTCGACAAATCCCCCTGCTCCCAACAATGCTATTACAACCACAGCAGGCAGCATGAGTTTCCGAAGGTTGGTCTTTTTTTCTGCAATCGTCCACATCGCGAACTGCACTGACCCCGAACCTATCCGCAGGCAACGAGCATCGAGAGCATGTGAGGTAAGGTTTTTTATTCAACATTTCCAAGTCGTTCTCTTGTTTTAAAATAAGCCATGTCGGCGCCACCACCCATGTGCCACTGCCCCATCCAAGCTCCATCCTTTCCCCGCGATGGCTTCCATGAGCCGAGGCATCTAGGTGAAGATGCCAACGGCCACCACCACCACCACCACAACTACCACCGCCGCCATACATAGCGACACCCTTCACCCCTTCTCTTCCCAACCACGCGCTGTGGAATGGTATTAGCGACATTGGCTGACTTTGGGACACGCATCGCTGCAGACATGTCATGCTCGCAAGGTAGGTTTCCACAGTCACAATCCTCCTGTTCTCCCTAACTACTTGCTGACTACCCCTGTCTCGTAGGTTCGATGCGACGCCGCCAGTCTTGGTGTTCCCTGCACAAACTGCGTCGCCTTCCAGATTGAATGCCGCATACCGACGCCCAAGCGGAAGAAGGCCCAGAGCACGACCAGCAGCCAGCCCAACAAGGACTCTGACAGGTACGTCGCACATCTTGTCGTCGGTCTCTAGCCGAAAATGCTGACCTCGCTGCTACTCAGTGACCGAGGTGACAATCCAGAAGAACGGACGCATAATGCCGAGTCCACCGCCACCGCTGGTCTCGACCCTCGAGGCACCGTCGGTGCTCACACAAACCAGGGAACGCCCTCGGTAGATCAGACAGAAGCCCAGGCCAAGAAGGCGGAGCTCGATAGCAGCACCTACGTCAACATCGTCATGAAGCCCAAATTCACCCGTGCACCCATCACCGACGCCGGTAGGGTTGCCTACCTTGGCGAATCTTCCAACCTGACTCTGCTCGTACATGACCGCCAGGGCGACGCCGACGTCGTCCATTATCCTCTGCCGGAGAACATACGCGGATCCCGCGCCCGCATGACAGAGCTGGACAACGTCGAGATTGAGATTCTTCACCAGAGGGGCGCCTTTCTACTGCCACCCCGGCCACTCTGCGACGAGCTGATAGAGGCCTACTTCAGATGGGTCCATCCCATCGTCCCCGTCATCAACCGCACCCGCTTCATGTACCAGTACCAGGACCCTAAGAACCCGCCGTCTCTGCTCCTCCTCCAGGCTGTCCTGCTGGCCGGGTCCAGGGTCTGCAGCAACGCACAGCTCATGGACTCGAACGGATCGACCAACCCGGCTGCACTGACCTTTTACAAGCGAGCCAAGGCCCTGTACGACTCCAACTACGAGGACGACCGGGTCACCATTGTCCAGTCGCTTCTGCTCATGGGATGGTACTGGGAGGGTCCGGAGGATGTCACCAAAAACGTCTTCTATTGGACTCGCGTCGCTACCATTGTGGCACAGGGGTCCGGTATGCATCGTACAGTCGAGCAGTCGCAGCTTAGCAAGTTCGACAAGCGACTGTGGAAACGTATATGGTGGACCTTGTTTACCCGCGATCGCTCTGTCGCCGTGGCGCTCGGCCGTCCCGTCCACATCAACCTCGACGATTCCGATGTTGAGATGTTGACTGAGGATGATTTTATCGAGGACGATGCCAACGGTGGCGGCGAGTTTCCTCCGGATCCCATCCACGTCCAGTTCTTTCTACAGTATGTTAAGCTGTGCGAGATTATGGGGTTGGTCCTGTCGCAGCAGTACTCGGTCGCCTCCAAGGGTCATCAGCGAAATGCCATCGACCTGACGCACAGTGACATGGCCCTTGCCGACTGGCTGCAAAACTGCCCTAAGATTGTCTACTGGGAGGCCCCGAGGCATCACTTCTGGTCTGCCCTCCTCCACTCAAACTACTACACCACCTTGTGTCTCCTCCACAGAGCACATATGCCTCCCAAGGGCGCCAAGGGTATGCCCGAAGAGTCACCCTACCCGTCCCGTAACATTGCCTTCCAGGCAGCCGCCATGATCACATCCATTGTAGAGAATCTCTCAGCACATGGCGAGCTGCGCTACTGCCCTGCCTTTATCGTGTACAGCCTGTTCTCAGCCCTCATCATGCACGTGTACCAGATGAGGTCGCCCGTGCCTTCCATCCAGCAGGTGACACAGGATCGCCTGCGGAGCTGCCTTAGAGCCATGAAGGAAGTCTCCAATGTCTGGCTCGTGGGCAAGATGGTGTACGCGCTCTTCGAAGCCATCATTGGCAATAAGGGCCTGGAGGAGAGGTTGCAGAAGGCCGGAGGCAAGCGCCATCGAAAGATGCAGAGCCTTAACCAGCAGGATCAGCAAGCGAATAACAGGCCAGCTGACGCAGCGAAGCGCAAGTACGACGACATGGCGATGGATTTCACATCCAACGCGCCCACGCCACAAGAGTCGTATGAACGGTCGAGGCCCCAGACACCAACGGCAACAACCGTCAAGGCCGAGAACACGACCAATGACAACAACAACAACAACAACACCGGTGCAACCTCTGCCCAGCCTACCATGGTAGCCTCACCAAACGCCCGCCTGGCTCCGACCGACACATTTATGGGTCAGCCGAACTCCAGGCCGCAGACGAGGCCAGCCACCCCCTTCAACCCATCGTTTTCGGTACCCGCCACGCCACCGGACTTGTACCTGGTGACGAGAAACTCGCCAAACATCTCACAGTCCCTGTTGGAGAATTTTCAACCCGACCTGCTCTTCCCTGATAGCGCGGGCATGCCATCATTCACAACCATGTCGCCCAGTCAGGCCCTGGATCAGAATCCCATGCACCAGCTGCCTACCTCGGCCATGCCGACTAGCATCCCGTCACAACAGTCGCAGCAGGCTCAGCAGCAAACGCAGGCTCAGAACTCCACCCAAGGCATGGGAAAACCTTTCCAACAAGGAAATAGGGATGCTGCTGCAGCGACGGCCCAATTCGCCTTCCAAAATATCTGGCAGCCCAACTTTGACGGGGCGCTGCACGACGAGCAGAGTCCCGAAAGCTGGAGTACGGGCTCGGCACAGGGGCAACCGGCGCCTACTACGCTGAATGTCGAGGATTGGTATGTTCTTTTGCTATATCTCTCCCCCTTCAAAGAGTCTTGTAATATTCTCTCCCGATAGCCGGACCTCTGGGTCTCAAAGTGGAAGCACCCAAAGCTAACATCTGAACGAAACTTAGGTTCCAATTCTTTGGTATTAATGGTGATGCCAGCAATATTAATCTTGATATGCCCTTGACCTAGGGTCCCTATGCCGGGGTTTTTTTTTTCGTCGGGCAATTGAGAAGAAGGGCATGTCTGATGTCAGGTACTATTGTTTGATAATTTAGGATATTGTGTATTTTTTTTTTAAAAAAAAAAAAACCTGGAGCAAAAAAGGGATGCTAGGGCGCAGGTGGAGGAAGAAGCATTTTAGAAGCCAGCGCTATTATATATATACTATCATATTTTGCAATCTTTTCTTTGAGAAAAAAACAAGGTCACAGGAAGGTCACAGGCACGTTGTCTAATGGTGATAACACCAGAAGAAAAGCACTGTTATATCAATGGTCCTCAAGTTATAGGTGATATTGTACGGGAGCGTGTTGGGTAGTATTATTATGCTGATGCGCCACTAAACTAGTGACGATCTAGAAAAAGGAGGCAGGGACGAAAGAGGAAATAAGAGATGAGTTCGGTCCTAGACAGCAGTTAAGCATACCGAATATGCAGATTCTTATCCACACAAGAAAAAAGACCCAAGACGGTTTCCCATTTACGGTGCTAGGCAGCTAATAATGATCTACTAACATCGCCAAGGGGGAAAAGCTCGTGGGGCTGTTGCCAATTGGACGCTGGCCAAATGCCTTGGCATTCTAGTATATGCAGAGTACTTGTACAAAACAGAAGATTGTTCGTAGAGTATGCTTCATTCGTTTGCCTGACCGGTTCCGGTTCCCCCCCCCCCCATGTTTCTGCCATAGGGAGTACGAATAGAGGAACATGACGCGGTTCAGTGCAGGTGCCTGGCATGCAGGTGCCGGGGGGGGAAGGGCACCACATATGGATTAGTAGAAAAGAACAGAATGAATGGATGAATGCAGGAGAGAAGAAGAAAAAGAAAGAAAAGAAGAATACCGGGGTTGATTCGATGATCCAATCTAGATACGTAATATGGTTATAGCTACGGGGTACCAAGGCAGTTTTAATACACCGTTAAAGGGTCAGTGGGTAGTAGTAATACGTCGACGATACGAGTTTGATCTTGAAAGATTGCTACGTGCACAATGTTTGGCTTTTCGCTCGAATGATCACAGGCATAGAGCCAATTAATCTCCGGGAGGGGGAAACGGCCAGGGCCAGAGGGAGGGGTGAAGGGGACGCAGAGAGAGAGAGATAGAGTACAGAGGAAGCAGAGCGGAAGGGGAGTTGAGAGTACTAGTAGACGTAAGTGTTAACGGAAGAGTATGAGCAGTTATTACTCGTAATGCTGTACGGAGCAACACGTTGTAATGGGATAGGAAGAGTGAAAGAGAGCTAGAGTGGAAGAGAGAGAGTCAGACAAAAGAGCCCTCTCCATAGGAGAGGGAGAAATGCACAGAGAGAGAGAGATATATATATGAGCCAAAGGCGGCGACGGACCAATCCTGTGCCACGCGGCCGCCCCACGGAGGCGTACTTTTGGAATCGCTTGCATGAGTGCAGGGCCAACTCCTGACACCTTTGACTCTTTAACTCTCTTCAACTTTCTCATCTGTTTAGACGCATCTTTTTGCGACAAGCCCCCTTCTCGTCATGAGTATCTTTGATTAAACAAGATCTCTACTTTTATTTCTGCCTTCCAACCCTTCCAACCCTTCCTTATACTTGACCCAATAGCGATACAGCCTCTCTCTCTCTCTCTCTCTCTCTCTCTCTCTCGCCATCCCTGTCGATCCCGCCCCCTCTCTGCCATCGTCATCTAGCCGTCACGAAAACCCGAGCTGTAAAACAAACTGTCGGACAGGAAGAAAACAACGAGATCAAGATCACGAAAACAGGGGAAAGACACAGGGAAGAGGACGGCCAAGCACTGATGATCATCAAGCGACCGGCCTCCCGCGAGCTACCGTCGCCGAGTTCGCGGTCACAATGGCCGACCATCCCCACCTGGCCAGGTCCTCATCTAACCTCTCACAATCACACTCAGCCTCGAGTTCAGTCAGGCCTCGCAACCGCCGCCCCATAAACGCTGATTCCGACGATGCGAATAGCCATTATGACGACCAGCCAAGGGGTTCGGGTTCCGGCCTCCTCTCGGCATTCTCCCCCTCGACCAGCCGATCCGTCAGCCCATTCCCCACAGCTGCAACAAGTAACAGCAATAACATACCCTCCCGCTCAGCCGGCGGGAGCCCAAACCGCAACACAGCCGGCAGCACCACGGGAGACCTAGGCCAGTTCTTCTCGGAAACCTGGACCCAGAGCTGGTCCTCGGTTCAAGATATAACAACCACTTTCTTCTCCAACGTTGGCCAGGGCAAGACACTTCTCAACTCGAATACCGGCCTAGCATCACAGCCATCTTCGTCCAGGCAGAGCCCACGCGGCAGACGCCCCTCACTAGCGGGTGACCGGAAGCCCGCCGCATCGTGGGGGCCCGCGCCGCCACCAAAGTCCAAGAGGCCCGGCCCGGACGATGTGGCCGCCGGATCTTTGGCCGAGAGGGAGGCTGCTCTGAAAGCAGCCAAAACGGCCAGCGTGCTGGAGAGTCACGACGGTGTCAACGGCGGCCTCGACGTGTCGGGAAAGCATAAGCGCAGGAACTCGGACGAGGTAGCCGATAACAGTACTAGCCGCGGTGAAGACGACTACCTTGTCTACGTCCACAAGGTGCGACCTGAGGACACGTATGCCGGCCTTATCCTCCGCTACAAGTGCCGTGAGGACGCCTTTCGCCGCGCAAACGGTCTCTGGTCCCGCGACACCATCCAGACGCGCAGGTGGCTGACCATTCCCGTCGCCGCCTGTGATATCCGTGGTCGGCCGTGCGATCCGCCCGCAGACATCAATAACGATAACGACAACGGTAATAGTAAACAAGATGACGTCGATCTTCTCTCGAGAACACCCGAGAGCAACGGCTGCCACCCACCTCAGACGTATCACGACGACTACTTCAACAAATCGACAGATGAGCCATCAACGTCCAACAAGCAGGATGGAGAAGATGACAAGCCATGGACCCACCTCCGCTGGGTCAAGATTGACACGATCCCCGAGCCCGTAGAGATTGGCCGTGTGGCCCGCGGCACAATGGGCTATTTCCCGCCGCGGAGGCGGAGAAGCATCAGGACCATGTCGTCAGTATCGACCCCTCGGCAGAGCCTGGACCTTCCTGAGTCAGTGCTGGACGGGGGACCCTCACCCCGGCGCCCCAGCTCGCTCAGCAGCCGTCCACAGTTCTCAGGAACGCCCACGTCCAGCTGGAGTCGGATAGGGAGCGACGCAGGCGACAACCGCCCAGCATGGATGAAGCGCCCGGGAGGCGTGGGCACCATGGGCCGTAACGCCAGGGCTCCAGGACCAGATAAGGACGTCCTGAACACCTGGACAAGGAAGCACATACCCGGGCTCAACATTGAGGGCATGCCATCCATGGCCATTACGGGCTCAGAACTTGCCAAGCTTGGCTTTCAGAGCGACCCCAATATTGCCCAAACGGCCTACGAGGACACGGCGCGCCGTCAGCAGCAGCAGAGCAACGGCTTCGACCGGGCCGCCTCTACCGTTGAGACGTGGGTCCGCGGCGCATGGGCCAAGCGTCCTGGCACTCCTCTTCTGCGACCCTTGGGTGGTGGGGACCGCGTTGACGGCACCACCGACCTAATTGAGCTGACGGATACGACGAGTGACGACGGCCGCGATAGTCGTCAACCCCCTGGCCCGGGAAACCTGATTCGCAGCGTTTCGATGGGTGCTACGAGTCTGGAGGGCGGTCTGTCCTCACTCAGGGGCAGATCCATGATGAGCGGAGGAGGAGCAAAGGGCGGCAAGGCCGATTAAAATAGAAGCTCCGTCCTCCCTCCTGTTTTATATCTCTTCTTTTTTTTTCGAAATTATATATGTGTTGAAATTGATTGTGGTACGACGATAGAAAGTCCTACATAGAAGCCAGCATCATCGTTTCTTTCTATACGGTTGGGTTTGCAACCTGTAGACATCTTGGGGGAGAGCAGCAAAGAGTTATTTTGGGAGTAGGGCCTGTTCTCTTCTTCTCTTCTTTTTGTCCTTCCTCTTGTGGCTCTTCTACGGGAAGCGTTTGTCCTATTTTCTTCTTTTGAATCGCATATTTCCTGTATCAATACAAGATTAGGCTGTATAGCTGGAGTCAATTTTTTACTTCTACTCCTCCTCTTTTATTTGTTTCTCCCCTTTGATTTCGATAGAAGCAGTCCTGTACGCACTGCAAGACATACACCTCTATTGGGCATATACCACTAGGGCTCAAGAAAGTGATTACTCACAGTAAAATGTTACATGAAAAACTGTGTTGTATGAAGGAGAGAGGCATGTGAAGTTGTTATTTTTCTTTGAGGGGGGGAGAGAGGTACCAAAATTCTGTGGCTAACTAAAGACCGCCGCACTACGTAACTCCCCCCCTGTCCTCGGCACGCGCCGCCGTCGTCTCAACCAACTCACGTACGCAACGGGCAGCCGCAAAAGCCAAGACAAAACAACCACCACCGCACCCACCAGATGAAATGCCCATCTGCATCGAGTGCCGGTACCCGGTCAAGACGCTATGGACGTCATACTCGGCTGCGGGGGATAAGTCGAGCGGGCACAACATCCGACTGACAGTGTGCAAGCGCTGCGGGCGCTTCTGCGACAAGTACGTCGAGCATGACTTTGTCGTTCTCTTCATCGACCTGGTGCTCATCAAGCCGCAGGTGTATCGACACCTGCTGCACAACTCATTGATGCGCGACGGCGACCGATTTGATGTCTGTCTTTTCCCCCCTTCTTTCTCTGACTCGCTTGCGGGGTGCACATATATGTACTAACGGGTGCCCCGGGGCATGTAGCCGTCCATTATTCGACTTGGCGTCTTGCTGCTGCTGTTTGACGTCTATCTTACGTGGGCGCGCATAGAGAAGCAGGCTCAACCAGATTTCTTCCCGCCCGGACAGAGTAATCTGGGGAAGCTGGCGCAGCAGCCCATTGTGTTCCAATACCTATTCTTCTGTATGTTGCATATATACACCTACACGCCTTCAATGACGCAAAGAATGGCTGGCTGACTGGTTGTTGATCTAGTAACCCTCTGCGCCTCCTCGACCGTTGCCTTTCACGCAAGCATACGATTCCTCACCTCGTCTCCCTGGTCACCCCTCGCGGTGCTGGGGGTTTTGCCCCGGTACACACGCCCCAACTCAGTCTCGACAGCCCTCCTAGTGTCCTCGTCCACCAAGCTGTTCCCCATCCTCATGGTGATATGGGAGTACGATGTGCCAGCAGCGGCGCGGTTGCTGGGCTGGGCCGTCGTCGCCAACAATGTCGAGGCACTACGTATCCTGCTCGACTGTAAGTATTACGCTGCCTGCGTGCTGGCCGTGGCAGGGGCGGCGGCGCGATGGGCCATGGGACGTCTCGTCCTCATCACGGCAGGGCTGGGACACGTCGATTCTATAGGGGGAGGGAGCATGGCTGCCGACGGGAGGGCGCTCTGGGGCCTGGTCATGTATGCTAAGCAGTGGGCCGGCAGGCTGGCTGTGGGCTAGCACAGGAGTAACATGCTTCTTATATATATATATATATACATATTCGAAGTTGCAGGTGACGTCAGATTCATAATTACGGTATGGGTAATGAATTCATACGCGCGTTTCTTCCAACCTCCTGGTTCAAGGAGTGTGATGGAATGAAGGAGAGTGCTTTCTCTTTTCCCACGTAGTAGTAGTTGAAACAGAAAACGCCAGTCAATATTCCGAGCATCGCAAGTTGTTTGTAGTTATACAGCCCAAGGGCATGTTCAGGCGTCGAAAGAGAGTTGATCCCAAAAGTACTCATGCAATCCCTCCTCCTTCCCCTTCTCCATTTGTCTCGTCTCGCACAGGGTCTGCCCATCCGCCCTTCGTACTATCTATTCCAGGTATTGCTCTCGGAGGTCGGTCCGCCGGGGGGCGATGAGGGGGTTTAGTTGGGCAAGAAAAGCAATAGCCCACATTAGGTAGCAGCTGACGATGGCGAGGATGAGGGACGATCGCCAGAGGCTGTGGTTGTGTGTCAGCATTCGCACATCCTTCTGGTCCCTTTGCCGCTGCATTCATTCAATAGTCAGGTGGGAGTAACATACACTTGGTTCTCGCCCTTGGGGGACAGGAACCAGGACGCGGCGCACAGAGCGCCGATAATGACCAGGCCGATCCAGATGGCGTACCTGCGAAAGGGCATCAGTATTGATCAATCAATTATGGTCATCAGGAAGACAGCAAGCAGGTCGGCAAGGGAGGGGGGGATCTTACGCCTGAGCCATTTTAGCTGATTCCGCTGTTCTCTTCTTCTTTTTGAAGCGTTCCGAATTCGAGAAGTTGTCGGTTCCGTCGGCGGAGCACAATTCAGGAAGGAGAGAGTTTTGGTTCGGGGAGTTGGATGGCAAAGCCTCAATCAACTGAGATCCCCCGTATCCAATGGGGCAAATTGGTGCTTAAGGGTGCAACGACCTTGGCTGATGGCTCGGGATTTGGCTTAGTCATAGCGTCCGCTGGCTTGCCAATACCTCCAACTGTTACGTCTCATTTAGCTACCAGTCATTAGGTCTGAACGGTGTTTGGACTGTTCTTCATGGACAAAAAATAACTAAAATATCCTTCTACCTCTTTTTAGATCTGTTTTGTTTTGTGTTATGCATGACTTGTTATTGTTCGGTGCTGGTGGTTGTTTTCATCCAACCCAATCTTGAATGGCTACAATGCCCCGTATAACACACAACAGACTACGGATACAAGCATTACTATTAAAGCTTTCAAATATTTAATTCTTCCCTCCTTTTCACTGCTTCTAGTTCTTGAATGGTAGACCGGCCTCCATCCTGACGATACCATAGATTCCGGCAATGTCACCCTTGGAACCGCAGTACTCCTTGACCTTGGCGAGATGACCGTCAGCGATCTCGCAGATAGGCAGCGTGGTGCCGGCCGCGGCGGCGATACTCTTGGCGTGGCGGGCATCCTTGCGGGCGAGGTCGACGCCGAACAGAGGCTCGTCCCTGGTGTAGTAGTCGCCGGTGCGCATACGGTCACTGTATGCGCCACCGGGGCCGCCAAAGAGGCCCTGTATGAGGTTGTGGATGATATCGTGGTGAATGCCGGACTTTTCGGCGGCGACGTGGGCTTCGGCGACCTGCTCGACCATGCCCAGGATCATGCCGTTTCCCAGGACCTTAATGGTAGTGGCCTTTCCGTAGGGCTGGTCGCTCAGGTCGATCTCGGCCTTGCCCATGACGCCCTTGCAGTAGGGCCTGACCTTTTCGACGCTGGCGGCCGGGCCGGCCAGCAGGATGATCAGCTGGCCTGCGTCGGCGGCAGAGGGGGCGCCGAAAACGGGAGCGGCCACGAACTCGGCCCCCGCAGCCAGAATCGTCCTGGCCACCTCCTCGGTCACGTCGGGGTGGATGGTTGAGCACTCGACGAACAGCTTGCCCTTGATATCACCCTTGGCGGCCTGGCCGATGTAGTCCTGCACGGCCTGGTCGTTGGCTAGACATGAGAAGATGATGTCGGCGTCTGCAACGCCCTCGGGAAGAGACTCGACTACCTTGGTCTTGCCAGGCGCAAGAGCGGCACTCAGGTCGGTGGCCCTCTTAGTGGAGCGGTTGTACACGAGGAGAGGTCCAGAGAGGTTGCCTTTCTCAACAAGGTTCTTGGACATGGCCTGTGTGAAAGCGCACTCATCAGCCAGAGGCGGGGCTCAAAACGACCATCGTCTTCTTTGTAAGCAAAGACTCACCCTGCCCATGTTTCCCAGGCCAGCAAAGAGAAGTGTGGGAGCCATTGTTGCTTGGCAATGTACAAGGCGATTGGTTATGTGAATGAGATGATCTGGTTGGGAATGACTGGATGCGACGCTCGCCTGCCTGGCATGCTCCTCTTGATTGATAGAAAACTTGTAGACTGATGGAACTGGTATCTTCAGGTAGAGGCCATCCTTCAAGTAGCCGTCGTACTCTGTACTACTAGCAGCTCTCTCGCATGACAATCACGTGTACTTCTCTCCTCTTTGTGACAGTGGGAATGTTATTATCTACGAATCGCAGATTTCGAGGTGGACCGGATTTCAGTCCTGCCCGAAAAAGAGCGGTTGATAGCACACCCCGCTATTCGCTCATACTCATACAAGAGTACGGAGCAGGTAAACCGTAATACTGCGTCACTGATCCGCAATACCCTCGTGAGCAAGATCATTAAAAACGCTTCAGTCATTCAGCTCCACCTCATAAATATTCATCCATCAACCCTTGATGCAAAGACACAAGGGTATACATATATATATATGTACATTATTGTATCAAATCTGATACATGATACAGACAAAGAATCCATGTCCAAGCTCTTTCAGCAAGACCGAGACGAGGTGAAAAAGGTTTCTTCAATCTCAGAAGATGTCACGAGAGAGAAGATGCCAAGAGGGTGTCAAATAAGACAGAGAGAGGGAGAGGGAGAGAAGCTTGATAATGGGATAATTACAAAGCTACCTGTTGACATGCTTGCAAATACTCCTACAGTGCTAATACATGTAAAACAACGTAGTCATCAACTTCCAGTCTTCATCATGCAGCTTTACTCCGCTCTGATTATGCGCGGCGCTGACTCGCACGTACGAGTATCGTAACAATATCCCGTGATGCATTTACCAGTTTGGTGGCTACAATCTAAGCTCATAGCCGTGCCTCAACTAGAACTGTTAAGGGCCTTTTATTTTTGCCCTCGCTCCTTTGGCCCCTACCTTTCCTCTCTTTTGTGTACTACTACGGCACTCTCGATTCTACCTCTAGCAGCTCTTCTAGAGTCTGATCTATTCGGTTCTGAATTATTGTTCTTGTGCCTCTAGTCATACGTCGTATTGCTTGGGCTATGAGAGGTAGTTGACGTCTTTGGAAGGAATCTTCCCAATGCCTACGGCGAGACATGTAGAGATGTAATGAAAAAGAGTTGGCTACTGGTCAATTCGGTGTTATGGTTGGTATTAACTTTGATGGCTGGGGTATATATACTCTTCCACTATTGAAGAAGCAAATCCAAAAGCTGATTACTGCTCGTAGGCCTTTGTCAATCCTTCTTCTAATCATACAAAGCTACCTCACGGATTATCCCCATAATAGGCACGTGACGGACGAGTACGGTTCATACAAGATCGTGGATGCGGTAACGGCCAAGACTTCAGACGATGCTTGCCGAGTTGTCGGGGAGAGGATCTTGTCTGAGACAATGGCAAAATCGAGTGAGATGTGGAAAACGGCGTGCACAGACGCGAAGCTCGTCTTGCTTCTTAGCAGTATATGTTGGCGACCGTTAGACTTTTTCCGTCGGAGTCCAGTCTGTAACAAGATCAAAGATTTCGATCCTGGCGACAGGAACCATCTCCATCTAATGCACACTCTCCTACCGAAAGGAACACAACTGAGGGGAGGGTCAATGTGAGTATTGGATCCCCAGGGCACTGATGATGACGCGCACAGGGCAATGATGCATGACAGCCGTGATACGATATGTCTATGACCAGGGGGGCTTTGTAGTTTTGGGCTTTCCATTCTTGGTGCATCCTGAGCAGTGAGGGGCCGTAAACCTCAGGTTGCCGCCTCAGACAGTACGGGCAGGTACATGTACTTGCTCGGCCCGTACTAGTACTGATAGCTGGCTACTGGAAGAGTGAGGAGAAGCCAGGATTGATGAGCCACTCTAACACAGCTGGAGCAAGCAGTGCAATGCAAGCGACAGGATGAAAAGGTACGTATCGCATAACCAAGTGTCCCACACTCGGCCTACTCCAATTGGACCCCGGTTCGCAGCAGCGTTCCCACATCAACGGTGGACACTGGAAGCTGACACCATTGACCATAACCCCCCTAAGGGACCAAACTGTTTGCAAACGCTGTTCTTTCTGAAATTCTTCCTGCTGCTTCTGTAAACTATTGCAACCCATCATATTGTCCAAGATCCTCCCTCATCGCTTTGCCCACCATGGATTTCAACGTCGACTTCAAGAGCTTCGGCAAGAACCTCTCGTGAGGCCCCCCCTCCCTCCCCGCCCGCAAAGCCATGGTCGCGCAGCGCATTCTATGGCGGCCGATCCATGTGCTCACTTTTCGAAACTCGAAGACTGATGGCTTTTGTGTAGCGATCTGGGGGCCCAGATCACGCCTTTTGCGTCGCGCACCTTCCAGTACACCAAAGAGCAGTTTGGCCAGACAGATGATAAGGTGGTCTGCCTTGCCTCGAGCCCTTTAGTTTTCGCCGTTCCCCACGGAGAGAAGAATACATCATGTGTCTACATGTACTGACATGGCATGCCTCCCGCAGACCCAGCTTCCTCCCGACTACATCGACCTCGAGAAGCGCGTCGATGCCCTGAAGCGGGCCCACCAGAAAATGCTGGCTGTGACGTAAGTAGCTCTACTCGCCCTGTGGCCTACCGCATACATTCCCGCCTTGATATCAATTGACTAACGTACGACCGTGTTGAAAAGCTCAACCTACTCCAACGAAGCCTACGACTACCCCCCTAACATCAAGGAGACCTTTCAAGATCTGGGCCGCACGGTCAGCGAGAAGGTCAACCTCCTGTCCTCGGCCACCTCCCCCGCCGAGGCCCAGGCCGCCCTCGTCGCCCCTCCCTCTGCCAAGCCGCAGCCCAAGACCCTGAGCCATGCCATTGCTCGCGCCAGCTTGGCCAGCAGCCAGATGCTCCACCAGAACCACACTGGTACTGGTGAAGATCCCTTGGCTACCGCCCTGGAGAAGTATGCTCTTGCCTCTGAGCGCGTCGGCGAGGCCCGTCTCGGCCAGGATGCCCAGATCCAGAGCCACTTCCTCGCTGGATGGAGCACAACCCTCAACACCAACCTCAACTTTGCCACCCGCGCTCGCAAGAACGTCGAGAGGGCCAGGCTTAACCTCGACGCTGTCAAGGCTCGCGTCAAGGGCACTACCTTCAAACTCGGTCATAGCCAGGAGCCCCAGCTCGGCGAAGAGCATGAGCTCAGCCCTGAGGCCCAGGAGGAGATTGAGAAGGCCGAGGATGAGTTTGTTACTCAGACTGAGGAGGCCGTTGGTGTCATGAAAAACGTGTGTCGTACCCCTCCTTTTTCTATCTACTTCTCGCCTCCGTGCGTACCCTTCCTTTGGTATATCGTATACTGACTGCTTCTCCAGGTTCTTGACACTCCCGACCCTCTACGCAACCTTTCTGAGCTTGTCGCCGCTCAGATTGAGTATCACAAGAAGGCCTACGAGGTTCTCACCGAGCTTGCCCCCGTTGTTGAGGGTCTTCAGACCGAACAAGAAGTAGGTCACGCCTCCGAGTATGCGTCTTGAGTTGCCGAGGCTGACCATTCTCCAGGCTAGCTACCGCAAGAGCCGTGAGGAGGCTTCCTAAGTCAATGGTCTCGTTAGCAGCTAGGCATTCCGCAGCAGTCATGGCGGGGCCATGAGGGAAGCTGCGGAGTCGGCCTGCAATATTGTCTAGTTTACGGTGTTGTGTGTCTTGAATTCTGGTGGTGGCTATATACCTGTTATGCGAGAGATGGGACTACGTGAGGGAAAGATGTTCATTATGTTTGCCTTGTTTATATTTTGTGCTGCTTAATTTGACTCGTGTTCCATAGCTGTGCTGGTGCGCGCATTGTGACCGGGTGACGACGTCTTTCTCGAAGTTAACGATGCTCCGACTGGCGTACAGATGTGCCTACGCAGCGGGTCCTAGTCATGAAAGGGACCGCAACCCCGTTAACCACACGCATGCGCCTTTTGCTCTTCGGTTATGAAGTGGTTTTTTCCAAGGACAAAGCACATACGACCATAGCTAGTGGARAATACGGGGTCCCGTCCGCTCCCCCAGAGTCAAGCCGCTRAGCGGTGGATTAGTAGTTGGGTCGGTGACGACCAGCGAATACCCGCTGTTGTATGTCTTTTTTGTCTTTTTATCTCCTACTGCTACTGGACGCTCTATATAGCTTGCATCATTACTACCTTCCTCCACATACGACCATAGCTAGTGGAAAATACGGGCCATGTCAAGTTCTGACAAACAGTAACGGGAGTCACAGACAATGATAGCTAGGCAAGCGGTAAAACAGTGAGTATAGAAAAGTAGGGGGCTGTATTGTATTACAAGATACCAGAGCCGCTAGGTGAGTCAACCATACCGTATCTTGTGTGATTCGATGACTAGCCAGCCTATAGGTTGGCTTCTCCAACAGTTCTGTTATTATATCCCATGGTTCCCGTTACTACATCTATTTACTGCACGTTCCTGCCTTTCATCTCATGGTCTCTTGCACGCAACCCGTCGTATTCGACAAACCTGTTGACGGATTAGTCAATAGGGGCTCTGCTTTGACCGGGAAGCCCGTTTGCGGGAAGCCCGGGAAAGTATAACACTATTACATATTTGTAGAGCACGAGTTCAAGAGAAAGTCGATTTATTAGAAGGTACAACCACAGTGTAAAATAACCTAGAACCCCCTCGTCCCCGTAGGTAGCAAACATAATGACTATTGCATATTGACTACACGTACTATTAGCACGTGCGAGTACATGACGCGGGCTCGAGCTGCCACACACGTCTATAAAGGGTTTGAGCCCAGATGGTAATGATCATCGTTCATTGTCATTTATATATGCCCTTGTCAAAAACACATTCTATAGATGCATTTTGAGACGTCACATGTCCTAGAGATCCCCGCCATCATGGACCATGACGAGATGTCCATGTTCCACGACAACCAAGGGTCTATAGGCACCATCGACTATAATGAGGCTGTTGGCGTGGTCTGTGACCAAAGTCTGGTTGATGATATCTCTCAGAACCGCCACGAGCAATCCCATCCCGCGATTGGCAACTGGTCTATCTCACCTTCCTCAATTCCAATACGCCCACGTGTCCCGCCTTTCACGGAAGCCTCCTCCTACCATTCGACTTCTCCTCCAACTACTCCTGCAAGCCCTTCCCCCGGACATTCCGAGTATCCCCAAGATGCCTCCTGGGCCTCCATCGTTGCCAACCATGTCGGCCATCAGCTCCTATACGTATAGGATGTCTGTCCTCTACCAAAATGATATCATAGTTGAGCCACATGGGCCACTCAGCGAGGTCCCTTTCCCGCCTGCCATCTCCAACACCGTCGACCAGATAAAGAAGCTAGAGAAGGCCAAGCCTAGACCCAAACGAGTCATATTGTCCCTCATGAATGACCCCGTCTTCGTTGAGATGATGGATGGGGCTACAGAGGGCGACGTTAAGAGCATGGTCGCTACGCACTTTATCCCGGAAAGTATCGAGGGGAACCGCGACATAATCACCAAGCAGTCTCGCGCCCAGCTCTCTAGGGCATATTTCCCATGGAAGATTGGCGCCCCCCGAGTCGCCACCCCTATACCTGACATGCTGTTTGGCTATTCGCAAAGAAGCAAAATACTCTCAAACGACCAACTGGCGTTTCTAGGCTGTCAACCTAAGGGTTCCAACGGATTAGCAACCAATAATGGCATATTATTCCCCTTCTTTATCATTGAATGCAAGACTAACAACACGTCTGGGTCGGGAAGCGACATGTATAGCGCTGCCAATCAATGTATAGGGGGGGCAGCAACATGCTGCTGTGTAATCAACCGCCTAAGCGAACAAGTCAATACTAAGAGAGCATCACGCAGGCCCCCAGAGGTAGAGACGATCACCGGGGCCCTAACAATTGACAATTCCAGGGCCTGTCTGTACGTATCGTGGATGGACGGCCATCAATGCCACGTCCGCCTCGTCGACATCTACCTCTTGCATGCCGTTCAGGACTACCTACGTCTTAGCAACTCTATCGAGAACATCTTCCACTGGGGAAGAGGCGATAGGCTAAACGCAGTCCGGGCTTGTGTCGATTATCTCCGTCAATAGAACAAGCCCTCTCGGAATAGGTTGCTCTACTATGGTGCACCGATATTTTTCTCCTCGCTTTTGAGCGGCATGTTTAGAATTTTTGGCCTCTAGGGAGACACTTTGTTCTCTAGCTAGAGCTTGCTCGCGTGCGACGATACGCTATTTATCAATGTGGGACAGGCGGCCAAATATCTACCGAATAGTACGGATTAATGCTTTTGTATGTTTTTTATATACTCGACCTTTTTTTATGCTATCGTTATTGTAGCCCAGGGCCGTGGTGGTAATATGAAGACACACAACTTGCACGAGTGCGAGCGTAGCAAGGCCCCCGGTAGGGACGCCGGAGACATCCCCGATGTCTTCGAGTTTCCATTGCATGTACGTTGACTGGCATTAGGCTACGTACTCACATTGAAATTCAGCACCATCGCGCCACCATCGTCTTGGTTGCTCTTATGGCTCACAAGTTGCATCGTTCAGTTAATCAGTTCTCTACAGAACGTGGTGTTTGTAGAGACAGCCGTGTCGAAATATACTCATTTTATATCATGCACAAATGTACATATCGTTCAATCCACCGTACGTCGTCATGACAGTCATCCCCCATTTTGCGATTCTCCACTATGCTCCCATTATACTCTCTTTCCATCTTGCGCAGTAGCCGGATCACCTGTCTGTGATCTATATAATCCCAATCATCATAGTCCACGCCCTTATTGTCCACATGCTCAAGGTCCACACGTTCAAGGTATACGTCTTCATCATACAACCCCCAAATAGCCCGTTTAATCGGCGTAAGGCCCCTATTACCTATATAAGGTGGGTATCGTCAATGGCTAGGGCCCAATAACCGGTTGTCACGATTAATGGATACTAGAGGAGCGTAAATAGAGGTCTACGATGGTGCTAATGCTAGAAGTTCGATCCTCCAGGTTTGGAAGTCATCCATCCAGGTGACAGGATTCCTGAGCGGTGGATTAGTAGTTGGATGGGTGACGACCAGCGAATACTCGCTGTTGTATGTTTTATTTTCTGACTCTCCTATTTCTATTACCGGCGTTTCTACTTTTTTTACTTTGTTTTTATGTAACCCACACATGCCGGGGGGATGAGATGTACTCGTAGTACCGAATCAACCCGAACCAAAAGGTCATGTGACGCATCATGTGACACTAATGAGGCAAATTGGCCAATCCGAAGCGATCGAATGTGGATTGACAATAAGGTGAAGTGAGGTCAATTCCCCAGGTCGAGGTAGAACCCACCCCCGGAGCCAAACCCCAGATTCCCACTCTCTCCCCTCAATCCCCGACAAAAACGTCGAACCCATATAACACCATTGCACAGCATGCGGCCGACACTCCGCCTGTTCGCGCGTTACCTGGAGCCGGGAACGCCAACGGGCCTGACGGGCCTGTGGACGCACTCGACCCCAAGATCGACCCTCCTGTACCTGTACGGCACCACGCTGAACCGGCTCCAGTCGATACCCGAGTCGTCACTGTACCGGCAGTCAGTCGAGGCAGTGACCAAGAAGCGACTGGGCATCGTTGAGGCTGCCGTACCCCCGGGATACGAGCAGTGGGCTGTCAAGGCCAAGGAGCTCGTTGGCAAGGACAGGGAACACTTCCGCGTCAACAGCGGACGCATCGACGGCAGCGAGGCCCGCACCGTCAAGCTTGGCGACCGCGTCTTTATCGTCGGAACGAGGCACGAGACCAAGGACGACCGCTCCGAGGAATGGGACGGCGAGGCTGACGAGGGTGGCGAGCTTGAGGGTGTCCGCACGGCCGCTGAGCGCGCCGATCAGGTTATTTGGGCTGAGAGGAAACCCCTCGAGGACCACGAGAAGATTGAATGGGAGGACGAGCCGCAGTTGACGGCCGACCAGTAATAATACTCCCTCCTCTAAACCATTTCGCAGGGTCGGAGGATATTAACGGTATAATAGGATCCACGACATCGAGCAAAAGATTGGCGCTGGTCTCATCGAAGAGGTCATTCAGGTTGCCGAGGGAGAGCTCAAGCTTCTCGACATCATGGAGCAGAGCAAGGTGTAAGCTTTATACACACACGATCAGATTTGCAAGGAAGATAATACTAACCTCATCGTCGCGCAGCTGGGAGGACCTCGAGGAAAGGCCTTCTGAAGGCCAGTGGACATACTTTGAGCGCAAGGCTTGAAGAAGGCCGCAGTCACGGGTAGCTTTTTTAGGTGTAAACTACTAGATGGGGCGCTTCTGTACAATACGCGCCGGAGAGATGGGCCCTATCATAGAATATATTCTTAAAGAAATTTTTGCTTTTTTTCTCTCTCAAGCTTTTTAATGCGGCATCATCTTCTATAGAGAAGCTCACCTCTTTTTGTCTGGGGATTCACGGGTGTCATCTTGGAGCTGGATGCAACATTGAAACTTTGGTCTGTACTTGTTATTCGTCTGTAGCTGGAGTATCTGCGCCGCCAAGGATTCGAGACGGTATGGCCTCAGTCAATGCGTCTTCGCAACACAATGCACTGCCACGAGATTATCAGACATATTGCAATTGGATTGAAAATGCAACTTGATTATTTAAAACAACAGTCTTCCAGGGGTTGTGAATCTTTTGCGGTATGATGTGTTCAGAAGAGACGTTGTGTGCTTAGTACTCACACTGGAACGGATTTGACGCTAATTAGACCTCTCACCGGCGAGAATTCAACCGTCAATTCTTGAATATTGACCACCATTTTGTACCATCACTTCCTCAACAAAGCATCCCGCAACATGATGCAAACAGACCATGCTACATCACAATAAACGCACGCAGCAGGAAATAAAACAATCGGATATGGTATCCAAACGCAAGCGCTCTTCTTCAGCCGTAGGAGGCGATGTTCCCTCGTCCTCACTTCCTTCCCACCTCCCCACCGACAGCATCAACCCTTTCAGCTACTCTCCAGGCCAACTACTTCAGTTTTCCATAGCAGGCCTCAGTGAAACGGACAAGGAGCCGTCGTTGAAAATTGCGAATTTCCCACACCGCGGCCTAGGGAGAGATGGCAAGGACCTCCTTGAGGATGAGGAGGACGGAAACAACGATGAAGCCGCAAAGGAAGAAGACGGGGGGCGAAGACAAAAAGGTGGGAGGCCAGTGTCTCGTTGTGAGAGACAAGTCCAAACCCTCATCCAGTCCATCTACCATTTTCTCGATCGTGGTGATGTGCCCAAGGCAGCGCGGGTGTACGGCCTGGTCCTACAGCTGCAGCCGCACGGCAGCCCCATCGACATCCGGCACTACAATCTTTGGGCTCTGGGCGCGGAGATTATCATGCGAGGCGGCGAGACGGCCCCTCCTGTAGAGGGCGATGAGGGGGGTGAAGCTACGCAGGTACGGCAGCCGACAAGATGGGGCCGTGCTGCCAACATGAACAAGCTCAAGGCGTACTTTGAGACGCTGATCCAGCAGTACCCATGGGACCACAGGCGTCCGCAGAATCTGTCGGCCATTGACTTTTGGCTCGCAATTCTCAGCTGTGAGGTGTATAATATCCATGCTGAGCATGTGATCGGCCTTGCGCGGGCCGAAGAGGAGGCCCTCAACTGGGATGACGACTCCCTCCCGCCTCGCGAGGAAGAAGAGGAAGATGAGGAGGAGTATGACCTGCAGAAGCGTCGCGAAGCAAGGCTGGATGACCTGAGAGATGACGCGCGCAAAAAGTCACTCACAGCTATGAGGGACATTGCCGCGAGGATGGACAGCCTCATAAAAGAACAGCCCTTCTCCAAGACTCGTGCCTTCTTCGGGCTCCGCGCCACCGTCTCCATGTACGTGGCTGACCTAGTTGTGCCTGTTGTCCCGGCATCGCCCTTTGCCCTACGACAAGCGCAGGATACGCGACAGGCACAGCTGGATGCGGCTAGAGCTTACCTGGACAAAGTCATCAAACTGGGGGGGGAACTTGACAGGCCGACTATGGCGTTCCTGGGTGCCGGCGACGATGAAAACAGCTTTCCCGAGGTGCCCTTGTACTCATCCCTTCCAATACGGGAGCCATGATTCAACAGCATATGCAATGAAAACAAAACAAAACAAAACACAACACCGACCTAACGTTTTCTTCCTCTTCTTCTTCTTCTTCTTTCCATACTATCTTCATGCACTGCTACTCCACCTCTTGAGCATGTGGACTGCGTTTCCACTACCGGCCACAGTGCACCATTCACCCCCGGGGCTCCAAGATGCCTGTCTTCCAAGGAAGGGGGTGTTTTTCTTAAACTTGACTTCAACCTTATAGTGAGGTTCGAGGGCGTGATCCCTGTCCATGACACCATACTTGGCATTCCAATCCGCGACATCCTTCGGATCCAAATCCGCGATATCGTATACGTTCCTCCTATCCTCAACCTCGGGCGTCTGACTCGAAGCCCGCGACCCTTTACCAACACTCGCACCCCGCGGCTTGCTATTCACCCTCGGTCTGATGCGCCCTATCCAGCTTGGGAGTCGAATAGGCTTGGTCATGTCGCGGCTAGGGCTCCTGAGCGCATTCATAATGTTACCGTACTCCCGCACCCGTTCCAGGTCCCAGAAGAAGATCTCGCCGGTGCGGTTGCAGAATGTCAGGATTGGGTGCTGGCCAGGCTGGAAGTACAGCTCAAACCGCAGAAAGAAATACTCGTCGCACCTCGGGGTGTGAAACTGAAGCCTCCTGTCATATTGAAGGGGGAACCGAGGAGATGTTGCCGGGATGAAAGCCGATCGGGTGAACTGGCTTGCACCATAATCGTTGGGTTGTGGGATTTGCGGCAGGGGGGCCACATCGTGGGATGGTATTGGGTCCTGTGATGAGAAGCCTACAATCTCCCAGAGGATGATGATGTTGTCCCGGTTGGCCTTGGAAAGTATTTGGTCGCCATAAAAGGCCACGCTGGCGAGGTAGTCAGTCCGATGAAATGTAGGGGTGGTATGAGCATGAGTAAAATGGCTTACCAATCCACGATCCCTCCATGGATCGCCGAGGTCGAGAAGTGAGGGTAATGTACCTGAATAGGACTCTCGACAGGCTCATTTGGGAACTCTGGGAGCACCCACTGTGATTATGTCAATGACTAGACCGTTGTGAATGTAGACAGAAAGAGAGCAGACCTACAAAGTTTATACGATGATCGTGTCCTCCCGAGACTGCGTATCTTCCCGTATCGTGGATGCTCTATAGTAGAAGACATGAGCTGTGTTTCCGAACTGAGGGAGCAAAATACCATAACATTGGCCACCATACCGCGCTCAAAACTTCGGCGATGTGGCCCTCGCCCGCGAGAATACAGAGGCAAGGTTGCTCCTTGTGCACGGGGTCGAGGCTCCATATGCGCACGGTTGTGTCGTCAGATGCCGATGCAATTATCGACGGGTCGTCCGGAGAAGTCGACAAGTCGTTAATTCCCTGTTCTTCTTTAGTAAGAACGGCCACTGTACAGTCGATCACAGAAATTACTAACTCCTCCATGGCCGATGAAGCTCTTGACACGCGCACACAAGACACATTAGCCGAGCATAGATAAGAAGAGAGAGAGTTGGGAAAATAGAGGGCATACCTCGACTAACTGTCCAGTTATAACGTTGTAGATTTTGACAATGCCGTCAACTCCTCCTATACAGAGATACGCAGTATTTGTCTCGGTACTCCAAGCCCAGGTGCAGCAGCAATTAGTTGATTCATTCTAGATAAAGCGTCAGCCACCGTTACTCTCCAATGTAGAGATCTATGAGGGGTTCCTACGTCGTCATCTCTTATAAGCCTTACAGTGTCGAAGACTTCCCTGTTACCGGGGTCTCGTGCTATCTTGCATACAACAGCCTATGACGTGAAATGATTAGATTTGGTGAAGAAAGGACGTCGATAAGCTCTGTAAGTCCTCACATGTTTCTTGCTGACAGCTGCAAAGACCTGGGGCGCGTTCGAAGACTGGTAGGGACAGAATCTGATGGAAAAGAACTCTGTCTCGTCATAAGATCTGGGTTAGTTGCCGTGTCGAGGGAGAGGCAAAATGAGAAGTAAATCAATACCTGAGACGGTGTCGCCGTTTTCTAGCAACTTGCAGTCATCCTGTTTTCATATCATATATTAGATGTTTGTATTTCAGTACAAATAACTGCCATAAACATCAAAGAGGAGAAACTTACCTCCAGGCTCCATGTCAATACGCTCTCAGGCAGCTCGAATGCTCGTTCTTCGGGGGGGTAGCGTGGGCCCATTTCTCACATTAGAGTATGGAAAGTTAGAGTGGCTATGGAGGGAAGAAATAAAACGAGAGATTCGGGATGGATCGGCTGTGACACGTGCCTGTATGTTCTTGATCCGTACCGCGTGCAAGAGACCACGTTTGATGCTCCCGACGATACAGTGCGAATTACAGTATGGAGTTGGCAGATTGACACTGGTAACCCTGCTGGCAACCCCCTTGAGCTTGGGCCACTTATTCATCCACCCCTGTAGACTAATGGAAACGTGGAAAGATTGGGAGAATAGGTGAGCGGCAAGTCGATGCACGAAACGTCAGTTACGCCTCAACCAAACCAAGCCGCGACATCCCCTCCTACTTGCCCTCTGCAGACGCTCAATCAACATCGCATCACGAGCAGCCGGCATCAAAAGATCTACATCGCTGTAAATATCAGTGCATTCACTGCAACTTGCTCCAACACTTGCGCAATTCGATTTCGTACGTCATGGCCGCCAACACCATGGGCAACTACAACCGACCGTCTCTTGACGACGACGACATGATTGACCCCGATGATGGTGAGTGTCGCAGAGGAAGGCGGGCTGTCGTCTAGAACATGGATGAAAGGGGAGAAAAGAGATAACTGATTTGTATGGACAGCCGATGTCAACGACTTTGATGACCCCCTGGAGCCGCAGTCATCCCGCCAACCGTTGTCCGGCAACATTGGCTCAGCGTCGTCGGTGTCGCGACCCCTCGACGAAGGTCTGACGTCGAGATTCCCGGGTGAAGACCGAAGCGCCCCGCAGAATACCATTGATGAGACGGTGTGGGAGACGTTAAGGCGCGACCTGCTAGCTGTGTGGGCCAAGCTGCGCGAAGTGCTCTACCCTAAGTACCTCCTCGGCGGCACCATGTTTGACGGTGATGGCGGCCTCCGTGGCGCCTACTCGAATATTCGCGGGGCGGGAATCTCTGGTACCAGGGAGGAGCTGACCGGTCTGGCCAGTCGCGTCATGGACACCGAAGCCCTTCTCCAGAGCAACATGACCCCCGGCCTTCGTGACTGGGACCTCTGGGGCCCCCTCATCTTCTGCCTCCTCCTGAGTCTGCTCCTCAGCTTCCCTCACGCCGAGCAAAAGGACGAGGTTTTCAGCGGGGTATTTGCCACCATCTGGCTCGGCGAGGCTCTCGTCACGCTCCAAATCAAGTTGTTGGGTGGTAACATGTAAGCATATACGGGATCATCTTCACTCTCCACTTCTCTTCAGTCCCGCCGAATGGAATGCTGACATATTTTTCTTCCAGCTCCTTCGCGCAGAGCGTTTGCATAATCGGGTATACGCTGTTTCCTCTCGTCATTGCGGCCCTCCTGTCTGCCTTGGGACTCCACTGGATCGCTAGGATACCCGTCTATCTTCTGCTCGTTTGCTGGGCGCTGGCTGCTGGTGCCAGTATCCTCGGTGGTAGCGGTGTCGTCAAGAACAGGGTCGGCATTGCCATCTACCCCCTCTTCGTATTCTACCTCGGCCTCGGATGCCTCTGCTTCATAAGCTGAAAGCAAAGGGTCGAAAGGCTATACTGACCAGGCCGCAGAGACAGCCTTGATACCATAGGCCTTACCTTGTCCACTTGAGAGGACTTGGAGTGTTTCAAATGTGTGTTTTTATACCTTTCTTTGCTTGTACGAATTACTACTAGTGAGCCTACTTCGGCGGGGGAGAAGGCAATCGTGTCTTGTGTCTCGTGCGTTTTGTTTGATGGAGTATTGTTGTCTTTTACCATTATCCTTATCCGTCAATGAGAAGCGGCGTTTTTCAATCCCGAACCCTGAGACTCTGTGGTTATTGCCTTTTCAGATATCGCTCTAGCATCTGTATTCGTATACTCGTATGTATAGGACGAGAGCCGGAGCGTTGATTCCGCCCTGTACTGTAGATCATACGTGCAGTTTGGGTTGTGGCTACCCTGTATTTTTCCTTCTTCCTAATTTTTCGACTTTTCCAAGTATGCATCTCGTATGCTTCGTCTTCAGTGCCATTTTAACTTTAGAAGACATTTTGTTAGGCCTGATTCAATAGAGTCATAGTAATTAATTGTAGTGAGAGCTAGCCATGTATCATGTTGACTTTATTGTGCATGCTATACGGAGGAGATGCGGCCCAATATTACTTTTGTAGCTAAGCCATCTCAGCTACTACTTTTAGTTTCGAATTGTTGATTGGACAACCATTTCATTTCAACCAACGACCCCCATTCATTCACTTGACCGCACTCGCATGCTCTACTTGGACTTTACACAAAACTCTCAGCTTTGTTGATAGTAACGACGTCAAATCAGCACTCTCTTGCGATTTGAGAACTTCACTGCCCCTACTTTGTGGCTGTTCGTTCTAGTGGCACTCTGTTGCCTTTTTCTCCCAAGCGAACGAAGAAAACAGGCTCGCCCACCGCGGGTTTGTTTTTCCTCTGGACTGCGAGTTACCTGCGTGCAGCTCCTCCATCATTTCTATCTCAATTGTCCCCCCACCCGTCACGTTCACCAAGCTGTACGTTTATCAATATCGCCATGGCTGATACCAGCACGCCCCCGTATGGGAGCCCCAAGAACGGTTCCGAGAATGCAGACATTAAGGAAGATTCCGCGACGGCAGCCGCTCGCCGAGAACTGAAGCAGTCGTCCATTTCCGGCCCTAGTGCCAAGGCCGACGACGACGAGGCGTCCAACACCGCGGCGCCCACCACCGACGACGACAAGAAGGACAAGGAAAGCGCAGAGGAACAGGTCCTTTCGCCCAAGAAGAAGCGCGCGCATGACCAACTGGATGGCGACAAGCCTACCGACGGCGATGAAGATACCCAGAAGAAGCGACCTAGAGATGCCGAGTCAGCAGACAAGGAATCGGTGAATAACAACCCAGCCATTTCACGTCGCTTTGACGTGCATGACACACATCTGACTAGTAGTTATTTAGAAGCCCGAATCGGCTGAAACCAAGACCTCTGCCAAAGACGACCTCAAGCCCGCCGAGGAGAAGGAGGAGAAGCCGCAAACCTCGTCAAGTGCATTTGGCGCCTCAGCATTCGGAAAGCTCGCCACGGCATCATCACCTTTTGCATTCCTGGGTGCGTCTAGTGCCAGTGGGTTCGGCTCTTCTGGTGCGTCTAAGCTGTCATCATTTGCCTCGCCGACAAAGACGATGGATGCCAAACCCTCGGAGCCCCCCAAGTTCCAGTTTGGCGGAGGCGTCAGTGTGTCGCCGTTTGCTACCCTTGCTTCAGGTGGAAGCAACGGCTTCGGCAGCGCTTTTGGTGGAAGTGGCTTTGGCGCAGCATCAACAGGCGTGAAGCCTCTGGGCAGCTTCGCAGCACCGACTGCCGAGCCCCTCACAAGCGAAAAGCCCGCCAAGCCGTTCGGCGCCCCCGACAGCGACGTTGAGAGCGACGACGAAGATGACGAAGATGACGAGTCTAGCCAGCCCGAAGAAGAGACTAGTTCACCTGTCGAGAAAGAGTTGGATGATAAGAAGAAGCCGAAACTCCAGAAGGGTAAGATTCGGCCCTCACGTGTACACAGACAAAGCTCTTCAACTAAAAGGAAACATAGTGACTGTCGACTCGGGAGAATCCGGAGAGGCCACCATCCTCGCCGTGAGAGCCAAGGTGTTCTATCACGATAAAGAAGCGGGATGGAAGGAGCGCGGCAGCGGTATGCTCAAGATCAACGCGCCAGAAGCCTGCGTCGACTTTGACGATGCGGGAACCCCCATCCCGGGCTCGTTTGACGCCTCGGGACTTGATGTGAATGACGAGGAGGCTCAGGGCAGCAAGGGACACAAAATGGTCAGGCTCATCCTACGACAGGATCAGACACACCGTGTTATCCTCAACACTGCTGTATACGCTGCCACCAAGTTCCAGGAGAAGACCTCGCTGAAGTCTGTTGGAATTGTTTTCACAGCATTTGAAGGCAAGGATGCCAAGGCCGTCAATATCACGGCAAAGGTAAGATTTTGCTGGCTCTTTATCATATGGGTACCTGATACTAATGGCCCCGAACAGATGTCCGTGGCAAACGCCAAGTCTTTCATGGACGAGATTGGCATAATCCAGCGGGAACTACAAAGCATCTAAATAAGACGAGGTTGGCCATAACGGAGAGGACGTGCTCTTCGATACAATAAAAGACTACTGCAATTACCGTGGGTTTCGTCTCGCGTGGGTCAGAAGCATACAAAACCATTCCCAGGGGGAGAAGGACTATTCATGGGCGAATTTACTTATGAAGAGGGGGCCACTATTTCCCAGGCAGCCTTGGCGGCGAATTTCTCTCTTCTACTCAGCCAGGGAACTGCGGGAGAGAGGGACGGAAGGACATGGGTCCCGTAGCACATCCGTGATGTTTGCAAGATCCTGCATGGTTGCTGCTATAGATGGAGGCCTTGGTCGGTTGTCTTTCGCGGATCATGGGAGATGGAACGGTTCCTTGCATTTACGCCATATTAGGGCATGCTTGCGCGTGAGCGAGAATCAACTAGGAGCCGATGTGTTAATGAGCAAACTATACATTACAAGGAGGGACTTGTTCATAGCAATGAATAAAAAAAGATACAAAAAGGGGAGCTTGACTCTGGATATTGGAATGGTTGATGCCGTCTGCAAGTACTGTTGGCCTTGAGCCTCGAGTTACAGTCTGGTAGTAACCTAGGGAAACGTCCAAGATCGGCTACCCATTGTACAGGAGAATTTATACCAGAATCACGGCAATGAGACATATGTCGGAAATAGGTCATGCCATTCAACACGACGTTTCTAGAATGCTGTTTGTCAGCCATGATAGAAACACGTGACTTGGCGTCAGTTCCGCGAGTGCATCCTGCCGTGAGGATGACGCAGTTGCATTCTACTCCCGAATCCAGCGTGAATTTTGAACACTCTGTATGCACCCATATTCTTGATACCCCACCTTACTCGGGATACAAAACAACAGACGTGTTTCTGGGAGGAGAGGAACCCGAACTGTTTTTGTCATGGAGCAACAGACTGAGGCATCTCAAGAGCACGGGGGTGAGATGACGGCACGTGTTTTCAAGCGTAAGAGAACATCGCAAAGGGCTGAGCTACGGGCCGACAGTTCCATATCCGAAGGGGATTCTACGGCTGGTTACGGAGGAATATCTACGCAAAGTCGTCGCAAGAAGACGACCAAGACAGAAAATGCGCCGGGTCAGCGGAAAGGAAAGAAGGGTGAGGCACCTCCCGTCGATGCGCTAATTCCTTGGACCCCACGGCTCAAGTCTTTGGAGAAGACGCACAGGGCTCTGAACCTGGTGTACACGTTTTGTTGCACTCGAAAACACTTGGCGACGACGTTTGAAATGATCAGGCCAGCGGTGGAGTCGCACATCCGAACTACCTTGACAGTAGAAGAAGTTGCGTCTGTCGTTGCCCTCCGCCCTGACGGCATCAACTTCCTGTACGTTGATGAGCTCACGCTGGAGCTTGAGGGTAGGGGCGCCGAGAAGGATGAGGCGTTCAGGACGGGAAGTTCTGGGAAAGGACAGTCGCGGCCGCATGACGCTTCCGTGGGCGGCCTGACGGGGAGGGACAGCCTCGAAAAATGCCATGGGCGCCAGAATGGCTCGGCTGGAAGCGAAGTGCTGTACTTTGAGTTTGTCGACGGTGACCTTAAGCGCCAGGTCCAGGACAGGAAAACAGGCGAGCCCGTAAAGCCCAACCGAAGGTTGAGGGAGGAGACGCTGAAGATGCCCGTGTACAGCCAGAAGCAGATGGCACAGCTGATTGAGAGGCGAAACCAAAAATTCACAAATGCCGTCAATATCTTTCTGAACACCTGTGCCAAGGAAGGCCTGGATCCTAATATTACACTGGCTGAGCGGACCAAGGCGCACATCCCCACCCCGACCATCGTTGAGGACGATACTCTATGGGCCCCTGATACAATACCGGAGGAAATTCCCAAGGAGCGCAAGAGCATAGCCGACATCATACAGGAGCTCAAGGACAGCCCATGGTACACAGGCCAGATTGTTCCTGATGGCCATCGGGTCTTTGAGCCTCAAGAGCCGGTATATGGGGACCTCGATTTTCTTCTCAGCCAGGACTTGGTCAATGCCCTGTACAACGCGAAAGGAATCACGCAGTTCTACGCACACCAGGCAGAGGCCCTGAACGGTATACACAACGACCAAAATGTCGTCGTGTCTACGCCTACTAGCTCGGGAAAGTCGCTCATCTACCAGCTTCCCATCCTGCATGCTCTGGAGCATGACCGTCTCTCTCGAGCAATGTACATATTTCCCACAAAAGCCCTCGCACAAGATCAGAAACGGAGTTTGAAGGAGCTCATGTCATATATTCCCGGGATGGAGGAGACTTTGGTCGAGACCCTTGATGGGGACACGCCCATGAATGAGCGAAATGACATTCGGGAACTGGCGAGAGTCATATTCACTAACCCAGACATGCTGCACATCACGATATTGCCACAGGAAGAGAAGTGGCGATCGTTCCTTGCAAACCTGAAGTTTGTCGTGGGTAAGTTCTATATGAGAGCAACGACTACTTCTTGTTTAGTTTGCTAATATGCCGGTCATCTTCTAAGTCGATGAGCTGCACTACTACAATGGCCAGCTGGGATCACATGTTGCATTTATCATGAGAAGGTTGAGACGCATATGTGCTGCGCTTGGAAATCAACATGTCAGGTTTATATCGTGCTCGGCAACAGTGGCGAACCCTGAAGAGCACTTCAAGACGATATTTGGTGTTGACGATGCCCGGCTCATCGACTATGATGGGTCACCAACAGGGAGGAAGGAGTTTCTGTGCTGGAACACACCTTTCAAGGATCCGGGAGACCCTGCAAGTGGCCGCGGAAATGCCAAGTTTGAATGCGCCCGCCTATTCTGCTCTCTAATTCTAAGGGGAGTACGCATTATTGCTTTTTGCCGAGTGCGCAAGCAATGCGAAGAGCTTGTCAACGCCATCAAACAGGAGCTCGAAGACCTTGGAAGGCCCGAATGCGCTAAACTTGTCATGGGATACCGCGGAGGGTATACACCACAGGACCGACGAAGGGTCGAGTCTGAGATGTTTCAGGGCAAACTTTTAGGCATAGTCGCCACGACAGCCCTCGAGCTCGGAATAGACATTGGCTCCTTGGACTGTGTCATGACATGGGGATTCCCATATACCATTGCCAACTTGAGGCAACAGAGTGGTCGAGCGGGAAGACGGAACAAAGACTCGCTCTCCATCCTGGTGGGCGACAGCTTCCCTGCCGACCAGCACTATATGCAGAACCCGGATGAACTCTTCACCAAACCCAACGCTGAGCTCCAGGTAGACCTGGAAAACTTGTTGGTGCGCGAAGGCCACATCCAGTGCGCCGCCTATGAGATGCCTCTCCAACCAGCAGATGACGCCAATTATTTCGGACAAGATCTACAAAAGATTTGCGAGGAAAGGCTGATACTGGATGAGACGGGTTTCTATCACTGCCACGACAGATTTCGTCCAGCCCCATCACGATTTGTGGCCATTCGGGACGTCGAAGAAGACCACTTTGCCATCATCGACGTTACCAATGGACGAAACGTGGTCCTTGAAGAGCTTGAGGCATCACGAGCCACATTTACAATTTACGACGGTGCTATCTTCCTCCACCAAGGGAACAAATATCTGGTCCGCGATTTCCTCCCCGACAGGTTAATGGCCAAGGTGGAGAGAGTCAAGGTAGACTGGACGACGATGCAGCGCGACTTTACTGACGTAGACCCGGTGGAAACTGAGGCGATACGCAAACTATCGAATTCGCGGTCGTTGGCGTACTATGGGACGATCAAGGTGCAGCAGACTGTCTTCGGCTTCTTCAAGGTTGACAAGTGGGGGCGAATTCTGGACGCGGTGCAGGTGGACAACCCGCCGGTGGTGCGGTACAGCAAGGGTATGTGGTTGGACGTGCCCAAGACGGCGCTGGAGATTCTTGCATCGCGGCGGCTGCACATGGCAGCGGCGATACATGCGGCCGAGCACGCCATCATAAGTTTGCTGCCGACGTTTGTCGTTAGCATGTTGGGCGACGTGCGTACCGAGTGCAAGTCAGCTATCAAGGAGTTTGGCAAGAAGGAGACAAGCAGGAAGCGACCCGCCCGTCTGACGTTCTATGACACGAAAGGCGGCGCCGGCGGCTCGGGCATCAACACAAAAGCCTTTGACCACCTTGACGCGCTGCTTCGCGACGCTCTCGACAGGGTAGAGAAGTGCGGTTGCCACCGCGGCTGCGTCGAGTGCGTCACGCTCGAGCTCTGTCAGGAGTCCAACGAGGTGATAAGCAAGGCTGGGTGTCGTGTCGTGCTTAGGTCCGTGCTCGGCATGGATATTGATGTTGACGGGCTGCCCATGGGGCCAGAGGACCATAGCCCAGTGGGTGTCGAGACGATAGTCGCAGCGCAACCGGTCATGACGCGGATGACGGCGCAGATCAAGAAGGAGGAAGAGGAAGACTATCAAGGGTTGAGTTCATTGTAATCTCCCAAAAGATCGATCATCTAACTCTCCGTCTTATTTCATTTTGTGCATACGCAGTCCAACGGTACTTGGTAACGATATTAGGATGCGATACGGAGTACGCCTCGTGTCATTTGCTGATTCCACTTGGTTGGCGAGAGGAGGCTCTTGGGCTCTTGGCTGCCTCTGTGAAAGTGGTCTAATGCACCTACAGACACCCTGGTCCTGGATGCGGATCCACGGGCGTAACCGAGTAGCGTGGGTTGGACCCATGTACTATGGCCGGCCGTCTGGCATAATGCTGTCACAGACTTTTCTCTATTCGTAGTCAATCGAGACGGATTCTGGGTACTTTAATATTAAGGATAATAATATCTGTATTACTTTACTCTTATTTGCAAGACCGGATGTTCCTGCCTCTTTCCTCTGGCAAGCTTACCACTGAAGGCAGGTACGACCATCTTGGGCACCTGCTGTATTAATATTACCACTGCAATAGGGAAGCAACAGTGTCACCGATTGTATTACTCCCGTCTCTGTTCCACATCATTATACTCGTATTAAATGACTGCCCAACCACAGCTACGACTGACCTGTATTACGATTCATCATCCTTTACTGAGGCTTACTTGGGCAACGGCGTCAACCCCCCCTGTTTGAAGAGTTCTGGGCCGCCTTACTAGGCCCACGATAACTAGGGGCTACCCGAAACAAAGATGCACGAGACATGTCGCCCAGCAGCTCTCTTTTTGCCAATTGGGCCATTGGATATGAAGCCAAGTTATAACCACGAGGCCTCCAGGGATGGTGTCACTAAGGGGCGGGAAAGCTGGGGGGACCAACCAGACCAGGCCACACACTTATGCGTTGACGTTGAAGGGGCAGGCAGGTACGTGATCGCCCTCAGTCAGTCTGTAGTCGCTGTTTTCTTCCTTTTATTTATTTCTTTCCCTTCTGTCTTTCTGTTCTGCTTTAGATGTCGACACCTTCTTTCTCTCTCCTCCCTTCTCTCTCGCAGTGCATTATACCGACGAGCAAGTGCAGACCGCTGCTGTTTGACCGTCAACAGCACGCCGATAGTGGGTGACCGCTCTTACATATAGTCGTACCGTACAGGGCTCAGAGACTTCTCGGCGGCCACTCCATATCATAGCCATGCCTCAAAGGCGCAGTGCCTTCGCTGGTGGCTCCGGCTCTGACTCGCCTCTCCCTCCACCTAACACGGCGGGTAAGCAGAAAACGAGGGCCATGGAGGAAAAGGCCAAGCTCTCCGGAAGGCTGTCGTTCAAGATTAGCCCTGCAGGCGAAAGCGGCCGACGGGGCATCCATCCATGGATTTTCGTGCGAATTGTCTTTCGATCGTCTAACATGGCGGGTACATTATGCAACCTGTTGTGGCCTGTTGTTCCTGCTGCCATTGCGGTGCGATGTGAGTTTGATTCGAGGACCGTTGTGGTCAACTGTTGCTGACACACAGCCCAGATTCCTTGCCTGATCATCACCTTCTCATCTTTGCCCTTGCATACGTTTCTATGGTACCTTGTGCCAACTCGGTTGGCTTCGCGGGGCAGCAACTGGCTCGGAAGCTCCCCCACGTCCTCGGTGTCTTGACCGAAGTCCTGTAAGTTGACAACTTTGAGTGCCAGTTTTGGGGCACTCGCTGACTAGAGAATTTAAAATAGACTTGGAGCAACTGTTGAAATCATCATGTTCATTGTCCTGCTGAGCAAAAACGAATTTTACGTCATCAAGGCTGCCATTATGGGCTCCATACTGGCAACCCTGCTTCTCTGCCTGGGGCTCTGTTTCTTTGTCGGTGGCTTGCGCCGTGCAGAGCAGTCATTTAGCGAGACTGTCAGTGAGACGGGCCATGGCCTCCTCCTATTAGCGTGAGTTTTCTGTTCTCAACTTGTTGACCTGTCGCGAGAACCCCTAGCTAACGTTTAGATGAAGTGGTGTGACGATCGCTGTGCCGACTATCTTCGCTTCTGGTCTGAGTAACTATGGCCTCACACAAGAGGACATCAACAACAAGTCCCTGAGCATCTCACGAACCCTTTCCATACTTCTCATCATCGCCCATGTCGCGTTCGTCTACTTCCAGGCCCATTCGCACCACGGTATCTATGAGGCCATATTCGAGTATGACGAAGAGCGCGACAGTGACAAGCTCCAGAAAATGGAAAAGTCTAAACTCACACTCACAGAGTGTCTCCTAGCACTTGCCGTGGCCATTGCCCTTACAACCCTCATCGCCATCATATTGGTCCTCCAGATCCCCCGCGTCGTAGAGGCCTCGCACGTGTCGGACCCATTTATCGGCCTCATCCTCGTGCCTTTCGTCGAGAAGTTTGCCGAACACCTCACCGCCATAGACGAGGCTTGGGATGACCAGATGAACTTTGCCTTGTCCCACGTACTGGGCGCCACCCTCGCCACATCCCTCTTCAATGCACCCCTGGCCGTCATTGTTGGTTGGGGTCTCGATAAGAGCATGGACCTCAACTTCGATATCTTCAACCTCGCCATGCTCATCCTCTCCATCCTCACAGTCGGCCGCTTCCTCCAGGACCAAAAGAGCAATTACCTCGAGGGGTTCCTCATGGTAATTTTATACATAGCCATTGCCGTCTCATCGTGGTACTACCCCAACCCCGTTGAGCGTTAGCTTAACGCTGCATCTTGTGCTTTATTTTTGTACTGGCTCTTGTTTTACTACGCATCCTATGGGCCCAAGCATATTGAGATTTCCCCGAGAAACAATACCCTATGATTGCATTTAGTGTTCGGGTTTTCACTATCCTTCATGCAATCGAATTGATGAGGAAAAACGTTATTGTGAGAAAAAAAATTCAAGATATTCAATGTCGAAAAGAGCTATGCTTGCAAATCTAACCATGGCATATTCCAAGGTATATATCGTCCTCTCTCGAATTCTTGAGCCACAATTGATGCACCCGCACGCTGATGCTATGGGATAGCTTCATCTATCGAATGAAAGGAGAAGAATAAAAGAATTGATCACTTAAAAGAAGACAAGTTGGCTGTCCTTCCATCCTAGCTTTCCAAATATACTCTTTACGGATTTCTCCATGGATTCAGGCCCGCATACGAGGACCACATCTTCCTGATCATTCGTGGGAGGTGGGGGACCAACCTTTTCGTTCAAAAAAGCCTCGTCCAGCCTGCCTGTGGCCCCCTTCCATTCCGGTCCCGGCTTTGTCAAGGTGTATATGAGATTACACCTCTTTTCATTGACAGTGGCCAGGTAATCGAGGTCGGCGCGGCAGAGGATATCGTGCTCGTCGCGGTTTCCATCCAGGACGAGACACTCTGTTGGATCGTCCGGGTCGTTCAGCACGGCGCCGAGAACCTGGAAGATAGGTGTGATGCCAGAACCTCCACATACCATGACAAAGCGACGGATGCGACGTGACTGACCTGACACGGTGCACCGGCCGCGCCCGAGATACTCAAATTTGCCTACAGGGCCTTTGAATTCGACAAAGTGGCCCGGCGGGATGGCGGCGAGCGCCTGCGTCATCTTGCCGCCCTTACGACCCGGTGTGTCGTAGTAGACCTTGATAAGGATGCGGAGGTAGCCCTTTTCCCATGACTCGGAAAGGGGCGTGTATGGTCGAATGATGGCCTCTCGCGTCACCGGGTCCCGCAGCCGCATCATCAGGTGCTGTCCCGTCGGGAGGCCGATGGACTGGTCCGCGTGGTCGAGCTTGAATGTGAAGATGAAGCTGTCAGGGGACACCTTGGTTTTTGTCTCCAGAAGGGCCTTCGTCCATGCCTTGCTTTGCAGGAAGACGGCTCTAGAAGGATCGGGTTGCTTTTCGGCTTCGCCACTGTCTGCTAGAGCCTTTTGTGATGCTTCGTCGAGCGTGCCAATATGATATTCAGGCATCATGGCCTTGGCATTTTCGCTGTCTGTTTTGTCCCATTGTTAACGAGGCTCCTTTTTCCTTCATCTTCATCTTGTGTACAATGACATGTATTGGAACAAGTTGGGTGGTTGGGGGGGCAGAAAGGGAAGAGGACTTACGAATTGTCACAAACTCTTCTGTGGCATCTTGCGCAGAAGCCCCGACAATAGATGCCGCACCCCCAGGATGTCCCTCCAGAAACGGTGTGCCGTCATATACCTCTCCGTTGACGACAAACCATGGCTCGGTCTCGGTCTCGTGCTTCCGTAGCTCGTCGAGGGTGATTGTGCGTTTCACCTTGCTGTTCGTCATACATATTTCATTTTCTGGCTCGGGCAATGCCTGCGGGCTGTCGTTACCAGCAATGCGCTCCCCCCAGAACCCGTTGGACAAGTCACCACCGGCTTTCTTGATCCTTTCCATCCAGCCACCCGGCATCAGAGCAGGCTGTGTCGGGTGCTCGAACCGGAGAGAGTGCGCCTCCTTATGGACGACGACACGGAACCACGGATTATTCATCATGCCGAGAACGCTCCAATACATGTCACGGGGCTGGACCATCATGCCTTCGTCCATGGCACGAACCATGATGTCGTCTGCGTCTGCGAGGATGTCGAGCCCAACGTCGAGCTCCCAAAAGCACCAGCAAAATGACGTCTCACGCCACCACATATCGATTTTACCGCCAAACAGGGTGTCTCCGTCTGGAGCGAGCCGATAGTCGTCCTCGGGGTATCTCATGTTGGCTAGGAGCCAACTCTTTCCGCGGTCAAGGGTCACTTCCACCCGCGTTATCCGCTTACCGCCGCCGCCGTACGCATACCCCCTCACTTGGTAGCTGCCCCCCTTGTTACCCAGAGCCACCGTCTCCTCGTGCGCCGGATAGCATATGACACTGTTTGAGTTCAGGTCGTAGATGGCGTACCGCTCATCCTTCCACACGTCGGGCAGGTCCGCGCTCTTGTCGGGCGTCACAGTAGTGGGAAGCACACGATTGTCGTATATGTGGTACCAGTTATTACTGGGTCCGGCCGTGACGATGATCCTCTTGAGCCACTTGACGCTGCGTCCGCCGATCTGGCCGGGGACAACGACACGCACAGGTTTTCCATGGTCTGGGTGGAGCTTCTCCCCATTCATCATGTGAGCGATCATGATGCCGCGGTTGGGATCCATGCACCAGTTGAGTTTGACCGAAGTGCCGTAGTACCCGTTTGGCAGCTTATCTGCCCCTTCGAAGCAGACGTACTTGGCACCTCGCCGCGGACATGCCCGAGCTAGCAGCTCTCCTATGGGAACACCGGTCCAGAGGGCTGTGGACAGGCCGGCAGCTCCCCAAGAGAAACCCTTGGACTTGCGCAACATGTTCTGCTCCTTTCGACGGTTACCAGCGCAAACAAGGGTGACTGGGCAGGTAATCTGGTCATAGTCGGTGAGAAGCTCCCTAACAGTTATGGCTATGGGCTTCTCAACCAGGCCCTCTACCGTGAACCGCCAGTCTGGCATATCCTCGTCAGCGCACTCCGGTACGGGGCCATGATTGCGAACATAATGCAGGTCCTGGCTTGTCAGGAACCCTTCATTGTACAGGTCGCTGAGTGGTGGCTCGACGTTGAACGGGTGTACGCCCGTCAGGCGGATGAGACGAGGGTCCCGCTCGACGTGCTTGTCTGGGGTCTTGAGATCTTCGGGCAGGATACTCTTGGGCCGCGATGCTGGGGGAAGAGGGTATGGTTTCTGCGCCGAGCTGGTGTCGGTGGGGGATCCGATGCCGCTGAGTTCGACGGGTTCAGAATCTCCGTGAGTACTTCCGTCTCGTGAAGCCTTGGCGGTTGAGGGAGGGCTGGGTGGGAACTGGATATGGACAGCTAGTCCCGATGACGGGTTGTCCAGCAGTGCCATGATTTAGAAATTTCCCTCTCTCACCTCCCTTTTCCCTTCCTTTTCTTCTATTTTTCTTGTGGTATCACTATTCTCTTGTTGGATAAGTTGGTATCGTCACTTGTTTCTTGTCACTTGATGCGGCAATGATGCCGCCAGTAACAGTCATATCATTGTCTTGAGGACGTCGAGGGATATGAATGTGGGAGCGTTGTTTGTTTTCTATGCTAAAAACTATGAGTACCCGAGACTAGCAATAGCCACTGGGGAGTGGGTAAAAATTAGCAGAATCCGGGCTGGGTGAATCAACCATATCCGTAGGAGCACCGAGGCTTGGCTGGGGTTGATTTGTTGATCATTTCTCCCCGGAGATACTAGATACTACCATCGTGTAGAACATACGGGAGCAACTGTATTTGTAAAGGTTGTCTCTGTTGTCCGAGCGAGGAGATGCGACTTTCACTAGAGTGGGTTCTCGGCGGCGCAGATTTCGTCGCCATAGATAGGCCTATGAGCGTGGGCATGGACGAATCAAGGGCGCTCACTGGGAGTCCTCACGCGATAAGAAGTCGAAGGAGCCATTGCCTGCTTTCATATGTTACTCTTTTTGGTTCCCATCCCCGCGACTGCGATGGGTTGTAATGCCAATTAATGGATTATGAGCAGTTATGCGGAAGAGCCCCGGAGATGTTCCCATCAAGCCGGGGCGTGGGTTGATTGCTCCACTGGTAACAATGCTAGGGACGAGACTCCTGGTGCCGTTGGCGATGTGATGGGTTATTGTCGTGACGGGGGTTTTCAAGTGCCCGGTAATATTGATAAAAGCTTGGATCCGATCACCAGTTTTCCCAAGGCCGGAAGGGACAAGTATTTGCTCCATGAACGGAAATGACAGAAGCAAGAATGCTACGTACCTACCTTGTTATAGAATGAATCCGCCGTAACATTGTTCCGGGTACAAAAACGGCAGAAATCCATCATGAGCCCCCGTGCGTGCTACTAACAATACCACGGAGGTGTAGCCACACCGACACCTGCAGCCACAGCCACACCCACACAGCCACTGATAATCCCTTTACGGATACATTGGTGTATCGTAGCGCCACAGTCCCTCCAGGTACTATTACCACGAACAATCTTCCAGTGTGATGCCGCTGTGCGCATGCTGTTCCGTCTCGCCATTAGATATTTGACCTGGAAACTTTGGGAGCAGCCTTTCCTTTGGACACGCCCTCTTTGGTTCATCTCGTTTCATCCGAATAGCGGACACCGGTTTCGACGCAGCCGGGAAGACAGACGATACGATCACCACTGAAAAGAAAACATATCTTGGTTCGACAAGCCCTCTTCTTATTTTGCGAATCCCCTCCAAACACCCGCCACACTAGGCAAACCGCTTCGCTTTGTACTAGCAAGCACCGATGCCGGCTCATTTTTTTCGACTGCGATTCTATCTCCTGGGACAGCATATCCCCTAGTACTACTAGTCCCGCTGTGGGAATCACCCGGATGCAGTGCTTGTCCTTGTCCCTCTCTACTCTTGTTGCTCTCTAACCGAGGACCCCACCGGCTGTGATCCCGCCATGGATCGCGCCAGAAAGCGTACTGTCTACTGCCTCACTTCCCATCGTGTCTCTGAGGTACAAACACTGACTACTAGTCTTTATAGGCGAGCTTCGCGCTTTGAATGAAAGAGCCTGGGATGGTGAACAAGGTATGTCTAACCCGAGGGCACAACCCACCCCTCCCCTGCCTGCCCTGCGGCCCTACTGACGCCTGCCCCCAGACCTTTTTGACGTCAACAAGTCACTCGACTCTTCACTCAAAAAGAATACGGCATTTATCAAGCGACTCCGGACCGCCGTCACCCCTGCAACGCTCGCTACTTTCCTGCAGGAGATCCGAACTCTCAGTCTGCACAAATACCTTTCCGAAATCATCTCAGCATGCTTCGAGGGCCTCTGCCGACTCAAGACGCCCGGCGAGGTTGAGGCTGGCGTGGAGATTGTCAGCGCCCTTCACCAGCGTTTTGGCCCCTCTGAATTCACTGAGTACCTTGCATGGCTGCTCGGAAAGGGCATGGCCACACCAGACAAGAGCCTCCTCAAGACGCTGTCCACCGAAGCTCGAGAAAAGGAGGAGAAGGAGCGCATAAGCCGCCAGCGAGCCCTTCTTCGTGTTGTGACGGAGCTCTGGCTCGTAGGTGTTGTCAGAACCCTAGATGATGCGACTAAACCGGACGAAGCGACAAAGGCTACTGCTGGGAAGACAACAGAGATCAAGTCGCGGGCCGGTGCCAGGGCTGGCAGCACGGCCGAGCCTTTCCCTCTCGAGGTGCTGAAGGATCTCCTCGGACACGATCGCGAGCACGCCAACCTTCCTCTTCTTGTCATATTCGTCAAGGCTTTCAGCTGGGATATCCTCGGTGTGCACCCCCCTGGATCCGAGGGCCGGAAGACCGTTGAGGAGGACGGAACAGCTGTTGGCAGTCAGGATGCGGGAAAGAGCAACGGAACCGTCGACGCTGCCGACCCTACGATTGACCAGCCATTCACCCCACCCGAGCTCCGCGATCGTTTCCGTACCATCCTCAAGAAATACTTTGAAGATGTCAAGGCCCACGTCGTTCGCGACCAAAAGACAATCCAATCGCAGGCTCGACGCAACGCAGAAGCATATGTGAAGTCTGGCGAGGTCTTTGAAGACCGCCAATCCAACTATGAGAAGCAAGTCAAGAATCAAGAACGTCTGGTGTCCAATGCCCAGGTTGTCGCGGATGCCATCGGTGCTGAGATGCCTGACTTACGAGACTCGGACGACTCCCTTGCTGCCAATAGCAACTCGATTGGCCTAGTCAAGACGGGCGAGTATCTTCGTTCCATGGGTGAAGGAGCTGGCATATGGGAAGACGAAGATGAGCGCCGCTTCTACGAGAATTTCGTCGACCTCAAAGGCAAGGTACCCGCTATCCTCCTAGAGGACGCCAAGAAGAAGAAGCCCGAGACGGAGGAGCAGGTTGGCAAGAAGCCTGGGACTGTTGAGACGACGGAGGCTCCCAAACCTGCTGTTTCCATTGCGGCAGATGATCCGTCTATGGCCATTGCCAACAAGACGATTGGAGCCCAAGTTGATGCCCTGATTTCTCGTTTACCCGACCTCACCAACAAGGACAGCATCGACGAGCTAGCCATCGACTTCTGCTTTTTGAACTCAAAGGCCTCGAGGAACCGCCTTGTCAAAGCCCTGACAGATGTTCCAAAGGGCCGCAGCGATCTGCTCCCAAACTGGGCCCGACTGGTGGCTACGCTAGGTAGGTATATGCCCGATGTGCCTAAGGGTCTGGTGGACTATCTCGACGCCGAGTTTCGTAGTCTCCAGCGGCGTAAGGAGAAGGATTTCCTAGGCCAGGTCCGCCTGAGCAACATCCGCTACCTCGCCGAGCTGACCAAGTTCGGCATCGTTCCCGAACACGTCGTCTTCCACTGCCTCAGGGTCAGTATGGATGACTTCTCCCGGATGAATATTGAGATTATATGCAACCTCATTGAGAACTGCGGTCGCTACCTTCTGAGAAATCCCGAAACGCGCCCGCGTATGGCAGCTTTCCTCGAGACCCTCCAGAGGAAGAAGTCGGTCCACCATCTCGGCCAGACAGAACGCATGCTTATTGAGAATGCCGTCTACTACGTCGATCCTCCGGAGAGATTGGCCTTGGTGCAAAAGGAGAGAACCCCGATGGAGATGTTCATCCGTAAACTGATATACGTGGATATGACAAAGCGGAACTACACCAAGATTCTCAAGCAAATTCGCCGACTTCACTGGGAAGAAGCTGATGTATGATATACCCCGATGAACCTGAAGCAGGAGAAATGCGTATTTGTGGCATGGTGCTGACCTTTTTTGTTTTCTTTTCTTATACCACAGGTCGTTGCCATTCTGGAAAAGGTTTTTTCGAAGCCCGGCAAGATGAAGTATGGCAACATTTACCTGCTTGGAATCTTGCTGGGAAATCTCTACCGATACCACCCTGCCTTTGTGGTCAAGGTGATTGACAACGTCGTCGAGTCTATCAGTCTCAACCTCGAGCAAAATGACTTTAGGACTTCTCAGCGCCGCGTGGCGGAGGTCAAGTACCTGAGCGAGCTGTACAACTATAGGATGATCGAACACCCTGTCATCTTTGACACCATGTACAAGATCTTAATGTTTGGTCACGGAGGCATACCTATCCCAGGCCGCTTCAATCCCTTCGACCCTCCGGACGACTTCTTCCGCATCCGCTTGGTCGCGACTATGCTGGAGACATGCGGAGTCTTTTTCAACCGCGGCGCCGCCTCCAAAAAGCTCGATTCTTTTCTATCATTCTTCCAGGTACGCACATCTGCATAGATCCTCCGAGCATCTACCTACGTCTATGCTAACATGTCACAACGCAGTACTACGTATTTACCAAAGGCACACTGCCACTCGACACGGAATTCATTGTACATGATACCTTCACCCTCACGCGCCCACAGTGGAATCTCGCGTCTAGTCTCGAGGAGGCTGCCAAGGCGCTCCAGCTCGCCATGGCTCAGGACCAGAAAGATGCAGGCCTCGACAAGGGGGCCGAACTCGACGACGCTATTAGTGATGCGTCCTCGGACGATGATAATCCGGATGTTGATGAGATGGAGGTTGAGGGTGACGGCGACGAAGAGGACACGGCATCAGAAGATGAAGAAGCCGACGAGGACGAATACGCCGAGGCCGAGAGGGCGAGAGAGAGTGACTCGGACGATGAGTCCATTATCGTTACCCGCCCGGAAGAGGCGGTCGACCCAGAAGACGAGGAGGAGTTTGAGCGAGAGTTTGCCAAGATGATGGCCGAGAGCCTCGAGTCGCGCAAGTTTGAGCGCAAGCAGCTGTTTGACGTGCCTCTTCCTGTCAGAGCTAAGACGCGCGAACCATCATCTTCGTCTACCGGAGGACCTGCCACGGCCGAGGCTAGTGGTGAGGCGCCGGCTACGACGTCGAATGGCAAGACAATGACATTTTCTCTTCTCACCAAGAAAGGGAATAGACAGCAGGTGTGCTTTACCCTCAATCCCTTGATGTTGCGTGGTAAAAGAAAAAAAAATCCATTCACTCTCCGGATCTAGCGTGAAAGATGAGAGACAAGACGGGAGTGGGGTTTAGGGGTTTACTGACTGATGAAAACAGACCAAACAAATCGACTTGCCATCCGACTCTACGTTTGCCATTGCCATGAAGAGTCAGCAGCAGGCTGAAAAAGAGGAGCAGCAGAGGATCAAGAACCTTGTTCTCAACTATGATCTCCAGCAGAGCGACGATCAGGAAGGTAAGACAACTACGGATACGCGGGAAATGCCGGCTATCATGATGGATAAGAATAGCTGACCCCTTTATACAGTACAACAAGAAAGACCGACAACATTCCATCACAACCGCGTCGAGAAGCCAAAGGACCGCGGTCAGAGAGTGCGGCGCCTACAGCTGAGCGACGTTGACTGGTGAATGAATGGCGATGCCTCCCATGGCATTGTTTCATTATTACTCATAGACACACAAAAAAAGAAGCTCAACGACCGGCCCTTGAGGGTACCGGACTCATTCCAAGCAACCGCATATCAATTTTATCACAGGCAGTACTGTACAGGCGTCTGTCCCAACACGGCTGGCCAGCCACGCAGCAGCCCCTCCTCCCTACCCCTGCTCGAGCTTAAACCAGCTTGGGGTAGCCGTGTGGACGGGGTTGCCTTGTGGACGGGGTTGCCTTGTGGACGGATGGAGTTGCTGGATGGGGCCCTTGCCCGACGACAGGAAGGTGCATATAAATTACAGCATGGACAGACGGGACACATGACTCTTCTTGTCATTTTGTTGGCGATGGGTTTGAAGCCCCACCACAGCTGTGTGTGTGTGTGTGTACACGCCGACAGCCTCGGAGCGGGGGAGAAGGAGAGAGAAAGAGACTGATAGAGGTAGGCGTCAGATCTACTACGTGGTATGTTCTAGATACTGCTACTAGTTACTACGAGTATCCAATAGCAGTGATGACGAGGACCAGTGGTAGGCAACGGCTCATAGGCCAACCGGGATGGTGAGCTCTTTACATGTACGTGTATATCGCGTGGCCGTACTCGCATGATAATATTATTCAAACATGATATTCATTACGTAGATGACCCCTAAGATGGAGGGAATGAGCACCACCTGGGATCGACGCCGCGTCCCACTACTCTAATTGATGACAGTGCGCACAGGCATGGATGGGCCTTGGCATTGCCATGTTATTACCAATTGATACTACTGAGTGGGTGGTTGAGGGGGGATTTCATGTGGTGGCCTATACCTGTAGGCAATATTACTACGAGTAGGATCATGGCAAAACGTAAGGTCGGGTGCTGAATGGTAAAGTTGGCGCAATCGTGGGAATAGTTGAAGCTCTGGATTTAGGTACGAGATATAATAATACTAGACATGCTGAACGGTCCTTGACTAGGAAGAAGGTGGGTAATACCGTTTATAACGGAGCCTCATGACTGTGTCTGTCTTGGGTCTGGGTCTGGGGCTTGGGCTAGGCTGCGCTGGATCACTCGTATACGAGCATGAACAGATGAGCTCACAGACGAGTTCTCCGTTGTTCTTTTATTTATTACGAGCACTAGTAGAGGTACAGGTCGTTGCTGAATGCCCTGGAAATTTCTCTCGATTTCGATAGCGGGGCGGGTTCACTAATACTAGCATGCCGTGGTTGTCAGATGACAGCGCGAATAGGTACGAGTAGTAGTAGTACTTTGCTGGGGAAGGAGCCACCGCCAGATGACGAGTATTGCCTACCCAGTCCAGGATTTCCCATGTATGTGTTTGTGTGTGAGGAGAGTAAGTACTGCGTAACTCTCGGCTCAGTAATGCTAGTACCGTGCCACCACCTGTTGCCCAGTATTACTGGTAACTAGAGTACTGGGTAGTAGGTAGTACGGCGTACTAGAATAGTAAGAAAAAGAAGATAGAAGAAGGAGAAAGGAAACGAGATATTACTACTTGTACTCCGTACATATGCTAAAAAAATACACAATCAACGCCCAACGAAATACTGGGGGCCATTACCTCACCCGACCTACACTCTGCTCCTGCCCGCCGCCGCCTAAAATTTCAGTTTGCCAACGCAGCTCGCAGCCCGTTGTCCCCCTCGTCCCACCAACCATCCTTCCTCCACCATTAAACCTCCCCTCCTCCTCCTTCCCCTTCCTCTCATTCTCGTTCAATGAGCCTTGCTTGTTGAATTTCGTCTCCCCGGAACCTCCCTTTCTCTTCTCCCTTTGATTTAATTCACTTCGCACGTATCGTTCAACCGCTACCATGAGTGTCGTGGGTGAGTTTTCTCCTCTTTTTTTCTCAATCCTGTGCTATTTTTCTTCCCTTACCCCGCCGTGTTGCTGCCCCTCATTCACATCCCGCCTGCTGTTCGCCGCAATTTAGCGATAACCCAACTTTTTTTTTTGGCCCGTCACCAACCATCTCACCTCTTTGGGATAGAAAACTGACAGCTCTCTTCACTCTACAGGTGTCGATTTCGGTACTCTCAAGACGGTCATCGCTGTCGCGAGGAACCGCGGTGTCGATGTGGTACGTTCATTTTTTTTGTCTTCTTTCTGTCCCCTGTCGCTCCGACCCGAGACAATATTGTCGATACAGACTTTGATCGCATTGCATTGCGCGGATCTTGTCTAGTCGACCTGTATCTGTCCTTTGGAGAAGGAGAATAAGAGACACGAAGAAGCTGACTTTACTTTTTTTACGTCCAGGTCGTCAATGAGGTATCCAACCGTGCCACGCCGTAAGTCGTTACTCTCTTCTTCCCCTTTTTTTGCGTGTCCCAAGGCTAGTTGCCTTGCTCTCCTCACCCAGCACTCGATACTGATTCTCTGCACAGTTCCATGGTTGGCTTCGGGCCCAAGTGCCGCTACCTCGGTGAGTCGGCCAAGACTCAGGAGATCACCAACCTTAAGAACACGGTCGCCTCCATCAAGCGCCTTCTCGGCCGCCTCTCGACCGACCCCGATGTTCAGGTCGAGCAGCAGTACATCACCGCTCCCCTCGTCGACGTTAACGGCGAGGTCGGTGCAGAGGTCACCTACCTTGGCAACAAGGAGAAGTTCAGCGCCACCCAGCTCGTTGCCATGTATTTGAGCAAGATCAGGGCCACAGCCGCGGCTGAGCTCAAGCTGCCCGTCAACGACCTGTGCATCAGCGTCCCTCCCTGGTTCACCGATATCCAGCGCAGGGCCCTTCTCGATGCCGCTGAGATTGCCGGCCTCAAAGTCCTCCGCCTCATCAACGACAACACGGCCGCCGCTCTCGGCTGGGGAATTACCAAGCTTGACCTCCCCGGCCCCGAGGAGAAGCCCCGCCGCGTCTGCATCATCGACATAGGCCACAGCAGCTACACTGCCTCGGTCATCGACTTCAAGAAGGGCGAGCTCGTCGTCAAGTCCAGCGCCTGGGACCGCAACTTCGGTGGTCGCAACTTCGACAAGGCCCTCGTCGACCACCTCGCCAAAGAGTTCCAGGGCAAGTACAACGTTGACATCAACAGCAACCCCCGTGCCATGGCCCGTACCATCGCCGCCGCTGAGAAGACAAAGAAGATCCTCTCGGCAAACCAGCAGGCCCCCGTCAACATCGAGTCTCTCATGAACGATATCGATGCCAGCGCCATGGTCTCCAGGCAAGAGTTTGAGGCCCTGGTCGAGCCCCTTCTCGTCCAGGCCACCAAGCCCCTCGAGGAGGCCCTCGCCCTTGCCAAGTGCACCAAGGAGGACATTGATATCGTCGAGGTTGTCGGCGGTGGCTGCCGTGTCCCCGCCCTCAAGGAGCGCATCCAGGCCTTCTTCGGCAACAGCCTCTCCTTCACCATGAACTCGGACGAGGCCGTCGCCCGTGGCTGCGCCTTCAGCTGCGCCATCCTCTCTCCCGTCTTCCGCGTCCGCGACTTCTCCGTCCAGGACATTGTCAGCTACCCCATCGAGTTTGGCTGGGAGAAGGCCCCCGATATCCCCGACGAGGACACCAGTCTTACCGTCTTCAACAAGGGCAACGTTCTCCCCTCAACCAAGATCCTCACCTTCTACCGCAAGCAACCCTTTGACCTTGAGGCCCGCTACCTCAAGCCCGAGGAGCTTCCCGGCAAGACCAACCCCTGGATCGGTCGCTTCTCCGTCAAGGGTGTCAAGGTCGAGGGTGACGGTGACTTCATGATCTGCAAGCTCAAGGCCCGTGTCAACATCCACGGTGTCCTCAACGTCGAGAGCGGCTACTATGTCGAAGAGCAGGAGGTTGACGAGGACATCAAGGAGGATGGCGAGAAGGATGCGGACGTAAGTGCTCCATCTGGTTCATTGAAGCAATCCTTTCGAAGGATTCTCCAACACAACACTATGAATCATGTTCTTGACACTAACCGTGACTTCTCAAAATTACAGGCCATGGAGACCGACACCAAGGATGACGGCTCTAAGAAGACGCGCAAGGTCAAGAAGCAGGTCAGGAAAGGTGACCTGCCCATCTCCAGCGGCACTGCTTCTCTCCAGGACAATGTCAAGACTTCTCTCAGCGAGAAGGAGGCCAGCATGATCATGGAGGACAAGCTCGTCGCCGACACCGAGGAGAAGAAGAACGAGCTTGAGGCCTACATCTACGAGCTCCGCGCCAAGCTCGATGAGCAGTATGCCGAGTTTGTCAGCGAGGACGAGAAGTCGGCGATCAAGGCTAAGCTCGAGGCTTCTGAGGTGAGACTTCATCCCCTTCTCTTAACTCCTTTGATATATATATAATAAGCTCACATTACCCTACAGGACTGGCTGTACGAAGAGGGCGAGGACACCACCAAGGGTGTCTACACGGCCAAGATGGATGAGATCCGCGCCATGGCCGGTCCCATTGTCCAGCGCCACTTTGAGAAAGTCGAGGCCGAACGTGAGGCCATCGAGGCCGAGAAAGCCTCCAAGAAGGCGTCTGAGGAGGAGGCCCGCAAGGCTGCCGAGGCCGAGAAGGCCGCAGTCAACGGTGGTGACTCCGAGATGAAGGACGTCGAGTCCACTCCTCAAGCAGAGACTGAGGAGGCTGGCGACCCGGAATAGATGGTCTCTTCTCACTCTCCTTTGAAAGGAGAAGAAAGATGCTATGCGAAAGAAACAAAACAACAAAAAGAATTGATTCAAGAAAAGGAGTTGGGTGCTTAGGTTCCGACAGCGGAGCATTTTGTGACAAAGAAGAAGGGGACAGAAAAGAAGAAGGGAAAGAGTTTTCTTCATTTATGATGGTTTCCAGAGGAAGGAAGACAAATGATGTGTTAACGACATGCCAAATTTTTTTGTCAGGGGAAATGCAATGATGATAAATGGACATAGGTTACCCTAAATGCTTTAGACCATTTGCTACTATACATTAGTTTAGATATATATTTTTCGTCTATAATCTCTGTCATGTGAAATTTTACTTATTCGGGCACATTCCAAGTGCTAGTGCACAAAGACGAAACAATTTATATAGAAATTTATTTATTGTGAATTCAAGACGCAAGAAAAAAGAGAGAGGGGTACAGAGTAAAATGACTTTTTTATTCTTATGTAGCATGCATGCTAATTGACGTCAAAGAGAGGCTTGAGCTTGATGATGAGCTGCCACTCCTCGTTGGACACGTCCTTGCGGTAAAACTCCTTGAGGGTGTCGATGCTGCGGCGAGAAATCTGGCTGTACAGCGTGTCTCCCTCCTCGAGGTGTCGGCCGTATGTGGGCTGGTTCGAACCCATTTCAATTTTGACGGCGACAGAGGGCTGTCCCTTTTTGCAGACGGGGATCTGCTTGTGCTCGCGCTCGATGGATGTACTGGTGTGCGGTCAGTAATGTGATAAGACAGGTAGGTGTACAAGGTTAAGAGAGAAGAAAAGGGAGGGCGGGAAAAAAACGTACACTCTTCCAATCTTGACAATCTCCTTTCCACCGGCGCTGTTTTGCCTGACGGCGGCAATGGGAGTATTGACCTTGAGCTGACCCTCTACGACATCGACACCGACTACAATGGGCGTCGTCTTATTGAAGACGGCGACGGGCTTGAGAACGCAGGGGAAGACGGCAAGCATCTTGGACTCCTCCTTCTTGCGCTCTAGCTGCTCGTCCATATGCTTGGTGAAGGCGTCGAAGAGGTGGTAGATGATGTCGGCCGTGAAGATCCTGATGCCCTGATCGTCGGCGTAGGCCTGCGCCTCCTTGTCCACCTTGACGTCGAAACAGAGCATGACGGCGTGGTCGGGCGATTTCTCCAGCATGGTGCCGCACTGCATGATGTCGCGCTTGTACACCGGGCCGATGCCCACGTTGGCCACTGGGATCTTGCAGTCCTTCAGGAAGTCGAGTAGGGCCTCGAGAGATCCAAGGGTCGAAGCCTGCACCGACACACCGCGACCAGACTTCTCCACGCGGCTGAGAAGGTTGGCCAGGTCCGTCTCCACCTCGTCGATGATGTCCTCCTCGTCGTCGTCAGGGCCGACGACCATCAGGCGGGAACCGGCGATGGCACCTTCCAGGCCGGGCGCGCTAATCTTGACACCCAGAGCGGCCTTGACCTCCTTGTTGTGCACGTATTGCGATTTAAGACGCAGCTCCCTGAGCGGCTGTGGCGTGAGCAGCGCGCGGATGTTTGTGACAATGGCACCCTCAGTACCGCACAGGACCACTCGGTCGCCCTCCCTGAGGATACCGTTGGACAGGATGACATCGATGGTCATGCCGAAACCCTCAATGGCCTTGACCTCGAGAACAGTGGCCTGCACCTCGGACAGGTACATGAGCGATGACGTCATGCGCTCCTGGGTCAGGTGCACAATCAGCTTGAGCATGTCGGGGACACCCTCGCCTGTGTGGGCCGACGTGGGCACGAGCGACACGTTGTTCTTGAGTGACGGGTTCTTATAGTGAAGGTACGAGTTGAAGCCAACCTCGGCGAACTCGAGGCGGATCTTCTCAAGACGGGTCTCAAACTCATTGTGCACCGCCTTGTTCTGCAGCGCCAGACTCTCCTGAAAACCGTTGTCATCGACTTTCTTCCAGCCGTACAGACGATCGATTTTGTTGAGGGCCACGATGAATGGTGTTTTGCGGTCCTTGAGCAGCTGGATTGACTCCCTCGTTTGGGGTTCGAGACCGTGCATAATATCGACCACCAGGATGGCAATGTTACACAGTGACGAACCACGCGAGCGCAGGTTGGAGAAGGACTCGTGACCAGGTGTGTCGATGACCAGCAGACCGGGCACCTTGAACTCGAACTTGTTGTCCTTATTGATGACGGCCGTCTTCTGGCGGATGGACTCGACGGGGAAGTACGTAGCACCAATCTGCTGGGTAATACCACCAGCCTCGCCCTCCTGGACGTTGGTCTGACGGATCTTGTCCAGCAGCTTCGTCTTTCCGGTATCGACGTGACCCAGAATGCAGCAAATAGGCGAGCGAAGGTTGTCCTTTGAACGGGCAGCCAGGGCCTCCTGGTGGGCCTTCTCTCGGCGCTCAGAGGCCTCCTTCTTGCGCTGCACCTCAGCCGCTCGGACAGCTGAAACGCGCTCGTCGTCTTCGGAGTCGTCATCCTCGTCACTGTCCTCTTCCGAATCATTGTCATTCTTAGGCCTTGAGGGGAGCTCCTTCTTGTCTTTAGCCCCCTCGTCAGAGTCAGCATCCCAGCTGTCCTTGACGTCATCGTCAGATCCAGCGGCAGCCTCCCAGTCGTCCTCAATATCGCTCTCGGGCTTCTTAGCGGCAGCAGCCTCGGCAGCGGCCTTCTCGCGGGAACGCTCCTCGGCCTCCTTGAGCTCCCTCTCAGCCTGGACACGGGCGCGCTCGGCGGCTTCAGCAAGAGCCTTCTCTTCGTCAAGCTGGAGAGAGTATTTAAATCAGTATATGGCAGAACTGGGGGAGACGAGAGGGTTGGGGGGGTGGGGGGTAAGCCAGAGGACAAACAAACCTTTTGCTCAACCCTGCTCTTCTTCTTCTTCTCATACACAACCTTCTCCTTCTTCTTCTCGCCCTCCTCCTGGGGACCGACCTTGATACCAGCCGCCAGCATCTGTTGGAGCTTCCTCTCGTTGCGGGCCTTCTCTTCCTTCTGGGCCTTAGTGAGGAACTTGCCCTCCTTCTTGAGTTGCTCAATGCGCTCCTTCTCCTTCTGCTTCTTCAGGGCCTTGGCCTCCTCGCGGCGTTGATGCTCTTCGGCCTCGAGGCGATCCATCTCAGCAATCTTGGCCTTAGCCTCGGCCTGGAGCCTCTCCTCCTCCTCGCGCTTGCGGCGGATCTCCTCCTGTTGCTTCTGTATCAAAGCCAGGTGGGCGGGGATCTTCTTTTTCTTGCCGCCCGGGTCGGCGGCGGGCTCCGGCGCCGTTTCGGGCGCGACATCCTTCTTCTCGGGAGCGGCCTTGGCTTCCGGCTTGGCTGGAGCCGGCGCCTTTTTTTTGGTAGCCTGTAGGCATGAGTAGAATAAGGTTAGTCACTGTCAAAGTACGGAGGCCCTTGAAATTTTGTTGTTGGAGGGGGGGGGAGGTGTTGAACTTGCCTGCTCCTTCTTGCGAGCCTTCTCGCGCTCTTTCTTAAGCTTCTCCTTCTCAGCCTTGGTGAGGACACGACCGCCCTCCCCAGTCTCCTCGACTGGGGCAGCCTTCTTTGCAGCCTGCTGCTTGCCCTTGCCACCCTTGCCCTTCTTGTCGGGGAGGGCGAACTCGTCATCCATATTGGCATCCTCGGCAGCCTGAGGAGCGGGTACTTCTTCGACGGTCTCGTCCTCGATACCCTTCTTCTTACGCTTCTCCTTATTCCTTCGAAGCATAGCCATCATGCCACCACCTCCAGCGACGTCATCGTCCTCCCCGCCAGCATCACCGTTGGCATCGGCATCAGCGACAGGCTGCTCGCTAGCCGGGGCAATGGTCTCGCCCAGCTCGGCTTCCCAGTCGTCCTGGCCCTTTTTATTTCCTTTCTTCTTGGGAGGCATGATGACGATGTTTGTTGGATTACTTTGTCGGAAGGGGTTTTCTTTTTTTTATAAACGTGATTCAAGTTACCGTAGCCTACACGGTCTTCTGGGGTTGATCAGGTCGGAAAGGTGAATATAGGGGAGGGAGTGTGGAACAAGTAACGATTCGTTGTTTGCAAGACAATCCTTGAGAAAGGAATTTCAACAGGGCGTCGGGGCGAGGTCTGGCGGCCAATGCAGCGCGGGACAAGTGGGTTGATTGAGTAGTGGGAGTATAGACCGACAAGACATGCTCTAGTATCCAAGGGGCTTCAAGGACGTCGTCGGCAGATGCCACTCTCGGGACCAGTAGTCTCAGTTCTATATGGGTCCTCTGGCAGAAGGGTCTTGCTTCTCGTGTGTTTGGGCCAGGTTCAGCCTTGACGGGAAACAGACCACGGATGAGTAGTGGCGGGAAGAAAAGAAGCAAATATCTTCGGCCCTGGTGGTAGGGTAATATGTTTAATGGTAATAGTGGTTAGTTAGTGGTCGTGGGTTCCCATGGTGTCGTAAGGGCGGGGCAATACAGCTCGTTCATAGAGAGAGGGGCATCTGGACACACACTCGGCCGCCACGGGCTAGCCATCACAGTGAATGGCCCCACTGAATCAGACTCGACAGGGTATCGGTCACGGGCTGGAGAATACTATCGATTGACAGTAAACCGCTATAATTCATCACTGTTAACTATCTACAGGGTATTTACAGGCAACTATACTGCAGCATTCACGGTGTGTGACTGACGAGGGCTGCACTGATCCGAGAGGGCGAAAAAAAAGCTTTCAACTGTTCAATATTATGTAATACTCCACTACTAATATCCATCTGTACGGAGGATTACTACTACTACAGGTATAGTAATACCATACTCCGTATTACTGCGTACATATCAGTACCTCGTAGTATTACTAAGTAAATAGTATTATTATACATCTTGTACTGCTACGTAGTAGCATCGACAGCATCCTCACATATCACGCGTTTACTCGTCATTGACTACTTGCCAACACTGAAATATACCACTATTGGCTATACTACTTATTATTTTTTTGGGCTCATACTTGCAGAATCGACCGCCTAGCTCAAGGTTCGAATCCTCTCTGGATGAGGAGATGGGCCCTCGCTCTCGCAGAGGAAGCTTGGCGGCGCAAGCTATAAGTGCACCATCTTTATTACTACAGCTTGACTCTTTCACTAAAGCGTGCATATATATAATTCAATCTCCTACTACGAGAGCTGCTACCAATAGTAGTACAACGGATGATGGAACCCAGAAATACACATACTGATTCCATCGTCAACAGTCAACATGCTAAAGAGCTGGAATCAGCACATAATTCAACACATCGTACCCCAGGTCAAAGTACATCGAACGCAGCTCCTCGTTCACCATCCCCCCGTCATCCCCGCCCTGCCGGAAACGGCTCGTGTGCGTGCCTCCCTCCAATCCGTCCAGAAAGCGGCAGAATAAAGCCAGGCAGTTTCCCTGCGCTACCAGCCTCTCCAAAAGCCGATTCTCCACGATATGGTTGAGAAGGTCGCCTTGGATATGCATGTTCCTCACGTCCACCTCGGGTTCGAGTGGCTCCTCATCGCCGTCATGGCTATTCCATCCTCGCCCTGCTGTAGAGCCACCTCTCCCTTGGGCCAGCATCTGCACGAGAGCCAGGTAGCGCCACAACTCGATGGTGAGTAGACTGAAGTGGCGTAGCGTTCCATCGAGAGAGATCCCCAACACCTCTGCCCCGTCTAGGGTACTCCCCAGGCATCCGAAGCGGCGGTGGTCCTGTCCTTCAATCTGCCACGATGGCCGACAGTGTCCCCGGGCAAACTTTCTGACAGGGTTCCCAATTCTTCCCTCGAACACTGTCACCATTTCTTGTGCATTCGTCTCGCTTGGAGGGGCCCACAGCCCGGCAATGCCACCTGCAATGTCGGACAGCAAAGTCACGGGCCAGAGGCCCTTGTCCGTCGACTGCTCCATGCTAATCATGTGCGTGGCTGCCCTGGATGACCGGTCCGAGCAAATATGCGTCATCTCCAGGTTGCCCATGTTGCCCTTGTAGTCTATCACCTCGACCGAATGCATCGTTGTTAACACACGGAGCTTTCCGTCGACAATCTCCAGAGAAATTGCAGGTGACTCAAGAAGGTATTGTTTGACTGGCTTCATCTTCTTCTCGTCCAGATCGAGTATGTCCCAAAAGACGGTCCGCCCGGCAGCGTACAGGAGACCTTGATCGTCGGCCACCACGGAGTACACTGGTTCATCGTAATTCTTTTTACGGTACCTGGTCCAGTGTTCCAAACGTCTGTATGGCGGCTCCGTCTCTGGATGCCTCATCGTAGCCACTGACACTACCAGGAGTTTACCCGATTGTGTCGTGACCACGATAAAGGGGAAAGTCTGGCCATCCTTGACGTACATCCACTCGTGCAGGCCAAGAATCCTGTCTCCGCTTGTGCCAAACGAACTTAGCTGGCCCTCCATTTTATCCTTATCGAGAGGCTTCGAGATCGAGCGACCCGTGTCAGGGTCAACCAGGGCCAGCTCTATGCCGTCTTCGACCTGGAGACCGACCACCAGACAGTTCCAGACGTTCGAGTACAGAATTCTTGTCGGTGTGCCCTTCCATCCCGGCGCAATGATCCTGGGCACAGGGCCGGAACGAGGCTCGATGTCGGCTACATATAAACTCGATGCACTGAGCAGGAGGACCAGTGACTGACTTCTGGCGTCCGCTGTGCTTGACTTTATGGCAAACACAGAGTGAATTGGAGGCGACGGTAGCGCCATGTCACTCGCGTCCGTGGCCCACACAACGTCTTTTCGCATGTATACATTCCGCCTGTCTGCAAGCTCAGAGAGTCGGAAAAGCGTGTTGTCACAAGTGACAAACGCCGACGCTCCATCTCCCGGCAACCCGGGAGCCTGGAAAACGCCAACAGATGCTGAGCCCATCCTCTCCGCACTAATAGAAACGGTGTGCGTGCTTTGCAGTATCTTGATGGTTAGAAGCTTTCCAAAGCGGGTCCCCGCAATAATGTCCACGCCGCGTTCAGTCTCACGCACGACGCATATACTACTGAACGGGTCCAGGGTACCGGCTGCCTCCCCTATTTTATACGTATGGCATGTTAGGGATCTATGGAACGAGGGGGGTGGGCGGACGCTGGAAATATGGCATGAGCAAGCTTACAATGTTGTCGAGGCACGACCGGACCGCGCACAATCAACTCCCCGTTTAGGTCGTATATAGAAGGCATAGGTCCTTCCTTCGTCACCGAGCCTATGATGACGAACTTTCTCCCGCCGAGGTGAAACTGGGACAGGCAGCCAACCTCTCCCGGCACGGCCCAGGAGTTCCTCAATGAAACATCCATCTGGTTAATGGACAGGAGATAAAGATGCGCCTCATCAGGACCCTGAACATAGACGACTATTTCGTCGTCTAGACAGTGAGCTTGCTCCGCGATAGCACCTGGTACTCTTATGATGTCTCCTATGGCCCGTTTTAGGCTGTACACACAAATGTCAGAGTTGCATTTCTCATCCAAGACGGACGGATATAAAGCACTTCTTACAACCGAGACTCCGTCACCAGAGTGATCAACCCCTCTGAGACCTGGACAATGGAACCGGAAGCCGTACGGATGGCGTGCAGAGTACGGAATGTTGTATCGAAGTGACTCGTCTCTTCTGACTCGGCTCTGACGTCGGCGAACCCACTCTCAAATCGGAGAACGGTTGTGGAGTGCGGCAATGCCAATATTGCATGCATAGCACCGTCGTTGCTGCTCTCGTCCGAAAAGAGCCAGACCTGCCTGACGATTTCGCCAATGTCCAGGTCTATGCCTATCCTCGCTTTTAGGCCAAATCGAAGCTCTGTTAGGCAACCTGTCGCTCCTCGCCCGGAAGCAAGAAAAACTCGCTCGGGCTTGTACTGCTCCCTAAGATCAAGGCCATGGGCGAATCCGGATACCTTCGGTCTGTTGCTATTTGTCATTGCCATATCGGTAGCGGGAGACCAGTTGGAAAATGCGCTGATCTGTTCCAGTTCGCTACGGGCAGCCAGCTATCATGCTCTTGTCAGCTCTTTTCACTATGTATCGGCGATTCATGAGAAGGAGTGGACAAACCTTCCATATGCCACCGGAGCTCGACTCTCCACCGACGACCAGAAGGTCAGAGAATTTGTCGTATGCAGTTGTGAATGCTGTTCCAATGTTTGTTCCTAAGTAACCAAGCTGCATTCCGGAATACAAAAGTGTCTCTGAATCAATCTCAATATGGACAACGAGACCATCCTCTCGGGCGAGGTATATGATGTCAGTCTTTTCGGAGTAGTCCTTGCGGCGAAAAGGCCTAGCCCAAGAGACCCATAACGGCGGTCTGGCTCCGTGATGAAGCTCTGAAGGGCCCGGCATTTCCAGGACCCTGTTGGAATCGTACTCTCCAGATGACAGGGACTGCCTTACTATGGCCATATGGTCTTCATAAACGATAAAGAAAGCATTCCGTGACTTTAATGGGATTGAAAAAAGAGGTACGCCATCCAGTTTAGACAGGCTTTGGCGATGACCAGGCCCGGTCAGGATAGCTCGAAGGTCCTCTCCTGCCTCCCAATCCCAAGTGATGTATTTCCGGCGTAGTGTCTTCTCTGGAGTCTGGTTTCTGGAACTCATAATAACCATGATGATGATGTGATAATCATCCTGCAGCCTTGGATAAAGAAACTGGACATCATGGATGGTGCCGCGCAGCGGCCGAATGCTTGCTAACTTGAAAGGCTTCGGAAATTTCCCCGTGTCTCTGAATCTCTGGTCTAGATCGTCCAGAGTCTCCATTTCGTAGACCACCAGCAAATTTTCGAAGGGAGCGGCTGCCATGTAGCGGAAGGATGGATCAACAGCGAGATGATGGGCGTGGTACGGAATGTTGCCCGGAGGTGCGTAAGAGCTGGTATATAGCTTCATTCTAGCGCTTGCTTCGGTTGTAAAGAGGAATTCTATCTGGCCATTCTCCAAAACCAGGACTAGAAGTTGTGGGGGAAGTATGCGAGACGCGTTATGATGACTGCTGGGCAAAGGGTCTTGGCATAGAGAGTCGATTTCTGCGAGCTGGCTTTGTCCGTCGGCTGCACTGCTGTCAGTGTCATCTGGGGAGTCACCCAGAACGATGGCGTTCCGTATCCGCGAGCCATATGACTTGTACTTGAAGATCTCATGCGTCTGGCCATTATCCCGTAGCTCTCGGATCGTCACTACGTTACTCTGTATTGATCAGCAAAAGACAATTCAACCAAGAGAGTAGGTAGTCTATGTCCGTACACATCGGAGACAACAGAGACGGGAATAAGAAGTCAGACTCGACTGTGAATCCTTCATCTTGTTTGGACGCTAGCGGGGGGGCAGGGGCTAGGACGGGAGACTTACTCCAATGAAGGCGATATCGTTGTGGTTTCTAGACCTGATATGGACATGCAGGATCTTGTTCACCATGGGGCTTTCCACGACAGTCGAGGAGAGAATACCGCATGGCGGACGGTGCGAGATGGTTTCGTCGGGCTCTTTAGCGGCAGATGCTGAGGCTTTGAGAGCAGCACTGAGATCGACGGTTTCCGTGACCCATTCGCCGTCCCTAAAGACATTTGTCTGGAAAGCCATGGCGGTAGGGAAGGCGTGCAACCTACGAATTCTCGATGTATGGAGGCGGCGGAGAGCAGACCAAGCAAAAAGAGGCACGGACACAGGCTGCGATGCGCCAAAAAAAAATGCGTGTGGAGGTTCACAAAAAAAGGCAGGTTCGACGGCTAAGCTGATGCTTACTCTGCGTCGCCCATTTTCTCGGTCGGACAAGCAGGAGGATCGGCGACTGGCCTGGGTTCCTGTTAAATGATCCTGCAATGAGTCTCAAACGGACGTTGCTGAATGTAATGTCATGAAGCTGAAAGTCTGCCAGGTCATGGGAAGAGTAGAGGTGGAAATGTAGAAGCCATGGGTCATAATAAGGCTCAGTGTCGGTACAGCTCCGCGACCAGGCAGGACGTAGGCGACTGATGATGCTCACCACTTTTGTGGTCGTAATACTACTGAGCGCTTGAGTGGGGACAATACGCCCGGAGCAGAAAGTGGTGGTGCGGGAAAGACCAAGGTGCAGAGAAAGGTACAGAGGAGGGGAGGGACCGAGAAGAAACCGGTCAGAGAGATTAACTGGAGACGTGTAAGATCTGCGAAGCCGACCAAGGTGCACAGTGGAGGGTAGCTTGAGTTGGTAGCAGGTAGACGGGCGTTGGCTGGCTGCGGGCCCTGGCAGGCGTTTGCGATAGTTCCTCGTAATAGTTGATTGAAGGGAGCTAAAGCTGGGGCAGAAGAGGAAAAGAGAGGATGAGGATGATGCACGTTGGTCGCTGTGGGCGCCCAGCTTTCAGTGCCTGTGATGTGCTAGTAACTGCTACGGAGCAGTAGCAGTAATACGGAGTACTGATGAGTATTAATAGCAGGCAGAACGATGTTGCTACTACCTACCACTATGCTGTGCGTGTGGTAGCAGAGGAAGTAGTATTACCGGCTTGTCCGTTGCCTATATGTGAATGGGAGCTCTGGGAGTGCTGGCAATATCATGTATAACATGGTGTTGGGTGGCTTTACCGGCGTTTGTCTCTTTGAGGCTCTCACGATAAGAGGCCTACTATTGTGTATGTATTGATGAGCAATTATAGTGGGTATCAATGGCTGCAGTGAGGAGGAAGATACACATGTTGAAGCTTCTTACTTTAAAGCTACAAGCCACTGTAGCAAGCTTGGGGGACAATCCAACTTGTTACATGCAGTTCTTTCACTAATACTATCACTGCTACTTCCGGGCATTAATCCAGGCACAATGTGAGAAGTGACACCGACTACATATTACTAGACCGGGCCATATCATGGGGGTGATACAGCGTATTGTAGTGCACATAGCACTTGAGAAGGTACATGTATGTATATTGCCACTATCCGCCACTATCCGCCACTATCCGCTACTGCACTGAACATGTTACCCATTGTTATTGCGTAGAGCGACTGAACATTGGGCAGAGATGAAGCCTGCTCTCAATACAACGCCGTGATGCTACGCGATGCCTTATATGTTCTCACATCTGGGCAATAGAATGAATATATGCCCAATTATCTGACGAATTAAATATGAATAAGCTAATAATACTGAGAACGCACGAATTTAGCTCATACGCGGCGCACTCTCATGGGCAATTGCGCAAAGCCGATGGATGACGCCTTCCCTCGAGACAGTCAATCTGGGGGCGGACCGAAAAGGTAAGGAGCTTCCCCCCACTGACTGTCACTCGCTATTGCTAGTCGCGTTAAGGAGTTATTACGTCGTACGAGTACTCTCGTACTCGTGATATCCGTAAGTCCGTCGTCATTCTTACCATCAGGCGCGGCACACCATCCCACATGCACACCCATTTTCTATTGCCTTCCCCGTTGCCTCTATGTTGATTCGTATGCGTCTCACAATTTTAATGATCCGTCATTCCCTGTCATCGCTATAATACCCGCAAACTCGAATCCTGCCCGGGCAAGTTCCATGGCCCAGGATCCACGACTGACGCAGCCTCATCATCCGACCGGCCATGACAAGGACAGCGACGATGTAGGCCAAGAGGCGCCTTCTCAACCAACCACGACCGAGTCGCCATCCGCCCAGTCCACCGAGTTCATCGATCCATTCATTGAACAAAAGACTGCCGATATTTCCGATGCATGTAAATCAAAAGACGCTGCTCGGCTGAGGGTCCTCGCCCAAACCAGGGCCGGCCTCGTCAGTGATGAGCTTCGTCAGCAGGCCTGTACGACTCCTCCCGTGGCTCAGTCCCATTCAACGCACCTGCTGACCTGGACAACGGATTGCTTCAACAGGGCCAATTCTCCTCGGTGTACCATCTCACGATGCGACTGACAGCAGCGTTGGTGAAAAGACCGACGCCTCTACGAATGCCCTACTATTCGGCGACTGGAAGGAGCTGCCGCCCCATGCCGACGAAGATCAAGTGAAGCTCGATGTCGACCGGTCTTTTGTATATTACCCGCGCAGTACGTGCGAGTCAAATTACTTCTATCTAGCGAAATAGTCTACCGACCGGACCCCACCCAGCTGACATCTGTCCTGTTATAGACCAGTCTGACGCCGATCTGGATAAGCGGAAATCGGAGCTTTCGGTCTTGATCATTGAAGTCCTCCGTCGATACCCCTTCCTTTGCTACTTCCAAGGCTACCATGACATTTGTCAAGTCTTTGTTCTTGTGCTTCCCCGAGAATTGCGCGCGTCGGCCGTTGCTCGCCTATCGGTTCTACGTATCCGCGACTTTATGCTCCCCAACCTTGCCGCGACAACTGCGCAGCTACGTCTTCTCCCAGACATAATAGGCAGGGCTGACACCAGGCTCTGGCGTCATTTGGTCGGAGTAGAGCCCTTCTATGCGCTCTCCGGCACGCTGACAATGTATGCCCATAACGTCGAGGCCTACCACGACATATCGCGCCTGTTCGATGTCTTCCTCGCCCGTGAGCCCGTCTTCAGCATCTATATGTTTGCCCAAATAGTCATCAGTCGCCGCGAAGAGATATTCGACATTGACGACCCGGACATCCTCCATGTCATCCTCTCCAAAGTGCCGCCTGGGGCGGACTTTGACAAGCTCATTGAAGACTCGGTCAAGCTGTTTGACCGCCACCCTCCCGAGACCCTCCGGTCATGGAAGTCAATATCCGACGCTAGTGCGCTCAAGACGATGCGCCACATCGACACGGACACGGACCAGACCTTGGAGGAGGGCAGCGAGCACTTTGAGCAACAGGTCAATGAGCTCAAGTGGGCCGAGTTTCAGGATAGGGTCCGGGCAACGCTCTGGGCTTACCGGAGACCGGCAACGACGTTTGGCACAGCCATGGCGGTTGGTGCACTGGCGTTCTACCTCCGCCGCAACCCGGCAATTGTCCACCACATCACAAGTCTCTTTTCGCGGTGATTGGGAACATGTCGCACTGGGACATGCAGTGCAGTCACACACAAATGCAGCTAGATGGCAACAACAAGGAGACTCTATTGAGCGTATGAATATACCTAACCTAATGCAAACACACACGCACACACCAATATACCTGAAAGAACGCCGTGCACGTGGCCCACCAGCAGGGAAAGGGCAGACTCGCTGAGGAGAGTCAAAGGTAGGAAATGAAACATGTACAAACTTAGAAAATATACAAATTTTGAAAGAAAGAATAAGAGATGGTTCCCTCTTTTGTTTTTTTAGTTGATATCCTGATATTTCTTTTTGAGATCCTCAAAGTACGACTGGTGCTCAAGGGCGAGCTTACCGTCGGTGTCACTGATGATGGTGAGGATGAGGGAGATATTGTTGTAGAGGAAGCGCTTTCCCTTCTGCCTCTCTGCGCCGGCGGAATAGGCCTGGGCCTGTTTATCGAGAAAGGACTGGACCTCATTACGCAGACGGCGCAGGCTAGCGCCCACGGGCTCATCGTCGCTCGCGTCGGCGCTGAGGGAGAGGAAGCCGTGGAGGATCTGTGCGAAGCGCTGGGCGACAAGGTGGGGCGCGGCGGACAGGTTCTTACTGCTGCTGCCGCCGCCGCCGCCGCCGGCACCGCCGCCGTGTTCTACTGCCGATGCGAGGGTGTGTACCGACTCGCAGTGACGGTCCATGATGAGCTGCAGGCGCGGCCAAAGGAGCATGTTTGTGGCGTTGACGTAGCCCTCCAGGGCAGGGACCTTGCGGCGCTGCAACTCAAAGGCGAAGCGCTGGTTGAGGCGGATGCACAGGAGCACGCCGAGGGCGTCGTATGAGTCGGAGACGAGCGTCTTGGACAGGGTCCGGCCCAGGTCAAATGTGGGGTCGAAAATGTAGTTGAAGTTCTTGGAGATGGTGGCGTATGACAGGGCCGGGGAGAAGAAGGTAGCCAGGAAGGTGTACTCGGCCGTGGCGTTGTCAACCAGAGCCAGGTTAAAGTTACGGAAGGGCACCTCAAGGTAGTGCGTCGACGGGTCCTCTTCGGCTAGGTACGACGACAGGGCCGACTGGTCGTCTGTGCGGAGCGTGTCGATGCGGCGGCCCAGGTTGAAGGCGTCGTGGGGCGGTCCGGCCGCCACGCGCGACCCGCCCGTCAGCACCGTCGCCCGCCGGGACATGTCCTCCTGGCCCAGGGCATCGGTGCGGTCCAGCACGTGCAGCTTCAGCTGGGCCAGGGCCCGCTCGTACCGTCCAAACTGGTTGGCGTAGTACCAACGCATCGTGTTCATGTACGCCAGCGATATCTCCTCGGCCAGCGCGCTGTGGTGTTTATGAAGGAAGGTAAAGAGGTCCTTGAACCGCAGAAAATTCTGCTGCTGCAGGATCTGCGCGTTGATGTGCGGTGATCGTAGGGCCTTGATCTGCGCCACTAGGAAATCTCGTATTCTTTGAATGGCCTGTGTTTGGTCAAATGTTAGAAAGCGAGATCGATGAATCTATAGAATATACGTGTGTGGTGTCTCTGTGTGTGTAGATACCTTGGCAGTCAACTTCTCAAGCAAAGGCCCCAGATCTTCCGATGCCTTGGAGTGCTGCGACCTGGCCTTGGCCGCCTCGTAAGATGCCGTCCTACGGTCAATCTCGGACAGCATCTTGGCCCACATCTCGTCGATATGGCCCTCGGAGATCTTGGAGATGACTTCGGGTGAGATGCTCAGGTCCTCGACGAGCGGGCCCAACGCCTTCTCCACCGCTTTACGGTTATCCAGCCGTCGGTTGAGCGTGGCCGACCGGGTCTGCAGCGATTCTATGTCGGCCGACACGGTGGCCAGGTCGGACTGGAAGCTGGCGAGATACGTCTCGACAGAGCTGAGGACCTGGTCGCAGGCGTTTATGGATCGGCGTAGGTCGTCGAACTTGGTCTGCTGCTTCTCGTCTGTGGATCTGGGTGTTAGTGTCTGGTCTAGTCGATAGAGGGGAGGATAGCATAACATACAGTCTTGGGGGGGTTGCGGCCGTGCAGGCACCCTTGAGGGAGGGTTTCCAGGCTCAGAATCGGCCAACTCTCTTAACGATAGTCCACCAAAGTCTGGGTCAAGCTGGAAATCATGGTCGGTAATGGTGCTGCGCGGCGCATCGTGGTCATCCGCCGTGCGGAGGAGCCTGTCGAGAATCTCCAGGGAACGGTTGGCGGCATCGTGGGGTGCCGTCTCGGCCTGCCTGAGGCCCGATCCCACGGGCTTACGTGCAGACGACAGCAGAGACGTGGTCGAGTCATTTGTAGCCAGCGAGAGCGACGAGGTCCGGCGCGGCTGTTGTTGCTGCTGGCCGCCGGGACGTTGCGACGTGGCGTAGGGACTGAGATTGTTCGACACGCGGCGAGGGAGCGGAGAGTACGGTCTGCTGGAGGGTTGAGAGCCCGGAGGAGGGGCAGACAGGTTGTTGGCCTGATTCCCGGCCAGTCGGTCTAGCCACATGATTGCTGCTGACGTTACGGAGGGCCGAGAGCAGACAGGTGATAAGATGACAGGACGGGACAAGTCTCTCAGGAGGCAGGTCTCGGGCTCAAGGGGTTGCCGGGGCAGAGCATGTTCGGGACCGGCCCGGATATTTAATTGATGGCCGTATTTTCCGATGCCGCGAGCCCGAGATAAAACACGTCCAGGGGGGGAGGAGGGTCTTGGGAGCTAGTGAGATTTGTTTGACTTTGTCGATACTCAACACTGATACTCGGTCTAGTCGTCGCGACGCACGAGTGTTGGTGAGCTGTCCTGGAGCTTCGACGACATGTGCTCCACTTATTAGACCGTTTTGGCAGTCGGGACGCGTATGTACCTTGGCGCTCATTTTTAGCGTAAGAGGTACATCATCCTAGGGTAAGCATTTCTTTGTATTCGTACCAGTATTAATATTATATATAGTACTGTAGCATGGGTGCGTTCCGTAATCGGAGTGATGCGTAACAATTACCGTGCTGGGAGTTTTGATGGAGCTGTAATGCTACATGCAGTATCTACTACTCTATCGCAGTAGTAGAAATGATATTTATGGCCATGGGCATAGGTAGCGGCGGGGTTCGGGTTCGCTGCGCGTATGGATCACGAGTATGTAGTAGTGATCTTATAATGCCTGGTGCTGTAGAACTCTGGCTGACGCCTACTAGGCAGGAGGAGTTTATAGGCATTAGAGTCTAACACTGTACATATACGGGTGGTGTTACCACCACCAAGTACGTAACACGTGCCTGAACTGTAAATTTCAAAGTCCCTCTCGATGAGAATAGTGTATTCTGTCATTCTTATCTGCGGTGTTGCTACTCCAAGGTTACAGTCCACCCAAGGTAAAAGTTTCTGAATGCTTGCCTGACTGGGGCTATGTACTAATACTGAAACTCCGCAATTGAGGACTGGCAATTGCCTCTCTGCTGTGGGACTCGTCTACCTTCTAGCCCGGGCCTTCCATTGCTCTTTCAGGGCTCTTTCCAGTGGCATTACTGGCGTAAAACAGTGTACAGTGGTACATCCCCCGCTGTAGAATTTTTCCAGGGTGCAGTGGATGGGGGAGGCCCCCTCCCGAGGCCCCTCCACTGCGTCTGGAAGCCCCTCCAAGGGTCCAATCACAGGAGTTCCAAAGGCCAATGGAGAAGAAAAAAAAATCAAGGCGTCGCACTTTTTTTTGCAATTTTTCCCACCCACCAGCGCGCGCAACAAGAGCCCAGTCGAGTTGCCCCTCACTTGCCACGATGGAGTATTTTCACCCTTCACGCCACTATGATAGAGTACAGTAATTTAGAACTGTCGGTAGTGAGTACGTAGTACCTTAGTACTAGTAGGCAGTAGTAGTAGTGGTACTGATACTTACAGACAGTACTCAGAGCTTGTGGCGGCTATAATCGTAGCAACCTTCAGCCTGTGACAACCGCTCTACAGTGGTGTAGGTCTGACCCCGCCGCTAACCTCTGCCCTGTCCAGCCAGCAGCCAGATATTTCTCCCTTTTTTTTTTTCCTCACACTCCCAAATCTTTCTCCGACCATCCTCTTCAACTATTTCTCTCCTTCTCTCCCATCAAATTCTTGATTTTCTCCCTTTTTAAGCCGACAAACCCGTTCTTCGCGCAAATCCACCACAATGGCTGACGAGGCAAGTTATTGAATCCCTCCTTCCACTTCCCCTCTTCATCTTCCACTTCTTCGTTTCCCCCCTCTCGCGCGCCGCACCCCTCCTCCTCTCTGCGCAGTGCCCTTTTTTGTTGCTTCGCGCTGCTGGGACACAAAAATATCACCCCGCATTGTCCTTCCTCTCATGCCCCACGACCCAGCAAACCAGCCCGCCTGTCACACAACGAAGGAGTTGACAATTTGCATCTGGCAATTTGGTGACTAGCAGCTAGTTTCTGTTGTTGTTGTTGTTGTTGTTGTTGTTGTTGAGGAACAAGAAGATAGGATTAAGCAAAAAATCGAAGAAAAACGGGAGGAAGTAGGAAGAGGGGGAAAAAGCCGCCAACACCAACACGCACCTACACGCATACCATGTGTTCCTGCTAACACCTCATCTTCACTCTCCAGCATGATGTGACCTTCGAGTCCGCCGACGCCGGCGCCTCGCTCACCTTTCCCATGCAGTGCTCTGCTCTGCGCAAGAACGGCCACGTTGTCATCAAGAACCGCCCTTGCAAGATTGTCGACATGTCTACCTCCAAGACTGGCAAGCACGGTCACGCCAAGGTTCACCTGGTCGCCATCGATATCTTCACCGGCAAGAAGCTCGAGGATCTCTCTCCCTCGACTCACAACATGGACGTCCCCAACGTCTCCCGCCGCGAGTACCAGCTTGTATGTTTCTCCCTCCTCTCTCTAACCTCTAGCCTCCACTCTTGCATCTTGCTCTACAGCATGTGTGCGGGAGTCAAAAGCGAGTACAACAGAGTGCAGGTCGACTAACAGACCCCCAGCTCGACATCGACGACGGCTTTCTCAGCCTCATGAATGATGACGGTGACACCAAAGACGATGTCAAGCTCCCCGACAACGAGGTCGGTGCCAGGATCCAGCAGATGTTCAGTGACGGCAAGGACGTTAGTAAGTGGAACCCCAACAAACGTCTATACAAACCCCTGCAACTGTCATATCAACCGTATTGTGAGCCATAATACGAGTATACTGACCCATGTCTACCAGACGTCATCATCCTTACCGCCATGGGCGAGCAGGTCGCCGTGGACTGCAAGGAGGCCCCCCGTGGTGGCGACTAAACATGCACACATGAAGTCGCTTCTGAAATTACCGTGTGCTCTCGGTGCACCCATCACATGTTGTTCTCTTTTTTTTTCTTTTCGTCGAGCCCTTGTTGCGGTCAAAATTCAAGGACGTATCACTGTTCGTGTCTCACGACTCTTGAGGGGCCACGGTTGGTTAAAAATCGGATGGCTGTAACTGTGTGAGCATGCTTGCATTGATAAGGCTGTCTAAACGACTTATCACACGATCGACGAATCTCATGAATGAGCTTATACGATCTCAAAACTTCCCTTTGTTTCAACGACCGGTGTTATCCAGGCCACAGTGTAGCCAGGTCCCATGACAAAAAAAAATCCTACCAAAATAAAATAAAAGGAGAGGCAAGCATTGAAGATGATGACTTTTTTCTGGCCTACATGTGTCTTGTGGATGCATATCACACAATCAGTATGCTCGTAAACCAACGTGCTGTATGCTGTTTGCTAGACGAGTATAAAGGCTAAGATGGCGTGTTCTCTACCAAAAGGTGATTCAATATAGGAAAAAAAGAGAGGACAGATGCATGGAATCAAAAAGGACAGGAAACGGAATGTAAAATACAATAGACAGAAAGCGGCAAAATTATATATACCAGTGAGAGGACGTTTACGGAATTAAAACTTGCCGTACAGGTATTTCAAGTCGTGACTTACACGGTGTCGGTGAGGCTATGATGGGAAGAAAAGAAAAGAGGAGATTTTTCTCATAAAACCACATCAGTCCCGCCAAACAACGCCACCCAACTACTTAGGATTTTTTTGCCTATCGGCCACCTCGGTGCCCGCCGTGCAAGAGGGCAGATAATACGAAGTCATCTTCTTCATGGTGCATGTGCACCTGACGTGGACACAATTTCAATTTTGGCTGCGCGCTGAGAACCAAGGAAGGAGGGACAAAACAGCATGGAGGAGCGTAGCGAAGCGCGCAGGCTTCCACGTGGGGAGCGATGCTCTCAATGTGGCGATCGCAAGTATTATCTTGAGAATGGCATGAGATTCTGCGCATCGAATGGACATGAGATTGAGGTCTGTTCTTTTCATCTTCTTCGTCCTATCTCTCCTTCCTTGCCCTCCCCCCCCTCCCCTTTGCTGTTTCTTTGGCATGCCTCATCACAGTGGTCTGGTATAGTTATTACAAGAAGACAACTGACAAAAAAAAGAGATAAACAGGGATTCATCCAATTCGATGTGACAGAGGAGGAAGATGCCGGGAGGCTGGGATCGGTGGCCCGGCGCGAGAAGGAGATTCGCGAAAAGGAGACTCGACAACTCACAGGTCTAGAGGGAAAGAGCCTATACCTCGAGGCTCTGCAGCTGGTTCTCCGGAGCCAGACCCTGTGGCTCATCCGGGAAAAAGGCCACGCAGAGGAACTAGAGACGGTGGTGAGGGATCTGTGGGACCTCCGCATCCGGGCCTTTGGGTCCATGGTCGTCGTCCCTGATAACGAAGAAGAGGGTGAGCCCCAGCTCGAGATGTTCAGCTCCCAGCCTACGTTTGTCGAAGACATGGCCGACGGCAATGGCAACGGCGACGATGATGATGTCAACGACGACGGCACCATACGCCTGAGAAGCAGGCTGCTCAACTGGGATCACGACCGGGGCGCGTCAGACTGGCCTATACCGCGGCTCGTGGATACCATCTCGCTTTGCTACCTGGGCTGTCTGCTGCTGCGGATACCGACGCGGGTAGGTGAGATGCACAGGTGGGCTGTTGGTGGGAACATGCCGTATAAACGCGTTGTAAGTCCTTGCTTTTATCCTCTCGTGGGCAGGGTAGATGTTGACTCGCTTGCAGTATTACAATCTGCCGCAGGAGATGCAGGACCGTATGCCGTCGTCGTACATCCGGGCTCTGAAGATGCCGCTTCACACGTCCCTTGATGGCGGGATCCTTCATGGTTCCGTGTTGCGTCTCGCCTTGGGATACAAGTATAATTACAACATAATATTTCCTCCGTTGAACCATATTTCCATGCTGGTCCAATACGGAAGACAACTCTCTCTACCACGTTCGTTCATCTCCCCCTTCCTTCGTCTCTCCCTCTTAGGACACTAACACAGCAGGAGTAGTTGAATCTATCGAGGCCGCACGAAGCCTTGCGGAGATCCTGAGATGCTCGTTTCAGTTCCCCACGTCCAAGTCGAGAATATTCCCCGTTGACATGCCTGAAACTCTGGTGGCTTCGTTGATGGTCGTCGCTACAAAGATCTTGTTCCCGTTTCAGCAGGGTACCCAGACAACACAGGAGCATTCTGCTTCTATCATTTCTCCGCTGCGATTCGACTGGGACAAATGGATACAGGCTATCCAGAAGTTCCAGGATGAGCACGATGGCGGGCAGGCGGCTGGACCCAAGCCTAATTTCAGTAATATGACAGCAGATAGTGTCGTCAACATGACTACAAAGGAACTCGACGATTACCTCGCCCACATGTCAAGCTTCATCGACAAGACAAGTAAGTCTGCTAACATTGTTGCCTTGTATCCTAGACGAGCTGACATAGTACTGCTACCTGTCATAGACGCAAACCCCATCACTCAATTCTTTCCCGTGCAGCAACCTCCGCCGCCGGAACCACCTGCTCCAGAGACTTCCAATGGAATTATTGATCAGCGGACGCGGGCTATCCTTTCTGCAGCAATGGATAGAACTGTTGCACAGGATGGTGAGGGTGATGCGCCAGAAGAGGTCATGCATGAGGTTTTCCGCACTGTCGAGGATCTCTCACCTCTGGCCATGTCATTTTATACTGCTATATGTAAGTAACTTTTGATTCCGTGAAGAACTGGATCGTTTCTGTTCTTTTTTGTTCTTTTTTTTTTAACAAAAAAACAGCGGATATAACGGGTGTACCTCTTGAGGGGCTTGTGAGAGCCGTCTATATGCTGGAGCTACGTATAGTACGAGTTTGGCAGCGGCGGTCGGGGAGGTTAAATATATTAGATGTACAATGAGAACCGGCTTTTTCTAACAACGATAATAATGCTTTCTTGGAAAGAAAATTCTTGGAAAATGATTCAGAAAAATAGTGATAGCGCATCGGCACGAATAATATCATCAATTTCGTCATCTCAGCATCTCACCATTTACACCGAGCTGAGAGAGTTCTGTCGCTGCAAAGCGATCAATGATGGCGACACGTGACCTGAAACGCACACCTATCACGTGGCTATGCCCGTGACCTAGGGTTTTCACTCAAATGTGCCAGCTCCGCCCCACCACCAAACTTGTTCGGCGCAAAAAGTGGCAGGGAAATCGGGCCACCTCGAACTTCACAATCGTCAGCGTCACCAAAATCCGTCAAGAGTAAGTTGAAGCCCACCACACGCAGTCATATGGTGAATGCGAAAGCGACTGAATATGCTAACTTCCTGAACAGTGCAGATGTAAGCCCCCCCGTCTCCCGTCCCTCTACTCTCCCCCCTCCCCCCAGCGATGCACACACGGAAAATCAACGCCAAACGAAAATTGCCCATCTATTTGTATATTCAAAGACGCAACATACAACGACCACATGGCCAACCATCCCACCAGAGGAAAAAAATTGACGGAGGGAACGACAGAGAGGGAGATGATATACTAACGTGGGATTTTCACTCAACAGCTTCGTGAAGACCCTGACGGGCAAGACCATCACCCTTGAGGTCGAGTCTTCGGACACTATTGACAATGTCAAGTCCAAGATCCAGGACAAAGAGGGCATCCCTCCGGACCAGCAACGCCTGATCTTCGCTGGAAAGCAGCTTGAGGACGGCCGCACCCTGTCCGACTACAACATCCAGAAGGAGTCGACCCTGCACCTGGTCCTCCGCCTCCGTGGTGGTATCATTGAGCCCTCGCTCAAGGCCCTCGCCTCCAAGTTCAACTGCGACAAGATGGTTTGCCGCAAGTGCTACGTATGTCTCTTTCTTTCCTCTCTTCCCCCTCACTTTCCTCTCCTATCCCCATATCTCTCATCATGAGAGGCGTCACCAACTTGAAAACGAAAAAAGAAAAAAATCGACTGACTCAAATTCAAATATAGGCCCGCCTTCCTCCCCGTGCCACCAACTGCCGTAAGCGCAAGTGCGGACACACCAACCAGCTCCGCCCCAAGAAGAAGCTCAAATAGACGGTTTCACCCCCCGTTCAAGAGAAGAGAAGAAGAAAAGTGGCGGCGTATCTTGGTCTTTTTTTTCCTTGGTATTCGGACAGGATTTCATGGCAATGGGAGGGAAAGGAGAACTCCATTGTTCAACGCATTCATGGGCTGTTTCTTACGATTAGTACCGGCAGCTTAAGCAATCCATTCTGAGCAAATCATGATAATTGCCCCGTCTGCGCACGTGCGTGCAAGTGAACGCGTAACCCCTTGGCTTGTCATGGCTGAGGCAACTCTCGTCCAGATCAGTAGCTTCTTTACGTCTTGACCACGGGCCGATTCTCTAGCCCGTGGAAGCGAACCAAATTACTTTTATGCCATATGCCGTGCGGCATCTTGCTGATTTTCCAGATGTATAGCTGGATAATGATATCGTTCTCATCGTAGATATATATATGTCTTTCTCCGATGTAATACCAGATTGGATGTGCGGGGTGGTGGGGGTAAATACTACTAGTAGTACACCACCCTTAATATCTCTCATCACGCAAGTAAAGCGCATAGAAGCAATACATACTGCACAGAATAATCCACAATGGGCATCTCTCTACGAGAATTCATCCGGTGGCTCCCAGACGAGGCGAGCGAGCCGACGTCCACGATAGTGGTCACGTCTCCGGGCCAGCATCTGTTTGTGGACATTCGCGTAATTCGTCCCGCCGGAGAGACGGGGGCCTGGCCAACAGAAGACGGTATTATACTCATCTCACATCCCACTGCCCACGTCCGCCGTCGCCCTAACACTTTTGGACAGTGACCGTCTTACCAGACCAGATAGACTGGGCTATTGCGGGGACGTCGTCGTCCCGCCCTGTCGACGGCAAGGGAGCAGGCGTGACGCACGGCCAGTGGCGCCACTGGATCGATTCGCGCACCAAGGAGACGGAGGGAGTCATAGACGAGGGCGACAACTACCCAGTCCCGTCGGACGGCAACCTCACCCTCGAAAAGGGGGTCATGGTCAACCCTGCGACGGGCGAGATGACAGAGTACGAGGAGATGTGGCGCGACGTGGAGCCCGGGACGACGGCGGCGGGGAACGCAAAGTGTGTCGTCGCGCGGTTCGACAAGGCCGACGATCATAGGGGGCTGATTGTCCTGTTTGGACGGTATTGTCAGGGTATCGTGAGGAGAGGGGGTGATGTCGCAATAGAGAGGTGGGAGTGGGTGGATGGGTCCGGGTGGAAGAGGACGGTCCATGGGGGCGCGGGACCTGGACTTCCGTGTGAGAGGATATTGGCGGATAGTGCTTCACTTAAGGTGGGAGGGACGGTGGATGTTGGTCATGAGAAGTGGGAGGTGGTTGAGGTTGAATATACGTAGATGGTGTTTGCCCATGCCTTGACCATCTCAACCTGTCCTGGGCAATATGGAGCGGGGGCGGAGCCGTTATCATACAAGGATTCCAGAAGCGAAATATCTCGAATAAAGAGCATCCATCGATTCAGAAAAAAAAAAATCTTCTTCTTTCGCGAATGGAAAGGCTATTACATTTCAACACAGGAGAAATTGTACGATACATTACCATTCCATGTAAGAGGCGACCCCTGCCACAATAGTTGCACTTTTTTTTGTGTCATCCCCCCCCCCCCCCAACTCCTCGGCGCCCTCGGGAAAATGCCGGGGGTATTTCGTCCCTGAATTCCTCCTGCGCCCTGACGACAACCTGTCCAAGTTGCGAGCACCCAAAGCTTGAGAAAGACATCTCTCTCAATCGCCCTCCCCCTCGCCCAAACTATCCTGCCTGTCTGCCCAACAACGACCTACGAATACGGCCAGCCAGTCAGACGAATCAGTTCAATCATCTAGCATCAACCGCATCTTTTTCCTCCTTACACATTTGCGCTTCTCCCCACGATGTCTGGCAGATCCGGCTACGACGCCGTGGTGGACGTGGATGACGAGGTAGGCCGACCAATCTCCAGATATGCGCATACCTTTTTCCTCCGTTTCCACTTTTTGCTCTCTTATAGAGATATGATGGATTGTACTGACACAACCCCGGATTTGGCAGGGCGACCTCGGTCACACGGACCTCCAGGAGGACCTCGAATTCCACAACTCCAACTTCAACGAGACTGCTCCCGGCGCGCGCAAAGCTCCATCCTCGTCCGGCCTGCCCCTTCCGGCCACGGCGGCCTCGTCATCCGACTCGTCGAAGAGGTACCTATGGTCCATCTCGTTCTACGCCCAGTTCTTCGACGTGGACACGTCAGCTGTCCTGTCGCGCTGCTGGGCGGCCCTGTTCCCCCGCGCCAACTTCCTCGACGTACTCGAGGGGAACCCAGATCTGTACGGGCCTTTTTGGATAGCCACCACGGTCGTGCTCATCCTGTTCCTCGGTGGCACCGTCAGCCAGTACCTTTCTATGAGAGACAAGGCACCCTTTGCCTATGACTTCCGTCTTCTCAGTGGTACGTTTTTGTCTTCTCGCTGCGCTCGCCCGTCTTTTCCCGTGTTTAACTCTTCGCTGCGCTCCCTTTTCTTTTTCCTCTCACTACGCTCGCCCGCCTAGGGATGGAGAAAGAGTACTGACAAAAACAACAGGCGCTGCCGGTCTCATCTATGGCTACACCATCTTCCTCCCCGCCCTCCTCTTCCTGGCCCTACGGTACTTTGGCAGCGAGCTGGCCAACCTGCTGGAGTGCTGGGCCCTGTACGGCTACTCCAACCTGATCTGGATTCCCGTTGCCCTGATCAGCTGGTCGCCGCTGGAGATTCTCAACTGGGTCTTCGTCGGCGTGGGCTTCGCCGTCTCGGTCGCCTTCCTCGTGCGCAACCTGTACCCCGTTCTCAGCGCCACGGACCGCCAGGCCAGCAAGGTCCTGCTCGTCATCGTCATCGTCCTGCACGCCGCCCTCGCCCTCGCCATCAAGGTCCTCTTCTTTGCGCACGGGAGTCCCATTGCCCGCGAGCCGGGGGAGGGTGGCCCCGACAGCAAGGGTGACGACTCTACGCCTTTGTTCTAATGTCTACCGGTGTTCCCCCAAAGAAGAAGAGGCAAGGTTGGAGAAATTGCCATACACTTTCGAGCTTGTGTGTGGAAGTTTGTATGACGGATTGATGTGGGACTAGGTGCCGTGTTGTTGTTTTTCTTCCTTCTTTGGCGTTGGTTTCATGTAGCTGTTTTTCTATTAAGTATCCCCTACTCTGTTCAGACCGCGCCATGTCTTTTATAGCATGTACAATACATCAAAGAACGATCTGTGAATCCATGTCCAGGTTGCTACAATATCCTTGCCGCCTGTAAGGTCTCGGGTCTCTTCAGTTCTTGCCCGTCAACCTATCCCACTGGGAATTCCCTCTCTGAACTTCCCTCTCGCCATTGTTCCTGTCCCAATCGAGCCACGAGCCGGGGTAATCAGCCACATTCTTCCACCCGGCATGCTGGGCGAGGGCCAGGGCCGTCTTGGCCCTCACGCCGGCCTTGCAGTAGAAGAGCAGGTGGGCGTCGCGCGGGGGGCGGTCGTACCCGAATGTGTTGAGGAATTCTTCGTCTGAGATGTGGAAGCTCTTCATGGCGCTGTCGATGGGGATGTTGATGGCACCTGGGATTCTGCCGGTCTCCTGTAGTTCATGGGGTTCGCGGACATCTTTTTCATTCTATCCATCAGTATATTGTTTTTTTTTCCTTGGAATTTATTGGATTGAGTAATTGATTTTTTTTGCACGGGACAAAAGAAGACAAGAAGAAAAAGGGAAAAGGGGAAAAGAAAAAAAAGAAGCAATCGAGTTCCGAGCATACCAACAAATATAACCTCTTGCCCCTTCCCACCCTTGGCGATCTCGTCATTCCGCTTAATCTGCTCCGTCACCTCGTCGAAGCTGTACGACTTCCACTCCCCGCTGTCGGCAGAGTACCATCGTCGCGGGAGAGCTGCGCTGGCGATGCGGCCGACGGCGACGGAGCGCGGAGTGGCGGAGACGGCGACGGACCTAGCGAGGAAGATGGATGAGGGCTGTGCCGTCGTCCTCGTCGCAGTTCGGAGGAACGGTAGCGCGGGACGTGCGAGGGTTCGACATGGGATCGACATTGTTGCCGTGCGTGCCTGTCCGTTGTAGAGATTGGTTCGGTGGTGAGAATGGAGGGAAGGAGGAAGGAGGAAGGATGGAGGGACGGAGGTTTCGGAGTTTGAAGCTGCCTAGTACGACTGTGCGAGTACGGAACGGGTTACAAGAGGAGGGAGGTATGATAATAGTTGGTAGTTGCTCGTACATGTATCTGTAGTAGCTATTGGCGATAGCGCACTTTTTCTCCACACATACGCCATACGCCTTCAATATACTTGTGCTCCCGAGACACACATATGTCATCACTGTACGAATAGATTGTAGAGAAAATACAATCTTCGACATGTTCAAGTCCAAGTCATCAACAACAGTCGTATACAGAGACTTGTATATACATACATATTATGACCATGCGCCTGTATTAAACAAGATCCAGCAAACTATATACCAGCTGCATTGTACCCAACAAAAAAAAAAATTTGAAACTAAGAGTAATAAAAAAAAGTAATAATGCCATGACCTCCTTGGCCTTTGTGTGAATAAAATGAAGACGCACTCGATGTCATCTGGTTCCTCGTCCGTCTCTTTCGTATCTCCTTCTTTCCTTCCTGAAAATAAATAAATAAGATGAACCTCTCGCTTATTCCTTGGGTACCATCGATAGGTTGATAACGGCCCTGGGAAGTCGAGTACATGAAAAGAAAAGAAAAATACAGCCGTCATAATCGCTCTCCCCCTTTTCTATTTTGGATATATACGGGGGAGCAAAAAAATTTCTTCTCTTTCTTTTCCAAGAAAAAAAAAAGAAAAAAGAAAAATAAACGAAACATGTCATCGAATACCTGTGGGGCATCGGCCCTTGCTTTGAGTGTCGAGCACTTTAGTTTTCCCTCCTGGTAAAAGTCAGGGGGCAGTGATCCTGAGGAGGAAGAGTCAGCATATTATCATCAAGGTAAGAATGGTGGTTATTGGGAACACAATAGAAGGAGTAGGTTCAGAAAAATAAAAATAAAAAAAGGGTGGTACCTTGGGGAAAATGGTGGCGAAAACCTGGATCTCTTCAGAGAGGGGAGTAGGGTAGTGCTTCCAGTCGAGCTCGACCGAAGCCTTTCCGATCATGAGGGCAAGGTTGAACTGGGCGTAGTGCTGACCGAGGCAGTAGTGGGGACCGGTGCCGAAGACAAGGTAGTTCTTGGCGCCCTTCTCCTCTGCGTCGCCCGAGTAGTAGCGCTCGGGGTCAAAGTAGTCGGGGTTCTCGTAGACGTCGGGGTCGTGGAGGGCCAGGTAGGTCGAGGGGATGAGCATGGAGCCCTTGGAGACGGTATACGAGTCCGTGATGGGGAAGGACTTCTTGACCTCATAGGGGACCATGATGACCGGGGGGCGGTAGCGGAGGAGCTCACGGACGACGGCGCGGGTGTAGGTCATGGCCTCGAGCTGGTCGAGGTTGACTTCGGCCTTGGGGTTGCCGTTGCGGATCCGGAGGTTCTCCTCGCGGACGCGGTCGAGGACGTCGGGCCGCTGGGCCATGATCTGGAAGAGCCAGGTGGTGGCGCTGCTGGTGGCATCCTGCGAGGCGAAGAGGAAGGCGAACAGGGTCTGGGCGATCTCGTAGTCGGTGAACATGCGGACCAGCGGCTGGGGCTTCACCATGCCGTCGGTCGACTCGCCCTTAGCCTCGGCCTCGGTCCAGCGCTGGGAGTCGAGCATCTGGACGACCCAAGCGTCGAGGATGCACGAGGGCTTCGCGCCGGCGGCCATGTTGACCTTGGCCTTGGCGGCACACTTGCTGAACTCGGACAGGACCAGGTCCGATGCTTTCTTGCCGTACCACGTCTTGGTGAAGGGCAGGATGATGGGGAAGTTGACGAGCTCGAGGGCCTCGGTGATGAGGTAGTAGTCGTCGGCGATCTTCTTGACGGCCTCGTCCGAGATGTAGTGGCCGTGGAAGGTGCGCAGGGAGACGGCACACATGATCTCACGGAAGATGCCCATGTAGGGGAGGGGCTTGCCGTCGTTCTCCTCCGTCATCTCGACGAAGCGGTCAAAGTAGCGGTTGTAGACCTCGTGCTGGCCGGGCAGGTACAGCTGCAGAGACTTGCGGGTGAAGAGGTTGTTGAGACCCTTGCGGAACTCGACGTGAGGCTTGCCGTCGAGGAAGACGAAGTTGTCGTAGCCCAGCAGCTTGCGGGCAATGTCGACGACGCAGGGACGGACGTAGGCGGGCGAGTTGAAGACTTTACGGGCCATGTCGCGAGTCGAAGCGATGACGACGAACCTGATTTGTTAGCGGACTCGGCCAATAGATTCGGGTATTGGCTCTCCCCTGTGCATGAAGACTTGCATGAGGGGGGGGAGGCGCACAGGCGGTGGGACGAGCACACGTATAACATGACAGCAAAAATGAATGGACGTACTTGTGGAAGACGGAGACGCAGCTCAGGGGACCGCTGAGCCACTTGGCATGGTACTCTTCAAACTTGGGGTTTACGGATTCGAGAAAGGGGCCGAGGAAAGGGATCTTCCAGGCGGGACCGACAATGGAGCCCTTTTGCATGAGGTAGCTGACTGTAAAATCAGAAGCAAGTCAGCGACACAGATCAGCGACGGTTACGCGCGCGCAGAAAAGAAGAGGTGAAGGGTGAGTCGCAAGTGGCGCAGACAGCGGGAAGACCGTACCCTGATCGTAGACAACACATATGGCAAGGAAGGTGAAGAGGACAGTCCAAGGGCTGACGTTGTAGATGACCTCAAGGGCCTGGTCGAGCTGAGGGCCAAAGTTGTAGCTCTTGATACTGGGCAGGACCGAAGCCACAACGGGAGACGAGGCGTTGACGTCCATGGTGGGCGACAAACGAGTGACTTGGGTGTAGCCCTGTCGCTCTCTCTCTCTCTCTCTCTCTCTCTCTCTCTCTCTCTCTCTCTCTCTCTCGAACTCGCTCTCCTCGCCCATCTCCTCTCGAACTCTTGGCTGACGAAATGGACAGAAGTGAGCGAGTGTGATGTCGGAAAAAGGGGAGAGAGGAATTGAAGAGGAGGGACGGGGGGGGAGGGGGGGGTACTCCAGGAAGAAAGCAAAGTGAAAAAGTGAAAAAGTGAGACTAGGGGACCCTTGAGGAGGGAAGGTAGGAGGTTATGTGGAGAGGGGGGGGACGAGGTCCTTTTCGGTGGGGACGGGGAGGAAGGTCAACGGGCAAGAAAAGGTGCTAAAGGTGCTGAGGTGCTAATGAAATAATAAAATATAAACGCAGCGAGCCCACGACGTAATATTAGGTACGGAGCAGTAGCACTACAAGTACTAATTGTCACCATGCGCGGTGGATTCATGGGGAAAAAAGAAAAGAAGAGAAAAGAAAAGAAGGGGGGAAAAAAGTGCGTACCGACTACAGAATAAGTAATTACCCAACGGGCAATCGTCCACGGAAAATGCCCTCCTCTCTCTCTTATTACTCTCTCTCTAGCTCTCTCTCTCTCTCGCTCTCTCTTATTCTCTCTCCCTCTCTTACTCTCTCCTCTCCCCCGCCTCTCCCCCTCCTCTACAAGTGCGAGTAATACTTGTGTTGTTACGGATCGGAGGTTAGGTAGAGTGCGAACCGGAGAATCAAAGAGTGATTGTGGACTGAGAGAAGGGACAAAAAGGGCAGAGAGATTACCACTTGGCCGGCCCCTGTCCGGCGTCAGAGGCTCCCGACCCAATGGTGTTGAGACTTTCCGGAATGGGACGATGAGGACAAGGATATGGATTGGCTGCTACTATTCGTGCATGTAATACTCCGTAGTACTCGTACATATACACACTCATTGCGGATAGATGATAGCAGTGCTTGTATGGTTAACCAACTAGCAATATTTGTACTAGGAGTCTAGTAGTGCGGATTGGCAGTATCGGCGAGTACGAGTACCTCGATACTTGTACTCTGTGACTCTTCTGGTATGACTGTCAAAGAGATGAAACGAGAGGTTGGCGGGGGAATCTCCTCCATTGGTACGCGTACGAGATGGTCCGGCTGTCTCGGAGTGGTCGGAATCCATCAACAGAAAAAAAAAAAATCCCGTTCTGAGAGTCGAGGGTTCCCAAATCTTCCCAGGAATTGAATTTTCTCCCTCTGCATTGCTATAAGGAGGTGATGTTCTTTCTTCTCTATCATCAGATCGTCTCCTTTCCTGTGTTGCTCCTTCCTCTTTTCCGTGTTTCGTGGGTTGTTCTTTCCCAATAGTAGTACTGCCAGGTAATACAGATAGTCACAACAGCCGGGAGGATGGCTGACCGTTGTTTTCTTCTTCTCCCCTTCCTCCTTCCACATCCCCTCACCTCTTCGCCCTCTTCACCTTTCTTTTTCTCCTCTTCACCGTCATACGACTATACATATACGTACGAGTACGAGTGTCACTGCGTGATGCTATTGCACATCATTACTCGCACATACTCGTTCACAAACTCACTCACACAAACATTACCCGGTAATAACAACAGTCCCGGGTACTTGCAAAGAAAAATAAGACCACTTTTCCCGCCCTCTCACCCATGCGCTCCACCCAACCATCTCGGCCCCCCCACCACCACCACAATCTCTTGTCAACACCGTCCTGCATCTCCATATTACGCGGTATTATTACATTCTCTCCATACATGTATCCATACTCATCTGCTACTGCTACTTCTACTACCAGTAGCACCATCAACATACACCGTTATATGTACGATACAGACATGCATGCCGATGCTCTCTGCCTCTCCCAAGATACAACAAGATGCAACGTCGAATATGTGGACTTGTATTACTTATTCCCTTGTCCGCACGCGACTACTCGCACGACTACTCTCAGTAGGGCATCTCCTAGTATGATGTATCCCGTATTACTCGCACTTTTGCACGAATTTGGCAATTTACTAGTCGGTTGAGCATTTGCAGGGATTCGCACTACACAACAAATAATACTCCTTGACACCCTACAGGGCCCAGCCAGGGTTATGGAGTATGACGACGTCTGCAGATAATCAGCATGACCACACCCACTGCTCCCATTGATGTTATATTATTACGTTGCTACCTGTACACCGTACGGAGTAATACTATATATGTACGAGTCCTAGCCGACCCTTTTGCTACATGTACACGTACTCCGCAGCAGTTTTATTCCTCCTTCTTCTGTCTCTGTCCATATTTGGATACTCCGCTGCACGATCACGTCGCACTTTTGCCCGTGACAATGCAAGCCAGCTTATTCTTTTGACATGGACACAACCGCTGTCACCACAGTTGGAACCACCAAGATCGGCACATGACAATTCGGACTACGAGTAATATTGATTGATGGCCTGACCTGACAGACTGTACAGATTAGTATCTACAAAATATCATTATGACCAATACATGTACTTGTAATACTCATACAACCCACAACCCGCAACCCGCAACAGCCTGACTCCCGGCCAAAGAAATCAGGTCCCGCCTGTGCCTGTTCCGAGATACCCTGTGCGGCTGTGAGTGACGCATTGTCAGGCATTGTCAGCGGGGGGGGGTGGTTCGGTCTCATCCACACAGGCCAATCGCTCATCCGAGAGGGCCAGACTCTGCCCTTCATACCGTATGAGTAGCGAGTAATAATAGGAGGGGGGGGGGGGAGAGAGAGAATGTGAATACGAATACGATCAGGTGGTCGTTGGACTGAGTGTCCCCGCCCCGCCCCGGCCATTCGTCTCGTGCTCGAAAGGGGATGATAGGCGCAAGTTCTTGTCCGGTCTGACCAAGATTGACAAAGCCGAGGGCGACCAGGCCATTCGAACTTGCAATACTCGGCTCATTGCGGTACTTGCCTGTTCGTCAATGGGTAGGAGGCAGTGCTCGTCAGTATCTGCCCTTGCATGATCTGATTCTCAACAGGTGTCGGAAACTCGAAAGAGGTGTCTGTCAACGATGCGATTACGCGTATTCGTATTGGCACACACACTCATGACAAGCTCCGGGCGAACATATGCTTGCTGGGAAGGTGTTGCTCGACCGTCAACGCTTTGAACCTTGGGAGAGTCTTTGGCTAACTCCGCCTCGCTCCTTGTCTCTCTCAACACCGTGGCCTCGGGGCGGACACGAACTCCGTCACGGGGATGGAATCGGGGCAGTGCTTTGCGTGGTAATTGTGCATTCCCCATACACAGAGCAATAGTACCCATACGGAGTACGTGCGGTAATATCACTAGTTCTGTAGTCAATAACACCTGTCTGTACATGTACTTGTAGTCACTCGCTAAGACACAACCCCCTCCACCCCGCACATGTTCCTCCCAGTCCTGCCACCAACCAAGTGCGAATGGCACTCTCCGTTCTCCATCTGAACCCATGTACGCAGTCATAACCCGATGGCTGTCCTCCTCTCCACGCAGTATGAGGGGGCGAAGAACACAAGGAAAGCATCCGCGTGGACCAAACAGCTCCCCATTTTAGTAATCAGGCTCAGCCATTTTCCATGGACATCTTGGGAATCCGTCTACCCTACCCTGGACCACAGCTTGTGTGCTTCCTGCTCACGACAGCACACGATGACCCGTAGGCGTGAATACAGTGGTCTCTACCTACTGGTACGTCCTTGGTCGATGGTTGTGCGTCTGACTGCTTAATTCCTAAGAAGGGGAGGAAATCTTTCTATGAGGTTATCTATAGATGTAAGTGTGGTAGCAGCTCCAAGCTGTTTAGTCATCCAATATTGGGTGCCACACTTGGAAGCTTCCAAGCTCATGGGAGGCGAGATTATCTCATCTGTTCAGACCATGCCGTAGACGATGAGAACTCTTACCAGATGACTTACTGTATATCAATGTGGTCAATATTTTTCTTCTCCGAAAAGACGTGGGATTGATAACGACGGCTGGCTTAGATGATGCCGTCATCGTCAGCGGGTGGACACCTGTTGCACGCCACAGTGGTATCAGCAGGATTAAAGGCTCTAGTAGTTGCGCCATTTGTATCTGGCCCGATAGCAGCAACTCTACAGAAGCATCATCACCAGAAGAGTCATAATCATCAACTAGCTATATCCATCTTCTCTCAAAACAGCATCATCAACAGCAACAGCAACAGCAACAGCAAAATGCCTGCCTACATCGTGAGCACCCTTCTTATCCCCTTCTACCTGGATATCCCGTGGGACCGTACACACCCATGTCGAGCTTCATGTGCCGTTAACATGGATTGTCCCGTTCCCCTCTAACACCGTTTTCTTTTCCTCCAGGTCTCTTGCAACGAGAGTGCGAAGCCCGAGGAGGTGGCCGAGTATGTCCCTTTCTTATTATTACCTATACTACCTTGACGAATGAACCGAACAAAAAACTAACATTCGGCAGCGCTAAGCAGCACTGCAGGGACCAGGGCGGCACCATCAAGCACGAGTACACCATCATCAAGGGCTTCTCGTACGTTAACCCCCTCTCCTCCCTCACCCCCCGATACATAACTGACATTTCTGTTTGAAACCAAAAAAAAGTGTCGAGTTCCCCGAAGACGCAGTCACCACTCTCGAGAACCACCCGCACATCAAGAGCGTCGAGAATGACGGCGTCATGAAGATCCAGAAGTAAAGACGGAAGGGACAAGACGACAAGCTGAGCGCGTGCTCTATGGCCAGCTTTAACTTGACGATGCAGTCGTAGTCTTTCATAATGATACGATAAACTGCGCTCTATTATTCATCTCATAGATTTCCATACCTTCTGTCCTTCCAGCATCTCTTGTTACCAAATTCCTTCTCCGTACTCTGTTGGCCTTCCCCGCAGCACGCGCGTGGTTTGTGCCCATTCGCCTGTGACGTATGCTCTTCGTAGTTGCTGCCTACGAGAGGAGCCCCACTATGATGACAGAGCAATCTACACGGGCCGGAACGATCTAGATTGGAAATATGGCATTGAAGACCCTCTCTCTCTATCTCAGACAATCACCCACCGAAAAGTGGCCATGCCGCCATGATGCGCGTCAGCAGCCCCAGGAGGCTGCTATACCTGACCGACAAGACTCCAACAATAATAATAACGACAGGCCGCAATGCTCCAGAAGCAGCAGCAGCAGCACGATGGCGCTGCCGTAGCAGACAACTGCACCATGCAGCATCGTCATCGAAGCACAACGTGACAGACGGCGACATTGCGACCATAGCCAAGCAGAGGCAGCACCGTCTTGGTCTAGCGGACCTGGTGCGACACGGACGGCCGCCCCTCTCGGAAGAGGCGCTCCTGGCATCGGCCAACTTCGCCCTCTCGCTGCTGCCGATCCGACTGGCCCACCGGCTACAGGCGCTGCGCAACCTGCCGTACATTGTGGTGTCGAACCCCAACGTGTCTCGCATATACAGCACGTACCTGCACTCGTTGTCGATCTTGCTACCGTACTGGCGGGCGGCTATGGCGTCGCCTACGGGGCGGGCTATCGTCACGCTGGACGACGAGGTGCGGTTCACGCACGCACTGGCGGAGCTGGTGGCGACCCACACGGACACGATCCCCATCCTCGCACGCGGCTTCCTCGAGTGCAGGCGGTACATGGCGGCGGACGACGTGACGCGCTTTCTGGACGAGCACCTCCGTGCGCGCATCGGCACGCGGCTCGTGGCCGAGCAGCACATCGCCCTGCACCAGAGCAGCCAGCCACACTCGCACGCCCACGCGTCGTCGCTGCCGTACCCGGCCGACCACCCGTCCTTCGTCGGCGTCATCGACACGGCTCTCCGCCCGGCCACCGTCGTCGAGTCGTGTGCCGCACTGGTGGCCGACATATGCGAGCTGCGCTACGGCGTGCGCCCGACGCTTCTCGTCACCGGCGAGCCCGACACCACCTTCGCCTCGGTCCCCGTGCACCTCGAGTACATTCTGACGGAGCTGCTGAAGAACGCCTTTCGCGCCACCATCGAGAACGGCCTGCCTGATGAGCCCGTCGTCGTCACCATAGCCCCGGAGCCACCCCTGCCGCCCTCAGACACGAACAGTGTCGTCATCCCCGAGAGCTCGGCCAACAACGGGGTTGACGCCATCCGCCGCCGCCCGCCCGACGACAACGCCCCGGGAGTGACCATCCGTATCCGCGACCGCGGCGGCGGCATCCCCCCTTCCGTCCTGCCCGACATATGGTCGTACTCGTACACCACCTTCTCCGAGTACCAGGACCATGACGACGCCGCCAGCATGCCCGGCGGAATGCACCCAGGCGGCGGTGCGGGCGGCGGCGTCGACGACGGTCTCGGTGTCCTCTCCAGCTCCGGCCCCGCCATCATGACCAGCTCCATCGCCGGTCTGGGCTACGGTCTGCCCCTGAGCAGGGCCTATGCCGAGTACTTTGGCGGGGGTATCGATATCCAGACCCTGTATAGGTGGGGTACTGATGTCTATCTTCGTCTCAAGGGTATAGGCAAGATTGATGACAAGGGGGAGTGATCTGTCTACCTACATACAGATTATATATACAAGCATCGGTTTTCTTCATCTTCTTGTCTTAATGCCACCATCTATGTAGCTTTACTCGTCACATTGGAGATTCCCGTTCATATTGCTACCATTCAAAACAACAAGTCAACAAGTATAATATATCTACTGAGGATATGTCACACTTTAATTAACGCTTTTTGTATTTTTCCAAATCGGTTGAAATGAAATGACTGATTCGTCGGTACTATCTCCGACATTAATTACATAGGAATCCTTTCTTTCCTTCCCGTGCTTATTTTGTATGTTCCTTTTCAAAATGAATGCTGCTTCAATAAACAAGAAAACAAAAAATGTTACAACCGAGTAATGAGAGACATGTTATAGATGGTAGAGCGAAAACTTGTGTGTATGGATAAAAAAAAGAATAAAAGACTTTGCACCGCTTCCTCCCATATTAGAAAAAAAGTAAAAACCTTGTGCGAGGGTGTGTTCAAATATTAAAAACGCCACTGATCAGAGAACCACTGATAAAAAATAGTCTACAATTTCTGTAGCTCCTGATCAATCTGCTTATCCAAAAACGTTCTCCTCTCACCATTCAACTCCGTCTGTAGACGCTGCTCGACAAACGCACGCAGCTGCTTCTTGGTCACTGTGTCGAGGTCAACCTCTGCCATGATGCTCTGGATGCACTCGATAATCGTGTTGTCGTCGGGCCCCGAGCCGCGCTCGCGCTGGAAGTCAAACGACTGCGTCGACTGCATGGCGTCGGGCATCATAGGGGACCGGCGTCCACCCGCAAACCCGAGGGTCCCCGTGGAGAGACGTTTGCTCATGCTGGGCTGCGTCGCCACGTGGTCCTGGTAGGGTGACTGGCTGCGGTTGTTGTCGTGGATGCCGGTTCCCATCGACATCATCGACTGGCGGTTCTGCATCGTCGGGTGGTCCTGGTAGTGGCTCATGACCGTCGATGCCCTGTTCTGGTTGTTCAGATTCTGGTTCGAGTTGGACGCGCCGAAGAGACCGGGCGAGTGCTGCGGGGCCGGCATATATGAGTTACGCAGGGGCACCCCCGTCACGATGGACCCGGGCGGTCCGGCAGAGTAGACCGACTTCATCTCTTCCATCTCGTAGGGGTCTAGCATCTCGGGCTCGTCGCGGTAGCCGCCGCGGCGGCCGGGCAGGTTGTTGGCCAGGGCGTAGTCGTCCCAGCGCTGCAGGGGGATGGAGCGCGGGTCAAAGGGCTCGTCTTCGACGGCGATGATCCTCTTGTCTCCCTTCTCTCCCACCACGACACGCGTGTTACCCCAGCTGAAGTTGTCCATGTTCCAGAACGAATAGATGGGTAGGATGAAGGAGTAGATGGGGAAGGCTAGGATGTAGATGATCATCCAACCAATGTGCTGCCACTGCCTCTTGAGGATGAAGATGAGCGCCTGCAGACCGTACACGGCCGCCAGCATGACAATCGTAATGAGGGGGAACGGGCCCGTGCCACTCGCCATCAGGTAGATGAGGTAGACGAGGTAGATGCAGGCCGAGGGTAGGATGATGGTACCGAAGAGGTCGACAAACACGACGAAGCGCATAGAGAAGCAGCAGAATCCGCACAGCTCCTTGAGACGAATCATCTCGACCAGATTGTGAACGGTAGAGTTGATCCATCGGCGTCGCTGGGAGAGCAGGATACTCCAAGAGTCCGGCGCGGCAGTCTGACACTTTGCGTGGGGGACAAACTTGTATGACATCTGAGGGAAGTACTTGATCATGAGCGTCGTGAGGTAACGATCCTCACCGAGGGACAGCAGGTTCTTCTTGTGGAGCGTGTCTACGTCGCAGACACTATAATCCCTGATGATATCGTCCGAAATGATCAGAGGCTTGCCCTTGTCGACAGTCCGTAGTCGGTACATGCAGAAACTAGTAGTGTGTTAGGGTCTTTTTCTTTGATCATCTTAATTTGATCTCATTCTTATTTTTCTCCCCCTCCTCTCCATCTCTATCTCGAGAGATGATGAGCAGAGAAAGAGAGGGAAAGAAGCAAAGAGGGAAAGAGGGACAGGAGGAGAAACCGAAAGGGGTAAAAAGAAAAACAGAGAGAAAAAGGGAGAGAGAGAGAACATACCATCCGGGAAGACAAGAAACACTGCCAAAGAGAGACTCAAATGCCTTGGACAAGTGATGAGAGATAAAATACTCATAGACCTGGATCATGGTCCACCACGACTTGTCCGTGTTCTCGAGACTAGTCTCGCCGCAGATACCGGCAATCTTGGAGTCGTGGGTGCAGGCGGCGATGAGACGGTTGACCGAATCCTCGTTGACGCTGGTGTCGGCGTCGACCATGAGGAGGTACTCGTAGAGCTCCGGGTCGACGCCGATGACGTTGTTGATCTGGTGGAACATCTCGAGCTCGAGAGGGCTCATGGGGGAACGGTGGTGGACACGATTGAGGAAGCTCATGAGTAGGATCTGGGAGTCACGCTTGCCGCGGTTTCCGGGCTTGGACTTGGCCTGCTCCGACTCCTTGCCGACCTTGACGACGACCATGTACGGAACCACGTTACCCTCGTACTCGTACAGGCCCGAGTAGACCTTGCCATAGTTGAGCTGGTCGCTCCCAGGGCCGACCGACTTGAAAGGCAGCGCGGGCGGGTCAATCTTGGGGTCGACGCCGAGGATGTCGAGGGCGATCTTGGGCGTGGGGCGGTCGTTTCCTTCTCCGACGACGATGCCGTCGCAGATGATGCAGATCAGTTTGCGTTTGTTGTCGTACTGCAGAGCCGTGAGGGAGTCGATGGCCTTACGCAGCGACTCCTCACCCTCCGTATACGCGGGCACCTGGCAGATGACGAACTTGTCCTGCTGTGTCGGACGGCGCTTGGACCCGAACTGCAGGGCCGCCACGAACTTGACCAGGATGATGGAGCACATGACGATGGCAAAGGACAGCAAGAACCAGTTGTTGACGGTGCACCGGGGCGAGTCGCGGAAGTCGGTCATGCCCTTGTACCACACCGTCTGGATGCAGTTCCAGCTGTTGACGATGTGGGCATGCTCGGTCGCGTTCGAGGCTGAGTCCTTGATGAGGTCGTCCAACTTGCTCTTGATGTTCAGGCCGGCGTTGTCGGACCACAGATCCGTCACTTTGGAGTTGAGGAAGGCCATCGTGTCCACGTCGGGTTGCAGGTCATCCTTGTTGTAGAAGTAGTCGGTCAGGTCGTAGATCTTCTCGCCGTACCTGGCCCACATGCGGTTCTCGTCCTGGCCCTGTTTCTTGACCTTCTTGGTCTTGAATACAAGGTCGCCCTTGTAGAACTCCTTGATGGCGGGTTCAAACGTCTCCCAGTACCACTGGTCGTTGGCGAGGTTGCTGGTGGGGTCGGTGGAGAAGTAGCCCGACTTGTGGACGGCGTTGCCGTACTGGGGCTGGTTGGTGAGGTTGGCCGTCAGCTGGACAGTCTTGTCGATGCCGAGACCCGGGCATGCCACGTTGAGCGGCATGGGGAAGTACTCGTCCAGGTCCAGACCGGCCAGGGGCGACATGTTGGAGGTGGTCGTTTCGATGGCCGTGTCGCTATGCTGGCGCTTCCAGAACTTGTCGAGATCATAGACCTTGCCGCGGATGCTGACCCAGTACGACTTGTCTCCCTGGTGGTTTGCGACCTGGGCGCTCGACCAGGCCTTGTCAAAGTTGGGGCACAGGATTTTGCCTATGCCAACGATCCAGAAGATGACGAGGGCGTTGAGGAAGACGATGAGCAGGAACAAGACGAACTTCTCGCGCCAGGCCATGCGGACGTCAGGACGCCTCATGCGGCCCAACCAGCGGAGGGCAAACGACGGGATGAAAAAGGTGACGGCCCAAACGAAACCGACCCAGGCGCGTCGGCCAGCGTCTACGTGCTTGGTCTCAAACTCCTTGTTCTTGGCCAACTCGGGGTCGATGAGACCGGTGAAATCACCGGCCTCGTTGTAGTAGATCTCATTCTTGTACGAGTCACCCTTGGTGCCGAGACCGTAGTCACCGGGAACTTGTAGGGTCGCGCTGGGCGCCACAGATGGCGCCGCGTTCTTTAGGCTCCTGGCCATCACGCTTAGGTTGCCCTGGCTAATGTTTCGGCTGGCGGCATAGTTAGCACCGGGTGCGCCGGCACCAGGGCCGATGTCGTAGCCGTTATCGGTCAGGGGCGGTCCCGGGAAGTAGCCGCTCCCGTTGGCCGAATATCCGGTGTCGAAGCCGGAGTTGAAGGGGTTCTCTGGAGTAGCACCAAATCCCGGCTTCAGGTCGAGGCTGCTCTCAGCCTCCCACCAAGCTCCCTCGCGGATCCATACGCGCTCCTTGCCGACAAAGACCTCTCCGTTACTCCAACCACGCTCGAGGACCCAGCTCTCGATGCCGTCCTTGCCCTCGAGGCAGCCGAGGGATTCGTACCTCTTGACGAACTCATCAATGTCAAAGTCGGCCGTGAAGTCGAGGTGGCGGTTACGTCGGTTGGCCCACTCAGGGAGCCTCCACGAACGTAGCTGACGCGAGACGGAGCCTGCGGACCAGGCTGAGGTGGCAGAAGGGAGGTTGGCAAGGTTGCTGACGGAGTCGTCGGTGGGGTGGATGGAGAGGTGGTACCATATGCGGTTCGAGGCGATTAAGTTGGGAAGGTCGAAGCGACCAGCCCTGCCAAGGTTGATACCCTCACCCGGGATGGGGAACAACAGCTTCCGGACAAAGGCGTCTTCGTCGGCAGCATAGGCTACCTTTTCGAGAACCTCCTCCCTCTTCTCCAGGTCGTGAGTCCTCTGTCGCCCCTCGGGGCCGTTCATAATACCCAGATCGGGGGCGACTTCGGAGACGGCCTGCTGCATCTCCTTGAGTACCGAGGTGCCGGCGGGGAAGACATCGAGACCGTCCTGGATGGTCTCGGCATTGATGCCCTCGGTATCGTCAAAGACATTGCGCATGGACAGAGCCTTGCCCAGAGTAGGCGAGGGGATCTCGACAACGGTCAGACATACGGTGTCGTTGCTGTCACCATCGATAGAAGAGCCCGAGTTCTGGCCATCCAGAGGCTCCTGACCGTCCCTGATGCGTGCGGACTGGGCAGCAATGGCCTCGTTGGCCTTGGAGATGACCCAGTCGACGAGGGACTCGTAAAGACCACCGACAAGGGTGCGGCGGTCCTCGGTGCTACACTGGTTGATGAGCACATCGGGCTCCATGTCGAGCAGAGCGCCGACATCCTCGCAAATCTCGTCGAGGGCATCCGAATCAAGGTCATAGTCGAGGGTGTTGCCGAGCTTGAGCAGACCGGCCAGGACCGAGATGAAATTTCGGTGTGCGGCACCCCTGATACCAATATCCTTGAGAGCCTGGCGGAAGTCGTCGGCAGCAGCAGCATCGTCGGCCGTGGGGAGGTAAGATGGGTTCTCATATGTGCCGGAGCGGGCGAGCAGGGTGTACTGCGAGGGGTTCTTAAGGCCGAGGAACTCCCTCTCAGCCGGGGTCGAGGCAGCCGTGAGGAGGTAGTAAAAGACGTCGAAGCCGCGGTAGCCGGCCTCTGCGGGGATGTCGAGCAGGCCGTTCTTGGTGTCTATCCCGCCCTGGGAGAGGGCCAGGGAAGCATCAGAGAACCTGCCATCCAGGTGGAGGGTGAATGCTACGCTGAGAGCGACCTCTCGAGGAAGGGACGGGTTGTGGGGTGTGACACATCGCAAGAAGGGACGGATGGCCTCGAGGGACTTGAAGACGGTCTGGGGAACGGCAAAGGGTAACTTTGAGATGAAGGGAACGAGGAGAGATGGCGTAGACTCGTGGAGGGATCTGGGTGAAAGAATTGTCAGATCGAGCATGCCCCTAGTAGAGGGAAGTAGAGGCCATGTATGAGAGAGCCGATGGTATACGGTATGGACAGAAACTTACCCCAAGATGATGCAGCCATCCTCGGCACGACGCCTGGCGTGCTCCCAAGCGCGAGCGGCGAGGGCCACATCAACAGTGGGACCAGCCTGGACGGCCGTGAGCCAGGTGTTGACGACGAGACTGGTGCTGGACTCGAGCTCGTGGGGTTGAGAGGAGAGGTAGATATTGTGGATGGCGTTGAGGAGGGTGGTGGTAGAGACCTGTGCGGTCTGGGGACCAGCTCCGAGGTGAGAAGGGCGATGAGAGTCGGAGTTCATGCTGAAGAGGGACATTCGATTCGACATGATGGGCGCAACTGTGATGTCCTCGAGGGACAATCACCGGTGGTTTCGTTGACGGAGACGAGGCAGCAAGCAAGTCGGAGCAAGAGACTAGACTGATGACAGGAGAAAAAAGGAAAGAAGGGATGCCGACTCGACAAAGGGGGCCGTCAGGTCGAAATTAGCTGCATGGATGCAAGGCCCAGGACCAACACGATGGCCAGAAGGCGAGATTGTTGGGGGAGAGGGGAGAGACGAGGTTGCAAACAAAAGAGACGGGGGTTAGTTCGAAACGGCCGTCTACGTTTGGGAAGAAATGCAACCACGGTTCCAAGGAATAAACGAGGGAAAGCAAACGAGAGTATCAGAGAAGAGAATGCAAAAGAAAAAAAGAAGAAGGAATTAGAGCGATAGGAAGCGAAAGAGAAGAGCACCAAAAGCGAGGGTGGAAAGTATTTCTCAAGGATGAAGCTGGAAGCAACAAAGACTTGAGTGGCGTGGAGTGGATGTTTGGGCGTTGGCATCAACAGCGACGGAGAAAGCACGAGAAAGGGACCGTCTGTCTGAGCTCACAGAAGAGCAACAGGTAGAATGGGCCAAGCTTGTACAGGGAGTCAAGGACCGTAAACTCGTATGGCTATGGAGTAAATACGGTACTAGGTCAGGTCTACGGGATATACGAGTAATAACTATGAACAAGCAGTACATTGGAATTCAGTGCACTGTGCTGCCAGGAAAGGGGAGAGAGAGAGAGAGAGAGTAGAGAGAGCCCAGAAGGTAACAATCGATCTCAGGGGAACCAGAGGTCTCCAGGGGTGCTGGAATGGTCAGCAAGATTCCATTGTTGGAGCCGGGAGTGGTACATAGAGATACAGAGCGATACCGTGGGAGGATAAAAAAGAAGTCGCACTGTACCATGGTGGCATGCATATTAACCAGCCCCCTACCCGTACGAGAATAGTAATACAAGATGTGCATGATGGAACATGGTAACTAGACAAGAGAAGCGGACCCGGGGAAAGCGGCTGAGACGATGGAGACGATCCAGGTTTGCCTTAGTGTGGAATGAAGGACAGGATATTAGTATTACTACTAATATACTCGAAGTTTGGATGACAGCACTGATGGGGGACGGTTCTACATTCCCGACTTCTTATTCAATACTGCTAGTAGTGGCTACGTGTACGCAATTCTCTATGTATCCCCCTTTCCCCCCCCCCTCTTCGTATTTCTCTCTAAACATGTTTTACTCTGACATCTCGATAGATGTTGATCAGAGCTCAGAGAGACGTAAAGCCTTCCAATCTGGGTTTGCCTCCAACGGGAGATTTAGTAGTGGCGCTACCACAAACGTTGTGTGGCACAGTGCGCCGACGAATACGAGCTTGGCACAGGGCATCAGCACCTAGAGACTACTAGAGTACAGATGTACTTGCACGGAGTATTATTAGTACATCCAACCTGTAGCGTGGTCGTATCAGGAGCGAGCCACCAACGCGCGCAGGCGCCACCACCTCGTGAACCAAATATACAATGTGCACGGCAGCATGTATTTACCGTACGTACAGGTACCAAGAGGAAGAAAACTTTTCCTTAGTCTCCCTCTCTCCCTCTCCCCTATTCTTTTCTTTCTTTATTTGGCGATCCTTGCTCCGATCCGTTGCATCCCACGGCATCTAGCTCTTGAGCCATGCTCGACCCTTCTTCCCTCCCTTGACAAATACTGTGCTTCGTGGTACAGCAATACAACACTGCCTGATGCGTCAAGCACGCCACGGCGGCACGCAGCTTACTGGGATATATATGTACAGCAACAGATGATAACATGCATGCCGTATTGACACCTGTGCCTGTTGTAGTTGTACGAATGATAATATATATGTACAGCGTTCAGATTCATGGAGCGTCCATGGGCCATGAGTGCACCAGGTATTATTAATAGCTCTGGCGCACCACCGGAAGGGATCTGGACAGCTGGGATCCATCATAGGGTTCATACAGGTCTACAGGTACAGGTACTACGAGCGCCGAGTCCAGGCCCACAGGGGAAACCAGGTCTGAGCTAGAGCCTAGAGGAGGGGGGGCAAGTGTCGCCTAGAGAAAAGGGGAGAAGATGTTATACAAGTATTAACTGTCTTGCTGCGAGTTGGTGCAAGCCGAATGAGGTGTAATGATTTGGCACTGCAAAGCTGGAGTTTGCGCCTTCCATCACCTTACCGTACGAGCAATACATATTACAGTCTATTACAGGCCACGAGCTACCGGTACAGCTAGGCTTTGCCTCCATGCTTTCTTGGCTACGGTCGGGTCGTGGGTTGCGCCCAGAGGCTAGCGGTTCGCAATATCTACTTTTAGTCTCCAGTAGAAAGGCTGCGAAAACGATACCACTATATGCATTACATCCAGTACATTACTCAGCAATCCGTGTCCATACTCCCAAGGTCTTAGGGATAGACCCCAGGCATTATGGTGTCAACTGTGTAGGTGCTATTACTAATAGCGCTCCGCGGCATGTGGCGGTCTCTTGAACAAGAAACATCAATGGATGTGAGTGGTAAAATAACACAGTACGATGGCATGAGGTTGGAGGTATACATATTCATGTCTCAGAGTGACAGCCGTGTCTGCATGTGCTTGTAAAGCCACACCCCCATGGGCATGGATATGTGGTCATGTCATATATTCCGGTGGGACGGCAGGCATACGGCGGCCCCAAGCAGTATGGCAGCGTGAGCCAAGAATATAGTATTATTACGAAGAACGTTATGTCACGAGCAGAGTCTCTGGACGAGAGGTAGAAGCAGTGCAGTACGGTGAATCGTGATGATCGTATAACCTGCTGCCCTCATACATGTGATGTAGATGCAGTATTACGATGTACGAGTATTCAATACGAGGTGTATGCCAAACGTGTTGAAAGAAGACCGTCTTCGACTGGACAGTCAACTCGGACCGGTGGTGGTTCGTGCATCGGCCTGCGCCCCATCCATAAACCATTTAGACGTCGACTGCTATTTACAGCGTATATCAGGCACTGTTATTGCTAGATTCGTAGCTCCCGTGAGTAATGCTATTGGCCTGTATACTCCAGTCGCTACGAGTATATACTCCGTACACTCCATATGCATTTGTTTATTATTGCTGGCAATGCGGAGATGGAACCACAACAGTCATGCCACGAACGGAGGTCTTCATGGATACCTACCTCCTGTCTTGGATGACTCTCTTTTCTCCCTCCTGGTTTCTTTATCTTGCTCGCGTTTCTTCTTCCTTCTTTTCTTTTCTTTTACGCGAGGGCTAATGCATCCATCCACCGAGTCGACACGCGCCTTTCCCCTTTATTTACTTCCCCTCTATTTGCTTTTTCTTCTTCTCTTCCCTTCCCATCCCCCTTTCTTATTATGACTGGTAATTAGCTGTACTCTGCACGGATATGAATGCTCGTACAAAGACAGCCTCCTACCTTGGCGCCGCACCATCTCCATGATCGCTGGGCAACACACACTTGTAGCGTCATGTGCGTAGCAAGACTACATCTAAAGTCCTAGTGGCATCTACCAGAGTCCGACTAGTATTGTGGTGAGCTCACCAGTGTTTGTACGACGTAAAAATAATACTCCATACTCGTAGGCACCACCAGCGATCTCCATCTACCTGTATGATGCTTGTACTATTGCCTGTACTAGTTGCAATGTAGCCTGTACGTCTCCCTCACTCTGTCGCTATGGGCAGTAAATGGGGCTTCAGCTCTCGATCCTACCCCTTCCATCACCCCCTGGTCGCCGGGGGACCCATCGTACAGTGCGACTATTCTGCCGCCGACACGGTCGATGCGGCGTATCCGGAAACCTCGTGTACCACGTATCCTTCGTCGTATTTTTTTCTTACTTTTTTTCTTACTTTTTTCTTTCTTTTATTTTTCTTTTTACTCCGTATTTTATTGTCGGGTGTGGCAGTGGCAAAGATGCTGCTGCCCAGTAATCTGTACATATACGAGTCTTATGAGAAAGAGGGAGGATCCATAACAGAGAATACGATACACGACCACGCGAGTATACCTTGGCAACCTGTAACCAAGGTCCCGAAACAGAGAAAACCAAGCAAAGCCCTGGGCAGAGCCCGAACTCCCAGAGTCAACCTCCCCCCCCCCCCCCCCCCCCTGTAACTCGTAAACTCGT